TGGTTAAATTCCTAGGGCAGTCGAATTCGCTAGGGCAGTCGAATTCCTAGGGTAGTCGAATTAGCTAGAGTAGTAGAATTGGCTAGGGTGGTCAAATTCTAGGGGCAGTCGAATTCGCTAAGGTAGTTGAGTTCCTAGGGTAGTCGAATTGGCTAGGGTAGTCGAATTCGCTAGGGTAGTTGAATTCACTAAAGTAATCGAATTACTAGGGTAGTCAAATTACTAGGGTAGTCGAGTTTGCTAAATTGGCTAAATTGCCTAAAAAACGCGATTCTTAGGTACTTAGCGAATTCGCTTTAATTTAATCGCAGGGTATACAAGCTATATAACTACTACAATTGCTAGCCTCTAATGTATATTATAGTGGTAAAAAGGAGAAGACGCTACCTAAGCGCGCTATATATACCGGTACAACTAAGTGGTAACTGGGAAAAAGGATGTAGGATGAAAAGAAGGATGGTAGGAAACTCTTAAATTGGATTTGAATAGAATTAATGGGGCAGGGTTTCCTGCCCCGGCGTGAGCCTAGTAAAAATCTTTGTAGTTTTTTGGTTTTGGCACACTTCCGCCAAACAGGCGCTGTAATTCTGTAACTTCCGCTGTTCTCTTGTGCTGGGCAGTTGTGGATTCTTTTTTATCAATCGCAGAGACCCGGAATTCCGGATCCATCATCCCATGTTTTCATCTTCATCATCTTCATCATCGTCATCATCGTGCACATTATACTCCTTATTGCTCACATGTTGCTGCAGGTTTGTCGGTGCTGTGCGACTTGTTCACTGATAACGTCCTAACGTTATATGTAGTTACATAGCAGCCATTGATAGGTACTGTATCTTGGGCCTGCAGTCCTCAGTCTCTAACCCTGGCTGTCGGCAGTCGAACCAAAGCAACATAATTTAGCCGGCCCTTGCTCCTGCACACCTTCCAAGCCCGCCTCGAGCTGAAGCTGAAGCTCAAACTCCAAGGCGGAGTTGGGTTGATACCACCCTCTACCGTTTTTTTCAGCACAACCGCGCCCGCCTGCCGCGTTTCGAGTAGACAAAAGGGTTCGGCAACCGCTGTGCCAGAGTCGGCCATTTTCTGCCGTGCTACCATCCAGAGCCACGCTTCCGCGCCGTCGTCCACAGCTTGAGCCGTGCCAGCCGTTCCGGCAACCAGATTTGGTGGGCCGCTCGTCGAGTCCCGAGATAACTTGACGGCAGACAAGCATTGAATGGTTGTAGTGTAGATATGTATGTACTTTACATATGTACATACATATAGACCTGGCATGTTAACCCGCAGCTTTCCTCCCCGGTGACGCAGGTTTAACGCGCATGGCGGTGGCTGTGCGACCGTTCCTTAATCTTTCTCTTCCCTCCTTCTCCCTACCCAGCCTTGACACGTCAAAGCTGGGCAGTCCACAAACGACTGCCCCACCCCACCTTGGACGAGACGGTGTCACGTTTTTACGCGTAGACGTACCTCAGTACATCGACATGTACGTTGACTGCGCGAGGGCGGCACGACCTGGTGACGCGGCGGAGTCGACCAGTGTGATGCCAAGTACAATATCTCTTCACATATACCTAGGCGTTGAGTCTGTCCGAGCTCCGAGCCGAGTAGCATACACACTGCATTACTCTAGTTACAGCTTTGGTTTAAGGATGAGCAAGGGAGGTGACTAATGGGAGACATGAACATTTGTGAAACCTCAACTAAGCGGTCTGACGATGCCTCTATTACAACGTTCAATGTCAGGCGTTCTACGGAGGTACGAAGTATGTATGTGCAAGTACCTGACAAAGATACGGTTCCAAGTTGCCATCAAGGTAACCTTATTAATATACACACCCATTGACTCACTCACTCACTCAACCATCATGCAACAGCTGGGGTACACTACTGTCGGCAAGCAGACACCGCGTAACGTAACCCACCTTCACAACAGATTCCACGTCCCGGACCATTGGAAACGATCTGCAATTGTAGTGGATTGAGTGTATATACTGTATGTACCTAGGTACAGTACCTCCGCTGTCTTTCGAAGGGCGTACTTGAATTTCCGCTTTAGGAAGCGGGGCGACTTACAAGACAGTTTTGACGTGGAAGAGCAAAGTTAAGAAACGCCTTCATTTCTTCAAAATCCCATATCCCATGATGTATGTACAATACTTGTAAGCAATTTTGAACAGCTGGTTCTCTCAAAACAAATAACGAAGACGGAAAAAAAGGAAAGAAAAAAGAAGGCTTATCCCCCTGACCCGTTCTCCCTTCCGACCCGCCAAACCCAACCCCATTTCAAGAGGGGAAAAAAAAATGAAGGTTGAAGTCTATGAAACAGTGAAGTAATCGGGGTATATGTAGAAGCGAAAGGGGTAAAGTTGGGAAGGAAAGGGAAACGAAAAAAAAAATGAAAAGAAAAAGAAAAAAAATGAACAAGAATGAAATCCAAGAGAAAGAAAACAAAATCCAGAACCAGAAGGCCAATCTGAAGAGTCGAGCAGAATGAAAACATCACCAAACCCAATGTCTATGCCAAAATTCCAGATGCCTTTGCCTTTGCCTTTGCCTTTGCCTTGCCCCGTCACCAGCCCACAGCCACAGAAAAAAAAGCACTTGCTCCTTGACCAACCAAGACGTGAGGAAAAAAACGAACACGATCGCCATCTGTCTCAGGCGTCCCGCAGAGAAAGAGAGCAAATCATTTCCTCTCTCAGCCCGAACCCCGCGTCGCCATATGTAAAACCTCATACACTAGTCATGTCGAATGTCTTTTGGTCCCTTCAGCGTGAATTGGTTGCCCATCTCCTCCTCTATAGGCTTTACCCTTTTCTGCTTCGTTAGCCATGATGTTTTTATCCACAAACTAGTAGATGTGTCTGGCTCACCCTTCTCTTATCACATCTGATGATGGCCGCCCATTGCGTCTCCAGCGCCGGTCGGATCATAGTCATAGTACCCAATGTACGGCGAGTCATAGGCGACGCTACTCGACCCGTCACCGGCCGAAGTAGCAGTGGTGTCGTAGCCAGCCACGGAGCCCACGGGCACGCCCACGGCGCCGGGGTGCGCGTAGCCGTAAGGGTTCATGTTGTAGAGGGCATGGTCGGCGAGGTCGTTGGGATGGGAAGTTGTGCCGGCGGTGGGCGAGTCGTACCGCGCGCTGTCGCCGCTGTGGTGGCTGTGTGAGCTGGCCGAGGCGTGGCCTCGGGCGACGACGTGCCGCATGTTGATGCCGCCCCACGGAAGGCCCGACAGGTCGCCGTCGTCGCCCAGAATCTCGTCTGCGTCGGGGATGTGGTACGTGCTCCCCGCGTACTGCTGGTTTTGGGCATCCCGTTGCGCTCGGTCTCTTTGCTCACGTGCTCTTTCTCCTGGAGGAAGGAAAAGGGGCGGTTAGTATCTAGATCATCATGACTTGGGCGCTGTGTTAGGGTTCATCGCTGAAACTTACTGAACTTGCGTTGTGCGATCCTGTTTTGGATGCGTCTCCTCTCGTCCGGCTCCGTCACGTCGCTCCAGTCGTCTGACTTTTTCGTCTTGGACGAAGACTTGTCCTTCTTGGAACCAGAGGAGAGTGACGAGCGCTTTGATGATCTTGATGACATCTTCGAGGATTCCTTCTCTGTGTCTGAGCCCGACTGGACAGTTGCTTTGCTTGACCTGTGCTTGCCGCGGCTCTTCCCTGAACCGGGTGAGGGTAGAGGCAGGTTGCTCTGTCGAGGTGTAGGCAAAATGCCAAAGTCGTGTCCGTCGTCGTCCCAATCCTCCTGGTCCTCGTACGACTGGACCTCTAAGTAGCCTTGGTCTTCAGGGAGTTGGTATGAGGACATTTCAAAAGAAAAAACAGGGGAAAGATGAGGCTCACAGGCCAAGGAATCTGCTCGGCTTCTTGTATCTTTCTGGTGATCTTGCCAGCTTCCGCTTCAGGAAAGATGCTCGAGCCTGCTTTCTACTTCGAGATCTTGTGGCGTCCAGTCGGGAAGCTTTTGATCTTCTTATACGGCGATCCGATGACAGAATCGGGTAAGACGTAGTCGATATGCCTTGTCCAGAGAGAAAACAAAATACCAAAGATGGAACCGAGCAAGGGGCTTAGCGTTGAAGTTGAGCTCGAGTCAAAGCTCGGTGGTCGTTGTTTGCGGCGCTGGAGTGGTACGGACGACAGGTAAATCGGGGAGTGAAGCGATGGCATATAAGACGGGCGATCCCGAGTGGAGGAGCTAGGCCTGTTGCCGGTGACAGGGTTTGGGGCAGGGTCTTACAAGAGAGTGGCCCGGTCTGGGACAGTGGACTTGATCAAGAAGAGTTTGTAGTGTATCTCTGGCCCTACGAGTATGGAGGAACATTACATAGTTGCCGCGGCCAGGGGCAAGGCTTAGCGCAGTGGAGATGAGGCCCCGGAGGCGCATCCGCCATGGTACGTGCTCATAGGTGGTGAGCGGGAGCAGGGGATGGTGTTCGTTCATCGTAGCCACTGGGCTGGAGGGGAGCAAGATACCTGAGATACCTGTGAAGGGGTGGCACACGCCAGCGGGAGATGAAGTGGAACCTGCCCACCCTATTCGTCCACCCTCCTCAACTACCCCTGGCCTGGTTAGCGAACGCTAGGTTGTCCATGACCGGGTCGCGGGACGTCTCGCGGAGATCGGGACGATACAACTCGCGTGTGCACGCGCTTGCGGACTGCTATGTACAATGTACATACAGCGACACCACCTGCGATAGCTTGAAGCTAGGCCCTGCCTCATTCCAGGTGTAACTCTGCAAGGCGTGCCGCACCTCATTCCCAAGGCTGGCAGGGGGGGATCGGCAACAGAGATTAGGTAACAAGGTGGGCAGCAGCTGAGCAAGACACACACCCTCATAGGCTTCAACCGCTTGGAGAGATGACGACACCAGACAAGTGAAGACCGAGGAATACGGTGCTCCGGGACGTGGAACCCGGTCCCCAAACACTAGCTCAAGGAGAGTGATAGACGCAAAATGAAAGCTAAGGGTTACCTAAGGATAAAAATATCAGGTTTGCGTGGATATGGGTTTGTTGCTAGGGCCACACGCTCTCCACCAAGAAAAGCGATATTGGGGCAGCTTCTGGAGACCTCAGGGATAATCGACATGGTTGCTGCTAAAGAAGGGCAGAGCAACCTAGGACATGAGTGACTCGGACCCAGAGGGACCAGACAGGGGGGAAGGTGCTGATCAGTGTTCGGCACTCGGTCAACAACCCCATCCGATGTGCGGAATGGTCAGAAAGTGGAGAGGAAAGATCCATCCACAGCTCGGTCAACGGCCCTGGATGTTAAGGTGAACGGGAGCGATTCGAACGCTGGTTGACCGGAAAGGTGTAGCGTTGTTAGTGCAAGCAGTAACGTTACTGCTCCAGGACCCGACGAAGCATTTGATCTTCCTGGTCTTTCCTACTTCGAGGCTTCACGCTCGTTGCCGGTTCAGCGCGGTTACAGTTCCCTCGATTTTTGCAAGTGGTCCCCTCATGTAAGTGAAAGTGGAAGGACCGTTGCAAGAACTCACGCTTTTGAAAGGCTTGACCAATGAGACACTTGAAATCATATAAAAGCGGAGACGCCAGCCTGACAGGGTTAGCATGGAGGAGACCGTTCGCTTACCCTGGCTTCACCTGCTTGCTCGACCCGCAGCGGGAGAGGAGCTAAAATTTCCCAGCTTGAGCACCCTAGCAGATGTACCTCTGTACATACATCCCGCTCAACTACGCGCAGTTTGCTATCCAACATCCCGACTGAGGCACGGTAAAAGGCGATATCACTGCCTCGGGCCAATCTTCCGGCCGATCGTATCGCTGCTCGTGGCTCTGCGCCTTGCATTGGCAAGGCCGCTCGCGAGCGTGGCCTTGAAATGGGATAGAGGACCTGGAGCTGAGAAACTCATTCCTGTGATTCCCTTTCCAACAACCGAGGTGCTGTTGCAGTGTAAAGATAGCTCTACTGTGGTGAGTTATAGCCGAGTGTTTGCGGCTCTTGCTGTCTGCTTACGATGCGAATCGACAACAGGTGCATAGCCCTACCCCACATCCCGCGCTGTCTCCTGTGAATTGGGGAGTTGCCCGGGATGAGCCTCTGAGAGCTGCTTGGCAGTTCCTTCTGGCTTCGTTAGCTTGCCCCTCTCATACACCATAGGTCCCCAAATCATTGTTTGAGGTGCCGAACACCGAGCAAAATACAAGTGGCTCTAATTTCTAAATATGATTTGACCTGATACTCAGAACAGTCGTGTAGCGACATTGGTGATGGAATCGCGTGTTCTCATAGCGACCTACGTATGTACTGTACAGTACATACCTTGACGTGATGTTACTCGTTGTGTTCCCTGGGGGAATAAGCTTAATCACACCGCCACGTTCAAACCACAGGTCACTCCTCGCCAAAGATTACGTGCAGGGGAACTTTGTTGGTCATCTGCGCTGGAGATCACGTCCCGATTCTCTCTGTCCTTTCTGTGCAGCCCACCTTCGGGAGACCGTTTGTCTCTTTTTTTTTAGAGACGGGGCCCGACATCACGGGCTCACCGGCCCAATGCCATGGCCGGAGCTGGTTCTCGGGAGCTACAGTACTGGCTTCAGCTCAGGCGAATAACCCAATGGGATGGTTCAGCCTTGGTGTCACCATACCAGGTGGGGTGTTTGTATGTACAATATGTTCCTGATTTAGCCCCCGTGCTACCATAGAAGACCCAGAAGCTCCATGTTGATAACAGCTTGTCTTCCATCGCAAGATGACTTACACGATTGTCAAGGCTGGGTTCTCAGATGGCCGAGTGAGCTTTTGCCTCGGCCGTATGGTAAAGAAGACCGTGAGAGATTTCGACCTAAGTAGTTAGGTACGGTAGCTAGTGTACTCCATGCCCCGGACAAGGGGATGATGGTAGCGATTGCATTGCTAAATATTTCTTTATCGCGGATTGGTGGGATGTTCAGATGAAAGGTCCCAAACCGATCACACTAACATCAACCCACACATGGCCGCGCGGTGATCTGGAGTACTAGTTAGACAAATTCAGTGCCTCAGAGGTACCTCTGTATGCTGTTCTTGAGCTCGAGACCCTCGAGCAAGTTTCTTACCACCTATAACATAATCCGAGGTAGTTCTGCTGCCTTTGCCATCGTCAAACTGGTCTGCCGATGCTCTCTGGATGAAAGCTACACGAATGAGGTACATCACGTTGTCTTGTTGTGAATGTCGATATCATGGCGCTTTCTGGCGGAAAAGCTTGTTTGACACTGATGACGCTAAGCCGTCTCGGTTAGGCCATATCTATATTTATCTCGAGCTAGTGTGGACACCCTTGTCTTAATCACACCCCACGTTAATCTCAGAGAGGGCAATGTAACGTTCATCTCAACTCACCTTTCCTGAAGAACAACTTTCACACACAAGCCTTGAGGGCCGTTTCCGTTTGTCGGAAACGAGTTCGGGCGGTCGAAACTCAATGCAGAAACAGAAGTATTCGAAAAAGGGTCGATTACCTTTCCATAGATGATCGATGTTCTCCTAACTGGATGCGGGCGCGAGGATGCCTTGCCCAGCCATGGGACGCAGGGGTCGATGCAGCTCAACGGTTTCGACGGCTGGTCTGCCTTGCCAATGCGCCACCTGAATGCCCTCGCCGCCAGAATCTCCCGTCGCGCCGCTTCTTTCTCCGATTCGATCTCCCCGCACCGGGGTCCGGGTTCCAAAGACAAATGGGGCTTAGAAACGCCCAACTCCTGAGCATATGCTGCTGGTAGTTTTCAGCCGCAGAATATGTTTAGTAGCAGAGAAAATCTCGAGGAAGATCTTTGCCCTTCACCCGCATCGGTCACTCATCTTGGTCGTGACTCGCATGACTCCGCCTGCTTGTGGCCTAAGAGGAGATGTTCGAAGAAATGAAGGATCGCTGCGGATCCGCGCTAGATAGGACGATTAGCTTCAAGTAACATCAGGATGACTCCCGTAGACTGTTCCAAGAGTTGAAGTCAACTGAGCCGCAAGAGACAGGTCTGCAGAGTAGACCATAGCCTCAATCCGTCAGATGGAAATCCAATAGTTAGACCGTCTCCATCATGTCGCTCCGCACAACTTGGGCTGTTGGTGGTTGAAAACAGCCTAAGCGACGCGAGCGCCAACCCAGCTCGACAAGGTTCATGTCCTTTCCCCTAGAGAAGCAATCGTCGTGTAGAGTCAATGGTATTGGAGAAGTCACAACTTTCCACAGCTTGTAAGGTAAAGCACCTCCCCTTTGCAGTGATTGAGCCGAGAGAACCGGCTCCGTTCGCTCTCCGGCGGATACCGAAAAGCCGGCATCGTCCGCCGGCCCGACAATTCAAGCCCGCCAAGATGCGGCGTCGTTGTCTCTAGCGAGCGCTAGCCGAGAGCAGTCCACCCCAGTCAGACGTGTTGCGACGAGCGTTGTGGCTCTTCAGCGATGATGGACTGCCAAGAAAATAACTCGAAATTGGTAAGATTCGTCCCTGTTCAGGTGGTTCCGTTTCCGAATCAGAGCCGGGCGTCGTGGATCGCAGAACCCTCCCACATCCCCCATGATGAGTCATTCCGAACTGAGCCATCTGCATCTCGTTTTCAACTGATCCATGCCCGAGCAAAATATTCACTTCGAGGCGTGGCCTGTTAACGTAACCGAGCATTCGTTCTGGTTCGTCGGCGGTGCGTGACGCTGCGTTCGTCCAGACAACAGAGGCGGTGAGGATGTTGTTGATTACTGAACATGCAGGGCAATCCTTGGCTCCGCCAACCTAGAATTCGCTGAAACAGATGATGGGCGTTACGTCGTCGAAATATAAGTATTCGTGTGCTGCTTGCGTATGTACAACGCGATTGAAATCATGGGAGAACCTGCAAGATTTTAACTAGTGTAAGCCATCGAGGCCTCCCGTTAAACTGATGCCTAACGTTACCGAGTCGCAACTTTCACCCCACCTGGGTACTCTTCCGCTGTTGCCTGCGCGCTGGAGGTGGCGTTGCTGGCGCTGCTCAGCCCTTCCCGTTGGACGCCAAGGGTTCGGAAGCTCGGCGCACCCGCAACGCCTCCGGCTGTTGTCTCGGGCCGGGACACTAACCTTTAGCTTCTTGAGTCGATGAATCTTCACATCAACCTTTGGATCGCCGCGGAAGCCTTCTTCGTTCCGGGGGTTCCGGGGACCTGGGGTTGAAGTCTAGTATGTCCGGACAATTAGTCAATGCTGACAAGTAATTAAGGTACTGGCACGTTGGGTTAACTTTAACTTTCGGTTCTTGCCGCCATCAATCTGCGGGGACCAAAAGTCGGAACTGGAAGGTGACATGGGAGGAGAACAGGCAACTGAGGCGTAAAGTCGGGATGTTTCACATGTCTTGTGCATGCTCGCTGCTGAGACTTGGGGAAACAGAGTAACTGATAGAGTTAGGGAAAAGACCAATGTATGAGCTCAGTTCAAATACTCAGGTCATGATGAGCATGCGAAAAATGGAGACCACCCGCATTTAGGGTGGTGAACTCTACTAATATACAAATCTACATGCATTGTTCACCAAGCGCAGCCAACTGAACATGCAGCTGCTCATGATACACCTGCCAGCCGAGCCCATATTTGTCTCTAGTAGAGGCCTTGGGCCTCGCGTTGCGCCTTGCGCTCCGCTACCCGTCTCTTGAAGCGGACCTCGGCCCGTCTCCTTTCACCTCCGTCGACCTTGTGTCCTCTCTTGTCCTCCCAGAGACCCTCCTTCACACTCAGGCGGACCCCGCCGCCCTTGATAGTTTGAATGTGCGGACCGACGATAGTGCGAGACCCTTTGACCGAGTAGCCACGCACCCTGACCAGTTCCGAGTCCGGCACGTCGTCGACCCTCTTGCCGGCGGGTACGTTGACGACGTGCCTTATGCGAGTGAAAGGGTTCAAGTCGATTTCGCGAACCTTCAAAATTGCCGTGCCATTCTCGACGTGTTTCACATCGCCTCCAATGCCGTATTTGCCTTCCCGGAACCGCTGCCTCCACCTTAGCAAATATCGTCTTGCCCTCGGAGGCTCTAAGCCGAGCTCTCTGAGTTGATCGGAAGTGAGGGTGAAGAGCGCGTCCCAGCTGGGAAATTTGGATGCGTGTTGTTTCAAGCCCCGGCCGATCAGGGTGAGGAATGTGTCGACGTCGGGAACGAATGGAGTTGGCGTCGGGACGGTGGGAGGCTCGGCGCTCTTATGCGTCCATCTCGCCTGGGCCCAAAGCCCCGGTGCGGTGACCGAGGGAATTGTGCAGGGTCGGAACAAGAGCCCCAAAGCAGATTGTAACCGTAGGGATTTCATCCGCGCTGCGAAAGGGGTAAGCGCCGGTTCAAACTATGGGGAATTGGTTAGAGAGGGCTAATTGCTAAGAACGCAAGACGAGTCTGGAGCACCTGGCTTACCTATCGATGAGGTGCCACTTGAAAATGTTTGCGGCCGAGAGTCATGCCAGGAACGACGGCTCGCAACGTCTTGACGGTCTTCAGATATGGCACGCGCTTGAAGCCGTCGCTGAGCGGAAACTTTTCTTGAGCGACCATGAAATCCCTAAGCACGGACCCAAAAGAGATCCCGGCGCCCCACGTCTGCCAGCGAGTGGGGCGACATCCACAGTTTCACCAATCAACTTAGGCCTCCAGGCTCCAGCTCGGGAGACCTGTGGGTCTCCGGGAAGGCTGCCACTGCGGCTCGCACGCCTTCCTTCTCGGCCGTGTAAGCGCTCACTTACAACTTCCCTTTCCTCACAAATTCTTCTCAAAGCTTCGTCGCTCTTTTTTATATCGCACAGTTTCATCTCACCTATGCACTGCGGCCTACGTCTTTGCCCCTTAGCGTGTCTTGAAGGAGAAATTTGAGCCACCTGCTCACTTAGCAGAAAATGCGCCACACCGTTCCTGCCGTAAAATGCCGAATGATAGCTTGATATGCTGCCCGTCTCTTCCATCTGCCGTTTGTGACAGTGCCACCATCTCCCTCTTCGACCAGGTCAACAGAGCCACCGTACACAACCGTTCCCGCTTTGGTTCCATTTTGACAGAATCCATCGTTGTCCTCAATGCCTTCCCGAGCCAAAAACAACCGACGGCGGCAGGCCCAGATCGGCAAGGGTGTTGGAATCCCAGTTCAGACTGCAAAGTCTGAGGCCGAGAATATTTCAGCCTTTCTGAAGAACCTTCAATCACTCCCCTCGCGAGGCGATGATGACGGCGCCGATCAGGAGTTACCAGGTCGTCCGACGAAGCGTGCCAAGACTGCAGGAACTCGCGATACAATATGTATCGCGCGGGGAAATATGACATTCACAGCGTCAAAGACAACCGATTCAGAGTGCACAACTCTTGTGAGGAGTAATATCGGCGAAGCTTTCGCTCTGCAACTCCGCGATGCTCACTTCGAGGACCCCGCCCAAAGCAAGTCGCAATTACATATTTCTCCACGCACCAAATCTCGAGGTGCTGGCTTTCGGGCGGTCTTCTGTTCGCACGAAAACCTGTCACCAGTATTAAAGACGGTATTCAAAGTGGCCGAGACACAAAGCTTCGACCCTGGCGTTGAAGGATGCCTCTGGGCGGCAGTAGATTGCTCCATTCGAGTGGATGATGACGTGGTGTGTCTCGACCTCTCTGTGGAGGTTAGATGGAACGAAACCGTCACTCTATGGGGAAGCGACCGGGCCAAATCATCCCCTCAGCAGCTTTTGAGGAACGAAGTTCTCAGAACCTGGTATCCTGAACTATATATACACGACTCTACAAAAGGCGCGCAGCCCTCATGGTCTCCCCAAGACTTTTACGAAGCAGCATGTGTACCAGACAAGGAAGCCATGGATCCGGAGGTGTCATCGATGGAAATACCGCAGCTTCAGACGACATTATACCCCTTTCAACGCAGAGCCGTTCAGTGGCTTTTGAGGCGCGAAGGCGTGCACTGGCGCGGCAATGATCAGGACAAGAAGGGGGGCGTCCAGCCGTATAATTCGGAAGCGCTTGGGGAATTGCCCATTTCCTTCTACCAAGCCAAGGATGCGGACGCCAAGATATTTCACCTTAGTCCGTTACTCGGCGTTGCCGTTAGAGATACAGCGCTCTTTAGGTCTTTTCAGGAGTTCCGCGGTGGCATCCTTGCAGAAGAGATGGGGCTCGGGAAGACGTTGGAGGTGATTGCACTAGTGCTGCTCCATAGACGTCCAGAATCCCCCATTATGGTTTTCGATCCTTTCCTGGGCAGAGAGCTTCTCACGACCTCGGCAACTTTGATCGTTGCGCCATCTTCGCTCTTAGACCAATGGCTCTCGGAGCTCAATAGGCATGCACCGAGCCTCAAAGTCGTGTATTACCCCGGAATCAGGAAGTTGGCTAAGCGGATGGATGGAGAAGGACTCTCAGCCGAAAATCTGGCGCAGCAGGACGTGGTGATCACGACGTATGAGGTGCTCAGAACGGAGATCTGGGCTGCAGAAGATGAGCCTGGACGCTCAATGCGCAACGAGAGACAGTATGAGCGAACCAAGTCCCCTCTGGTTCAGCTCTCGTGGTGGCGAGTGTGCATCGATGAGGCGCAAATGGTCGAAAACTGGACCAACAATGCCGCGAAGCTAGCCCGGCGGATCCCCCGTATCAATGCCTGGGGCGTCACAGGAACGCCGGTAAAGGATGATATTCAGAAAGGTAACGATACCTAGCCTCAACTCTCTAGGGGCAAAGGCTAACACTGTGTCCAGATCTTCGTGGGCTCTTGCTCTTCCTCCGTTATGAACCGTATGCATTAGACGCAAAGATTTGGAATGTCCTCACCACCCTAGATAAAGCCTCCTTCAGGAAGCTTTTCAACCTATTGTCGATGCGTCACACCAAGAGCATCGTGAGAAATGAGATTTCCCTTCCGCGGCAGAAGCGTTATGTTATCACTATGCCATTTAGTGCCGTTGAAGAGCAGCACTACCAGAGCCTCTTCGAAGAACTAGCCGCAACATGTGGCTTAGACGCACGGGGGAACCCGCTCCAGGCTGACTGGGACCCTGAAGATCCAGGTGTCCAAAGCGCAATGCGGATGGCGCTCGACCGTCTGCGCCAAACCGTCTTGCACCCAGAAGTGGGAAACCGGAATCGACGAGCACTTGGGCAGAAGGCCGGACCTATGCGCACGGTGGCTGAAGTCCTTGACGCTATGCTGGAACAGACAGACGCAGCGATGAGAACCGATCAGCGGAGCCTACTCTCGGCAAGGCTGACAAGAGGGCAGATCCTCGCCTGCCAAAAACGGGTGGGGGATGCGCTGACGGTCTGGCAAGAAGTTCTTGCCAAAACCACAGAAATGGTGTCGGAATGCCGGGTTCAGCTGGACCATGAGATCCAAGAAGCTCGGAAAGTAAACACGGACGAGACCCAAGCAAGGTCCGAAAGCGATGAGACGGAGTATCGTGAGGACGCCGTGCCTCCGCGAGTGGGGGAGGCGCGCCGAAGGCTACGGTCGGCGCTCGAGATCCAGCATAGAGCGGTGTTTTTCTGCGCGAATGCGTACTTTTCTATCAAGTCGAATGAGGAGATGACTGCTCCTGGTTCGGAAGAGTTTCAACGCCTAGAGAAGCTCGAAGCTGAAGGATACGACCACGCCAAAGCAATCAGAAAAGAGATCCTTCAGGAGGTATGTCACGCGTGTCGCTCTATGCTCTCTGCTTCCTCGTCCGATGGACATGTATTGATGAGATTTCTAGAGTCATGGCAGAGCAATGAAACTAATGGAGCGCCTCGCAAATGCCGCTGCAAACCAAGCCTTTGCCGTCATCCCAGAGTTTAAATCCGGCAGTCAGAAGGGGCTGGAGAGTCGCAAGGTTTCCGAAGCATTGGAACAACTAGGCGCGGCATTGGACGACCAGGCTAATCAGCTCGATGACTGGCGGGAGCATGTTATCCAGCTGTTGCTTAAACCGCTTGTCGATGAAGATATTGACGAGACAACAGGCGAGGAGTACGAGGAATCGACCAAGCTTCAGGATGAAATTCTAGTATACCTCCAGATCCTCAGGACAGCTCTAGCAGACAGACAGGCGGCGATAACGGGGCAGAAGAACTTTTTGGTCGAACACGAGACAAAAGCTGCCGCTCGCATGGCTATGGAAGGGGATGGCCCGTTCCCTGAAAGGCTTGTCGAGCTTTTGAAGGTCCGGGATGCTATCAGACCACCGTTCATCGAAGGAGACGCCATGAGCTCGCTACGCGGGTTGGTGTCGGAACTGCGAGGCTTGACGGTGAAGCTGCGACAAGACGCGGCAACAGGGAGCTCGAGAGCTGCTAATGAGCTAGCCATTATTTCGAATTTGCTCAAGTCGACGCTCAGCCACCAAGCTGAGCAAACCAAGGCCGCGATTACGATGGAGAAGGAGATTGAGCGCTTCATGGATACATTGAATGCTCGCATCGAATTTTATCGACAGCTTCAAGAGGTTTCAGATATGGTTGGGGAATACGAAGGCTCAACGGAAGCTGCGGCGCTGGAGACGGCACTTGAGGCAGCACGAAAACAAGAAGAGAGTTTGCAGATGAAGTTGGCTACTGCGGAATCCAAGCATCGTTACTGTAGGGCTCCTCTGGGACACGCCATTCTTACCCCTTCTCGCTGACATATTCGGCAGTGCTACATCTCAAGGACGCAGAGGCCAATCCGGAAGAACAGCGCATGTGCGTCATCTGCCAGTCGCCCTTCTCAGTTGGCGTCTTGACGGTCTGCGGACATCAGTTTTGCAAGGAATGCATAACGCTTTGGTTTCGGGCGCACCGAAACTGCCCGGTTTGCAAGAGGCATTTGCATCAGTCCAACCTCCACGATATTGTGCTGAAGCCTCAGGAGCTCAAGATCCATTCGGAACAAAGTTCCAGAGGCCACGACATCCCGGACCAATCGCAAGGACAAAGTCCGATTCGCAAAGTGTCAACCATCTACACCGAGTTCAACAGCGACAAGTTGGCCGAGATCAAGGATATAGAACTTGACGGGCCCAGTTTCACGACGAAAGTGGACACACTGACGAGACATCTCTTGTGGCTGAGGGAGTCAGACCCGGGAGCCAAGTCGATTGTGTTTTCGCAGTACAAAGAGTTCCTCGACGTGCTCGCGCTTGCATTCCGCAGATTTCGCATTGGTTTCACGTCATTTGATAAGGCACATGGCGTTACCAACTTTAAAGAAGATCCTAGCACAGAGGTCTTTCTGCTGCATGCAAGAGCCCACGCGAGCGGACTGAATTTGGTCAACGCAAGTCACGTTTTCCTATGTGAGCCGCTGCTCAATACGGCATTGGAGCTCCAAGCGATTGCGCGGGTCGATCGGATTGGGCAGCAGCATGAGACGACGGTCTGGTTGTATATTGTCGACGGGACGGTGGAGGAGTCAATATACGACCTGTCGGTCCAGCGCAGGATGGAACACATGGGCCGTAACCTGAAGGGGAAGTCCAAGGAGTGTACGCCCGAGCTGTTAGATGCGAGCCTGGAGGTGGCCAATTCGCTCGAGATGCAGCAAGCGCACTTGTCCAAGCTGATGGGAAAGGATGGGATATCTGGAGAGGCTGTGGATCAGGATGATTTATGGACGTGTTTGTTTGGCCATTTGGGTTCCGGTCGGAGGAATGAGAACCAAGCGCCGGTGAATGTGGCCACTCGAAGGTTTCTTGCTGCTGAGGCTGCGGATAGACGGCGAGGACGGGCGGAGAATCAGGGGTAAACTATGAATCTCTATGAATCTATAACCGTTGGAGGGCAGAGGATTGAGCGCAGCATCTCGATCAGATCAATGAGCTTGCGGTCATTTTCAACTACGTATTTATTGGGGCACTGAGGTTTGGCTCTTTTTCCCTCCTTCAACCCCCCAACCGCCTACAATTTATACACCCAATTCTTCAGTGGCTTCTTCACCCCTGAGCGGGATGTGGGAGGTGGGCAGTAAGCACGGAAAAACGACCAATGCTGTGTCTTTCAGGTTGCCTAGTGCAGTGTCCACTGCAGCCTGACAATTAGGCACCAGAATCTGGTCTTATAAGAGGAGAGCAATTCGGAACTTCGAATTCAATCGCCCACAATGCCATGCGAAAGACAAACAGGTCCTCGCGAGGCGGATGGCTTGTGCTGCGCCCACTCTCATGCTCTACCCCCAGTATACCGTTTTCTCAGTGACACAATTCAAGACCAAGACTTTCAAACTCATTCACATGAGATGGACTTCTTTGTCAAAATGACAAGTCAGAGCCAACCAAGCACCATCTCGTCGTTGGCCGGCACAGCCAATCCCCAGCTCTCGTCTCTTTTCTTCACCCTTCTCCCTGCTGAGATTCGCAATCTCATCTACCTCGAGTTCTGGCGCATCGCCTGTCTCCGACAGCATGTAGTTCTCACGGAGTTCGATGAGCCCGGCCTGGGCACCATGCCAGTATGGTCCCATGTGCCATGCATTACAGATGCCAACGCCAGAGATATTCGCTTTGACCAGTGGCGCCTCGACATCCAACAGAGACAGGCATGGACCGCCCGGCTAAGGAGTGAATGGTGCTTGCACTGGGCATGCGAGGAAGCATCTCCAGACTGGAAACCACCCCTGATCGGACTTTTGCGCCATCGCCTTCATTCACCCCAGCCTAAGCCTACCAAGACACCATTCTTGGATGTCCTGACGACGTGTAAGCGCATGTGAGTACTAGTAAAATATCTCTAAATCGTGTCACGAACTGCAGTGGTTTCTAATGCAATGACAGGTACCTCGAGTGTCTGCCGTCCATTTACAGCAACATCACCTTTGTCTTTACCGATACGAATACAGCAGAGCAGTTTCTCTGTCGCTATGGCCAAGACCAGCAACGCTACCCTCTACGCTCATTAGAGCTCTGCATCCGCGCCACCAACCTGATTACCGAGTTGTACTTTCCCACCGCTGGAGAAGACGACGAAGGACCACCCGCCCTCTTCGCTGGCACTGCTCGCCCGGGCTTGTCCATGAAGAACAACCCATGGCAACGCGTTTGTGACATGTTGACTGAGCTCCCGAAACTGCAGGCCCTGCACATCTGGTTCGATTCCCGCGATTTGCGGCCCTGGTATGTGCCTGTATCATCTCATATATACTTATTTAACATCGCAAGGCCCGTTCCGTTGCTTTCGTATATAGATAAAAAGATCAAAATCGGTAGCAACATGACTGACAACATCACCGTGTGCAGGCATAAGCGAGTCAGTGAGACGCGATTCTTCAAAAGGCTCTTCGACGTCCGAGTCCTAGACAGGACTCGCTTTGTGCTTGCTTTGCCAGAGCTTCCTGAGAAGCGTGGAACACCGGACATTCAAGTCCTGGAAAGTCATTACTTGGAGGGAGACAGGATCGAGCATGCACCTTTTACCATCGTCAGGGAGCCAAGGCCGAACAACTGGCAAGTGCTTCTCCAGTCTCACCCGGGCAATAGCGTCAGCCTATAGGTGAACAACTCAGGGATAAACGCAGCCAGGTTGAAGACAGAGGCGGCCCAGAACCTAGAATACTTCTACCACTATTGGGAATATACTTGACATGCATGGTTGAATTCATCCAGTGGTGTTTCGAGCTGTCTTGTTGCCCTGTCATGTGCATGCGAGATGGGGAAACTTCAGTTGCTGTTGTAGGGATCGTGGGAGTTCGTCGTGTCTGTTAGAACTTAGCGCAGCCCGATTCCTATGCCAGGGTTAGGGGCTAATATGACTCGTGCTCGTCGTGTTAACTGTTAACCCCCAGTCAAGCTGCAAGTTAGACACACCAGTTGGCTGTCAGCTCTTGAACTGATCCACTAACAAATACCTCCGTACCTTGCGTACGAACAAATCGACAGTAAATCACCAAATCACCACCTGCCTTGATCTACACTACCGGTAGTAGCTTTGCTTTGCTGCTTCTGACAGAGGTACCCGCAAAGTCAACATAACCATCATGTCATGACGAAACCAAGCCGCGCGGTTTTCGCATCCTAGTCCCTACGTCCCACCCGCGCCATCTAGATCTCTCACCGCGCCCTAGCCGAATCATCATCATGTCCAATCCGCCGAGGACAGCGCCGGTCCGCGCCGTCGGCGCCGGCGCCGGGTTTGCTGCTCCTCCTTCTGCGAGAACAACAAAAAAGCCCGCCAACAGCATCCTCCAGACGCTGCAGGCCACCGAGATTATTGATAGCAAGCCTGTGTTGCCGGCGGGTGAGTTAATCCTCCCCTGCCCCCTTGTTTGCCTCTCTCTCCGGCCCTCCTTAAATGATGGAGTAGACCACCATTGAAGGACAGCTTGATTCCATGTCTACTGTGTTATCCTGCCTGTTAGCGCTTGTTTCATTGTGCTAATTGGGAAATTGTATAGAGATCATCGCCACCATCCTCGACTACCTCCCCGTTGCCGACCTGATGCGCTTCGCGCGCACGTCGCGCCGCATGCGCGAGATGGTCTACGACGACACGCGCTGGGTCGCCAGGCTGCGGAGTATGGGCTGCTGGGACGAGGCCGAGGCTAGGAGGCGGTTCGAGGAGGCGGTCATGATGCGCAGGAAACGGGACGCCGCTGCTGCGAGTGCTGGTGCTGGTGCTGGTGCTGGTGCTGGTGCTGGTCCTAACGTCGGGGGCAGAGGAGGATCGGTGTTGCCGGCTGCTCCTCCTGATGCCGCGGTAGGGCTAGGGGTAGGGGTAGGGGTAGGGGGACCGGGAGGGGTTGATAATGCTAATACCGGGCAGAGCCTGTTGTTCGACGCGGGGCTGGAGGAGGAGAGGAGGAGAAGACAGTTGCTGCTGAAGCAGGAACAGCAGCGGACCATGGCGGTGGACGTGAGGGATGGGTTTGAGACGATGAAGGTTGCTGGGTCGCCACAAGTGGGCAGCGGCGGAGGAGACGATCCGTCGCGTGACCCTGAAGCGCTGTTGAAGGTCCTCAAGGGGGTCAAGAGCGCGAGGGGCCACGCGAGGCAGGAGTACGGCAAGGTCTACGGCGCGCTGGCCCCGTTCTACTTTGATCTTGTCCGCGCGAAGAGTCACACGGATCCGCTTGTGTTCAAGGTGTTTCGGGACCCGGAGCGGCAGGCGCAGATGCTGGCGAATCTGCGGACGTTTGCAAAGAGCGACTGGGCTGAGGGCTGTCTGAAGCGGGAGGAGAAGCTGGATACCATGACGAGCATCTTTGAGAGCGCCGTGCTAAGGGAGTTTGAGCAGGGGTACGAGTTTTGGGATGTGGATGGGAGGATGAAGAAGTATGCCCATGTGCTGGCTGTGTTGAATGGGAGCAACGCCGGGGCTGAGCTGTTCATCCAGAAACACCCCATCTTCTCGGACCGCGAGGTGCTCGCCAATCCGATGGACTGCGTCAATCAGGCCCTGGCTGACAGCATCACGCTGGAGCCGTCGCGCCGCTTCTTTGAGGTGCTCACGCGCAAGGTTGATGAGCAGGCGGGCATCATCGAGCGCATATTCCCGGACCCGGCCAAGGTATTCTGGGCCTTTGTTGACAAGGTCAGAGAGGACATAATCACCGAGTACGCCACGCCGCTGTTCGACGAGACGCATGAGCGGAGCATACCCTCTTACCTTAGAGCCGTCTCGGGCATATTTGAGCAGACATTGCATTTCCTACGGACATTGACGCCACCAAAGGGCGGAGAGGCGCAGCAGACAGACATGGCCAGGGAGCTTGCCCTCAAGGTCTTTGAGCCGCACCTCGATCTGTACCTGCAGGATGAGCTGGATGAATTCACCAGGCAAGCAGAGCGCGAGGTGGGGGAATGGGAGAAAAAGCTATCGGAGCAGGATGCCAGCGTTGAGTCGTTTTACATGGGAAGTTTCGCCAACCGCCAAGCCGACAAGAAAGACTTTTTGACGTCGTTCAAGAAGGTGGTCATGATGCCCGTGACGGTGCTGCCGACGACCCTGGGCTTGCCGGGTCTGCCTCTTGGGTCCCCTTTTGCTACCAGCAAGGCCTCTGCGGCAGCCAACACAAATGGCAATAATTCGCTTCAGACGCCTAGCCAACAGCCCTCCCGCACGCAGTCACCCGCACCTTCAACGGCGGAACGTAGCAGTAGCCCCTTGCCAGGCAAGGCACCTACGGATGAGCTAGCAGCCAAAGCGGCGCTGATGACGTCCCGATTGGAGGGCATCAAGTCGCTCTTTAGCATCGAGGTGGCCCTGAGCCTGGTGCACGCGGCGAAGGCAAGCCTCGGCCGCATCGCTGTCTTCATCCAACTGGGCGGGCAAGCAGGCGGCGAGGCGCGCGAGCAGTGTTTAGTCATATTCGTCACACTGCTCCGTGTCCTGGGCAACGGACACGTGAAGCCAGGCTTTGACAGAGCTGTAGCTCATCTGTCGCAGTATAACCCGCGCGAGGTCAGTCAGCACGACCGGGGCGGCGTGGCGCCGCTCGTGACCTTCATTGAGTTGGTTAACGTGGGCGACCTCATATCTCAGATGATAGACGTCTTCTACGAACAGCAGCTGGCCGGCCCTAAAATCGCGGACCGCAACGATTTCATGGATCCGGCTGGGCTGGCAAAGAAGAAGTTTGAGCAGATGCTCGACGAGAGCGTCGCCGCTGGCCTAAACAAGGGCATCGACGTGCTCATGGACGAGGTCGAGTACATCTGCGCCACGACACAGCAGCCGACCGACTATAACCCCGGAGCAACAGGCCTCGATCCGGCGTCATCATCAACAACAACCACTTCGACATCGTCGGCCGAGAAGCGCATGACGAAGTCTTCAGGGGCAGTAAACATGGACATCGGCCCGACGCCCACGGCGCAGCGCATCCGGGACTTGGTGGCGTCGCACACGTCGATGCTCGTCGGCAGCACGGACAAGTCGATGCTGGACGTGTTCAACGGCGAGGTTGGGCTGCGACTGTTTACGGCTGTATGCAAGCACCTCAAGCGGCAGCGCATCAGCACCGAGGGCGCCATCAAGCTCATCGCCGACATGAACCTGTACTTTGAGTACATCCGGACGCTGAAGAACCAGGACCTGCTGGCCTACTTCAAGGCGCTGCGCGAGCTGAGCCAGATCTACCTGATCGACGCGCGGCATGCCAAGGAGATGGCCACCATCATCGCCGACGGTGACCGGTTCGGGGGCATCTTCCGTGCCGAGGAGGTGTACGAATACGCCGAGAGGCGGGCGGACTGGTACCAAGTCCGGAAGGACGTCGAGAGGGCAATGTACGGACTGGAGTGTAATGTGATGTGACCGGGGCCGCAGCAGACTTATGACCACGGAAGAGCTGGCATAGATAAAAAATGGGGAGGAAAACCAGCGCTTTGGCTAGAGCAATTACCCAGCCTACCCTTTTTGATTACATATCCTACATCAATTTTTATGCCGATGAAAGCAGCCGTTGTCTCTAATGCACCTTGTCCCACCCGGTACCCGATCCTTTAACCATGCTCCTCCTAAACGCCGCAGTGAGATGATGGCTGAACAAGAACCAAACAAGAACAAGGCTACTTGGCCTGGCCAAAATCCAATTTCCTCGCCACCTTTGCGCCTCGTGTCCCATTCTCCTCATCGAGCAAGCCGTTTTTCCTCTTAAGATCGGCGCCCATCTTCTCCTCGCCGCCCGACTTGCGCGGGAGGTCCTCCTTGGGAGTAGGTTTAGGGTCGGCGCGCCACCACCTGTGCTGCAGCATCTCGTGGGCCGTGATGCGCTTGGCCGGGTTCAGGGCGAGCGTCTTGACCAGCAGGTCGACGCCGTCGGCACCCACGGCGCCGAAGCGGCCCATGTAGGCCTCCTTCCCCCACACGGGCACCACCTCGCTCGGGACCGTGTAGTCGCGCAGCTGCGTGACGCCCGGCCAGTTCTCCTCGGTCGGGGTGCCGATGTGCTTGCAGATGAGCGCAATCTGCTCAAACTCCGAGTCCCCCGGCAGGAAGGGCGTGCGGATGATGAGCTCGGCAAAGACCATGGCGACGGACCAGACGTCGACGGCGCCGCCGTAGTGGCGGGCGCCGAAGAGCAGCTCGGGCGGGCGGTACCAGCGCGTGATGACGTTGGCCGTCATGCGGCGGCCCGGGTCGGCGAAGGACTGGGCCAGGCCAAAGTCGGCCAGCTTGACCTCGCCGTCGGCGGCGATGAGCAGGTTGTTGGGCTTGATGTCGCGGTGCAGCACGTAGTTGGAGTGGCAGAACCACACGGCGCGCGTCAGCATGCCCATCCAGGCCTTGATGTCGGCGACGCCGTAGCGCACGCGGTGCACGTCGCGGATCAGCATCTCGAGGTCGCCCAGGGGGAGGTACTCGAGCACAAAGTTGAGCGTGTCGACGCCCGTGCCGAACGTGTCGAGCAGGCGGATGATGTTTGGGTGGCGCAGCTCCTGCAGGTACTTCATCTCGCGCACGGCGGCGGGCGGCATGCCGTCGCGGTAGTCGTCCTGGTGCTTGATCTTCTTGATGGCGACGAGCGTCGAAGGGTCGTGCCGCATGTGGCCGCGGTACACGTTGGCGTAGGTTCCCTCGCCGATTTTCTTTTCCTTGACGTATTTGCGCTTGACCGTCTCGTTCCATTGTTCCGGCCCGTCCAGGTCCAGCTGCTGCCCGTCAGGAGCTGGAGCTGCTGTCGGCGCCCCGAACGGGGACCCAGCCATGTTGCCGCTGTTTTTGTGTGGGGTCTGGCGTGGTGGTGCGGTTCAGCCTTGCATTGAACTTGTGGTGTAACTTTGGTTTGTGGAAGAGATGGTTTGGTTTGGCAGAAGGCTGCCAAGCCGCGGCACAAGGGGCAGGGAAGCTCCACAGGGCCCACAGGGGCCACCAACTCCGCTAACTAAACCCCGGCTCATCCGGGCGGATCTTACAGCACAGTGAGCACACAGCCCACGCTGACGTCACGCAACAACAACTGGCACCTAGCAAGTCGGATTCTTGGCTTCACTCCGTCCGAAGGAATTGAAATCGTCTGGTGCTCGATGAAAATTCCCTACTCTCCTGGAGCTTACATAGACTGACACGAAATGACTGCGCGATGCACATATGCCAAGGGTGGCTCGGACAGCACGGGGCCTTGGGACGAATCTTTTTCCTCGACAGTTTCTACTGTACCATTCTTCTCGACTCGCGGCTTGTCTGGCCGTTGCAACTCTGCCGAGTTAGTGACAGGGAACGTCCCTTGGATTCTGCGTCACCACTCACCTTCTGGATCCTCGTTGTAATATAATATATACCTAACCTGTTAACTCTGTGGGACTACGACTCGTCCCAACTCTTTGGGCTCATCCATCCACTTCAAAGGTTACAAGTGCCTTGCGGGCACTGCGAGGTCGACTAAAGGGAATAGAAACACAAGTCCTTCCTAGTAGCACAGCACAAATCACCATGTTTCGCCTCTCGTACTGGGTACCAACCCCTTCTTCCCCCTTTCAACCCCCTTTCCAAAATCAAATATCTAACTCACCATTGTTCAGGTCTTCCCCGTGATAGGCGGCCTCGTCTGGCTGGGCATGCTGCTCGGCATGCTGCTGCACTGGATCATCAACACGGGCCGGGCAATCTACCCGTCCATGAGCGCCAACCAGCAGATTGCCTACATCAGCGACGTGGGTGCGCAGGAGCTCAAGCCGCTCTTCATCGCGGGTTGCACCGTCACCACGGTGCTGCTGGACCTGTCCTTTGGCGCCGACCGCTGGCTGCGGCACCGGGGCCGCCTGGCGCCCAACACGACGCGCGCCGAAAAGGTCCTTTCCGGCCTGACCATGCTCTTCGCCGTCGTCGGCACCGTCGGTCTGATCCTGCTGAGCGTCTTCGACACGCTGCGCTACCCGCGCCAGCATGATATCTTTCTGCTGCTGTTCATTGCCGGCTATGTGCTCTCAGCGATTTTCATCTGCTGGGAGTACCAGCGGCTGAGAACGCGTATGTGTCTTCCTCTATCCCTCCCTCGAGTTTCCATAGGCTCAAATTTACTGACGGGACTCGAACAGGCTACCGAGATCAGCGGATCCTCGGCCTCTCCTTCTACATGAAGCTCTTCTTCGTCATAATCGAGATCCTCCTCGCCATCGCCTTCGTCGCCACCACCTTCACGCGCAACTATAACCCGGGCGCTATCTTGGAGTGGGTCATCGCCTTCATCTTCTCGGCCTACGTCTTTTCCTTCTATGTCGACCTCTACCCCGCCGCGGCGACCAAGCCGCAGCTGCAGGTGTCGGGCGGCGGCAAGGGCGGCGGCATGAAGGCGAGGTTGATGACGGAAAGGGACCCAGGCCCGAGGGTGCGACAACAGCACGACTACCGCCATGGGAACGGATTCAACGCGGCAAGCGAGCTGGAAGACGGTAGCAGCTTCGGAACGTCAGCGACGGCGACCCACCCTATGGCGTCGTTTGAAGCTCCTCGTGCCGCTGGCCAGGACTGGAGGCCTGACTCGCGGGGTAGACCAATGGCGAGCAATTTCTAGATGCATTTTATTTGGGTTTCGTGGTCAGTTAGAGAGTGTAGATCTCTTTGGGAGTAGCCGACAGGCCTTTCGGGTTAGAATCTGGCGATGAGCGATTGATACATGTCTACAGGATACAGCTGCATTGCTTGGGTTAGCGGGCGTTTCGGACATCATACACGGATGGCGAGTACACACATCGGGTAGTTTTAAAGGTTGTAAGACAAAGTGTTGTGCTTCATTCAACACTCAGAACAACCTGACTTGGTCAATCCAGATCCCAATGATCCAATCTCTGAACAGGAAATATCTAACCATATCCTATTCAGGTTATATCCCAAAAGACAACAATTCTTCGCTCTCATGGAGAATAGATATGCGAACTCCGTCAATGCGCCGAGCCCGTTGAATGCCCATCATATCATACACTTACTCATGCCTCGTACAAGTATACCCTCATATGACGCAATCCAGACAACGACGCCTCTACTCCAAAATCTCCGAGAACCTAGACCACCGTACGGGATTAGCCGTCCCAGTCGCCCCCGGCGCCGACAGAGCCGCAACCCTCGTTCGCAGCACCGGCTGGGGCTGGGGCTGGGGCTGGGGAGACGGCGAAGGCGAGCTTTCGGGCTCGCTCCGCGCCTCAACAAACTGTTCATCCCCACTGCTACTCGCCCCCTCGCTCACGTTCCCCAAGCTACCAGTCTCCCCTGCCCTCCCCACGCCCCCATCTTCCTCCTTCTGGTCCCCTTGTTCATCAAACCTTTCCCTCGACGAGACAGCACGGCGCTCGTCATCATCATCCATATTTCCCTCCCCGCGGCGACCAGCCATATCCACCCCGCGCATACTGTCGCCCCGTCCCGCCACGCTGCTCAGACTGGTGGAGCTCGCAACATCACTGCTATCCCCATCACCATCTCTTTGCCCCTTCCCCTTACCCGTCCCGTGGCCCCGCTCCAGACGGGCCAGGGCCACTCCACCTATGAAACCTCTCCTGTTTTGGTCACCGGCATCATTGTCGTTGGCGTTATTGGGCCTTGCAGAATCGTCTTTCCCAACCCCGGCCGCCGACGGTTTCGACCTGTTCCTATTCGGCAGACGGGAGAACAGCCAGGCGCGGACTTTTTGTGTTTGCGAGGGCTGGGATTGGACAAATGGGGCCGACGTCGAACCTGGTGAGGCAGGGATAAACGTTGACTCTGCGGCCAACGTTTCTTGCTTGGGCGGACGTCTGGAGAATGTGATGGCTGACAGGGCGCGGACATGACCGCCAATGCCGGACAATCGTTTGGTCTCGGTTTCTTGGGACGGCGCGGTGGTTGGCCTTTCGTCTGAATTTGAGGCTGTAGATGATGGGAGGATCGCGTCCTTCTGCTTCTGTTTCTGCTTCTTTTCCCTGGCGGCCTGCTTTCGCTCGGCTTTGATCGCTTTCGCTTCCTCCTTTCGGAGCTTGTCCTCGTGCTTGATTTCAGATCTGCGGGCTTTCTCATCTTCCCGTTGGGTTTCTGTAAGAATGTTTAGCAAGGCGGTATGGCCACCGCGGTAGAGTGTTCAATACCTTTGAGCTTCAGGTGAATTTCCTGAACCTCCAATTCTCTCCTCCTGTCTATTTCGGCCTGCTCTTTCCGCCTTTCCTCTTCGAGTCTTTCCTGCTCTCTTCGTTCTCTCTCCTTCTCGGCCGTCTCGTTAATCCTATCTAGGAGCGGTTGGACTTTGGTAGCGGCGATCTTTTCTACTTCTGACTTGTCCATAAACTTCCCGCCCCCAATGTCGATTTTCCCAACGTCGGCGGTACCGGCGGCAACGACTCTCGCTTGCGCAGCCACGCGCGCCTTCCTCTCCCAGTCGCCCATGCTAGTTCCGGGCACATTGCCGTTCTCGGATTGCAGTTTCTCGTCCATGTCCTGCAGCTGGGCCTTTACGTTGCGTTGGGCGGTAGCAAGCAGCGTCGCCTGGTCTGCGGCTCGTTTCTCCTCGTCTACCTCTGCCATCTTGTTGTTCAACAATGACGTTTGTCTTCGTATCTGCGCCGAACGCCGCCGGTCTTGCAGTAGGTCTCCGTCACTGGAAGAGCGTTTCCTAGTCAGCTTGCCCTTGATGGTGCCAAATTTGGTTCGTTGCGGGGTCCTTGGCGAGCCGTAATAATCCTGGAGATCCCGGTGCTTCTGGTGTTCTTCTTGAAGCTTGCTAAGGCGCTCTTGGGCGAGCCGGTAAGCCGCTTCTTGGAGGCTGTTCCCTGCTACCGCTGGGACTTGGTGGTCTAGCTCCGGGCTCGATACCATACTTTCGTCATGGCCCGGCAAAGACATGGAGCGCGCGTGGGCGCGGGCCGACTTGTCGATCATCTTCTGCTGCTGGTCATACATGCTCTTTGCCATTGCCAGAGCTGAAGCATGCAGAACTTGGGCACGTCTCTGCTCGTCTGTTTCCGGCTTGACTGGAGGATGGGAAGTGAACATATCCCGGTCCATGGTGGTATAAGGCACGGCGCCCACCTCGTTGGCCGAGAGGGTTCTTTGGCGCATGGATGGCCGATGGGCAATTGTGGCGGCGCTCATGGCGTTCGCCTTGGCGTTGGCTTGGTCTGGATATGTTTCCGCGGGTAGATCGGGGGAAGACCTCGCCCTCGGCCGCCTACCAATTACGCTCCCTTTGGCCGCACGCACTGAGTTCCGCCTTGTAGGGCCCTGCGACTCGCGCTGGGGGGATTTTCTTGCTTGGAAGGCCAGGTTTGCGGCCGAAGATCCCCAGGTGGATGGAGGCGTGGGTTGCTGTTTCTTATGTCGTTGCGCCCAGCCAGCGGCAAGAAGGGCGGTCTGGGATCCGGACGTGGTCAAGTCAGATGACCCAAGAGACGGGCTCAGCGAAGCATCGGCATTAGCAGTAGCGTGTGCCCACCCTAGAGAAGCAGCAGCGCTCGCAGCCGCGTCGCCTGCTTTCAGTCCGGGGGAAGGATAGCTAGGGAGGTCTTGGGCATTTGCGTATTTGAGTCGTCTGGAGACGCCTAAAGATAGAAGCTGTGAGCGAGCCGCTGGGGTATGATGCAGGGCAGTCTAGCGTATTATACGCTACACGGGTAAAGTAGGCAGGTGCGCACGGTCAAACATACCGAATGGCGTCGAGCGGGAATTGCCGCCCGGCGATCGCGATGCTAACGAGGCAGTGGCCATCGTTGCGAGCAAGGATTAGTCGGGTAGGTATTTGTTAGTCAAGTCGGAGTCAACCAGGTCTGCTATATGGTATTATGTCGCATGATAATAATACAACACGGCTGGAATGTCGCAACGAATAACGATATGTGCTGTAGAAATACGAAGAGTTAATAAGGATGCCTTGACTTCGAGGCTGAGGCCAACCACACTGTGACCTGGGTCGGTGGTAAGGCCTGTTTAGCTAGGCGGCTGATCGGCCTAGCTAGCAGGGAAACAGCGTTGATGACAATAGGAACAGGTCCGGACACCCTGGCCATCTGCCAGGCTGGTTGTATTTTACATCGCACTCCTCTCCGGGCTACATATCATTTTCACAGCAGCTATGTCTCCCTGCTGGCCATTTCCCTGGCGAAAAGGCATCGTCAATTCGTCATGGACACCTGACGACGTCATTGTTCTCAGCAGCTAAGAATGGCGCCTGCGGTGCAACCCCTGCAACTGCCCTGCAGCGACAAGGGTCGTTCTCAGCACAGGCCATGCTGCAGGCTCTCTCTTTCTGTGGGTCGACATCGATGTCGAATTGTCGATGGCATGGCAATTCCCATCAGCCAGACAACTCCGCGACACTCTGATTTTGTAGCGAGAGCCTGTAATCTAAACCATCTCTCCTGCCATGGTAGCATCTTTCAGTTCAATGGCCCGCGAATCTCCAATTGCAGACATTGATGATGGGGTTTCTCAGACCCTGTCGTACTTTGGAGCCCTGTCATTCGTCCAGAAGTGCTGATCCCCGGGCTAAATATCAGGCTCGTGACGCACAAGTGGACATCCCCAACGAATGCTTCACATGACCATCGGGGCTGCAGACACTACGGGAATTTCAAGCCCAAAGGGGAGAGACGCAGCATGGGGAGGACTGTCCCGAAATATTTAAAGCCTTAAGTGGCTAGCTTCTCCGTTGCTTAAACCAAGCCGGCACTTCGCTACACTGTAGTCGCCCGAGCTTGGTGCCGAGTCGACATGACCTGGAGCTGTCGAGGTACCGGTAGGCGTGCATCCTCCCGAGCAATCCTTAGTGTATCTCGTAGCACGGCGCCTTGCCCTGGATATTGCCCCCATCGAGAACTCCATTCTAACGACGAGGTTTCCCGTAAACCACAATCATGTCACAAAGCAACAACGCTTGTCCGGTATCAGAGTTCATTGATGTGCGTGCACATATGCCTAATCCATTACGCCGAGGAAAAGTACCCGCAACCCTTTACTATCCCTTTTAGCCACGCTTAAACCTCGTGCAGCAGCTCCTTAAAGCCACCCGGTACCCGCTGCGGCTTGCCCTCAGCCTTGATCTCACCCAGCTTCTCCTTGGCGAATGTGGACGCGTACGGGTTGAGACGGAGCAGAACCTGCTTGTTCCGGAGCGGGTTCTTCTTCTGGACCGCGCCACGCTTGGTGCGCGCCTCGCCCTTGGGCGCCCGGAGGACGCTCTGAATTTCGGAGCTGTTGATGAGACGGCCAAGGTCGGCTTGCGAGACGACGTTGGACGGGAGGAAGAAGCCCTTCTTGCTCTCGTAGACCGAGTCGAGCTGCTTGATAGCGGCCGATGTCCAGATGATGAACCGGCCGAGGTGACCGCCAGGGGCGAGCTGGAGGAGGTTGAGCGCATCGACGGGGCATGTCTCGACGCCGGGGATGTTGCGGAAGCCCTTGACAAGTTCCTTGCCGTCCGTCTCGGCGCTGTAAACAATAAGAGGACCACGGCGCTGGCGGTGCCGGCGGCCCCTCATCTTGCCCTTGCCCGCGCGGAGCTTCTTGGACTTCTTGACCTTCTCAACATCCGCACCAGCACCAACAGCCTTGAGGAGACCAAGGGCAGCAGAGGTCTTGGCGAGCGCCTCGCCGGCGACAGCGTTCGAGTCGACGACCAGAGGAACCTCGGGGACCGTGGCAACCTGGTGGCCACGGGCCATCAGGAGAGGAGCGACAGCCGAGGCGGCGAGTGCCGAGGCCGTAGCGAAACGCCTGCAACAACCGTCAGAACACACGCGTGCAAACCCAGTCTCGATGCCACATACTTCTGACCCTGGTTGACCTTGACGTGCCACTTGCGCCAGACCTTGGTAGGCGCGAACATGCGACCGGAGCGGCACATGTTACCGAAGGCGGCCTGGCCAGCACGGTGGGTACCACCACCAGAGACACGGGGAATACGGGCGACGGCACGACCTGTATTCGTTGACAATCAGTAACCCGATATCAGGAACCCGCATTTCCCCTCTTTCCAATTGAACGTGACTCCCCAAATCCACATCAGCAATCTCATCCTTTCCTCCTCTTATCTTCCCGTCCCGCAATGCGTAAAACCGTCCAAAAATAAGCACTCACCAGTGCCCCACGACTCGGCCGAGGTCTGGTGGCCGGCCTTCTCGCTGACGGAGTACGGCTGCCTCTTGTTCTTGGCCATGCCAGTGTGGACGTGCTTGACGATATCAGGGCGGATCGGGGCGCTGAAGACCTTGGGGAGGACCTCGGTGGCACCGGTGGCCTTGCCATCGGCGCCGATAACGGTGACAGTCGGTCTGGAGGCCATCTTGTCCAGTGCTGGGACAAGTTTCGAGGCTGCAAGCAGAGAGAAGTCCAAGTCAGCAATCAGATATCGAGTTTTTCGAGGTAGTCGGTCGTAAATAACAATCGGAACTATTCGAGAGCTTGTGATTTCGACTCGGGCGTGTGTGCTTACCTCGGCGGTGGGCGGTTTGTTGAAGATGCGGAAAATTGAGGCCAGCTGCGAGCTCCCAATTGAAATTTTGGAATATTTCGTGAAGTGCGCCCTCGTGGGACCGCACCCACAGGCCCTAAACCACGCTAAGCCCACACCGTGTGCGCCCCACTTCTAGCCGTCTGTCGGCTGGCACTCGAACTGCAACAGCTGGCAGGATTTAGATGGACTGATGGACAAGAACAACGCACGTTTCATTTCTGGATCTTCTCATCATCTCAGCACTCAGGACTCAGGCCATGTCAATGTCAGCTCAACGAATTTGACTCGTTCTCAGCGTGGCTCACAAGTTGCATCTTACCTAACCTGGTTCCAGACAAAGTCTATTGACGGAGATGCTCCATCTAGCGGAACATGACGCCCTAGATCCATGAACTCATACCGGTACCTCGTACTAACAGTGACACAGTGACTCGAGGCTCATCATTGGAACAAGCGACATCAATCTTAGTTACTGTGGTTGTATCCAACACCAGTCTCTGCCTCAGAACCTGATCGATCTACGGATACGGTCTCAAACCGATGCGTACACCTATCTCCAAGTAGCCACTAAATCTTCACTCCAACTACTTCAACCCCAAACCTCAAGATTAAACGACTAAACATTCCCCGACAACTGCTGCGGATGCGACCCGGGACACGGTCCCGTACACGCCAACCCCATACTCGCCTGGTTGCGTATATTGGAGCACAGCACCTTGGCTGAGCCGCCCCTCAAGGGCCTGATGTCAATGTTCTCGAAGTGGAACCCATCGCAGGGCGCCTGGGCACTGCAGTGCATGCCTGCCGCAACGTTGTACCGGCTCGTGCCCGTGATGTTCTCCCAGCGGATGTTGGTGATGGATAAGCGGGACGAGTCGCAGTTGTTGTAGGAATCTTTTCCGTTCAAGGTTGTTAGTTCATACTACGGACGGGCACAAAAGGGGGAAGGGGGGGAAAGAGGGCTGGTGTCAGACGCACAGATGCACGAGGTTACGTAGATGGGCTGGTTGACGTCCTTGAAATCGATGTTGCGGAAGGTGACATTGCGGACGTGGCCCCTCCCCGGGTAAGTTTTGATCCAGGCTGCGTTGCTCGAGTCTGTTGGTTCAGGTTAGATACGCTGTTCGTTCTTCCCTAGCTTTGAACGCCCATTGTTTAGGCCTTGGCTTCTCCCAAAAGACAGCCAGCCGTTGAAGGGGATACGGGGGAGTGAATGATTCCACGTACGGTTAAGGGAGACACCGTCGACCAGAACGTTCTCGACATAGTCGGGCTGGTTTGCGTTGGAACCTATGGAGCCGATCGTTACCGAGCCGGATTCGAAGCACGTCACGTTCTTAACGTGAACGTTGGTGCTGTTTCCTTTGATGCCGATACAGTCCTTTTTGTTTATTTCCAGTTAGGAGCCTGTCAGGGGTTTAAACCATCCGGGAGAGCGATTTGTCCGACTCACATCGCCGCATTTCACCGTCCAGTTCGCAATGAAGATGTCTCTCGAGTTCCAGGTATTCGTCCCGTCCGTGTTCTGCGAGCTCTGCGAGTTTTGCGAGTAGGTGCTCATATCGAGGTTGGTCATGGTCACGTTCTGCGAATACGCCACGAAAGTGTGCCAGAACTGCGCCATGCGCCAGGTGATGCCGTCAATCAGCACGTTGGTCCCGCGCCAGACGGTCAGCGTGATGGGCCTGCCTTGCAGATTTGCCTGGCCCCTTGCCAGATCGATCCACGTCTGGCCGTTGCCGTTGAATAGGGCCTTGCCGAACCCACGCAACGTAATGTCCCGCCCGCCGATCCGCCACGCCGTCGACCGCTGCGCGTACGTCACGGAGAAGCTGCTTTGCCGCCAGTACGACAGGTTGTCGTCGCTCCAGATAAGCGTGCCGTGGATCTCGATGCTGCAGTTGCGCAGATCACTCATGTCCATGACCTGTCGGATGTGGTACGTCCCTTCGCGCAGGATGATGGTGCCATCTTTCCCGCACTGCTTGTAGGCCTCCATGATCTGGGGCGTGTCGTCCACGCGGTTCTGGCGGTCTTGCAACTCGACTGGTCCAGCTCGCCGCGGTCGTGGATGGGATACCGCTGCTACAATGGGCGGGGAGCCATCCGAGGACGGCTCCGGACGGGGGTAGTGACCCGGGACGCTGGGCAGCTCATCCTGCTCAAGGTCGCGATTTGCCGGCGCGACAGTGTCGATGCTGCGCATAGCGACTCTATTCTCGCTAAGAGGTGTCACGACACATGTCGAGCCATTCTTAACCATGGCGGCGGATGCCGACCAGAAGACGGTGCATAGCACCGACAACAAGGGAGGGAGTCGCATCTTGGGTGTTGTTTTGTTATCCGAACTGCTCGCACCCGGTTTGACGTTGGAGAAGGGCGAACGAGAATAATAAACTCGCCATGATCATGTACTGGGATCACATCGTCTACCCCCCAACCCACATCGTCAGTAGATATTGTCAATAACGGCACCCATACCATCCACCCGCATGCAACACCCCGCAACCCGGGGGATGGGTCGACATATTGGCGTTGTGAAAGTTGATTGCTCTCACTTCCCCATGTGTCCTATTTGGACCGTTGCCTCGCAGATGGCCTTCCCGGCTGATATCCAAGCGCACCATTCCGGGCGGAAGTCCCACTATAGCCGGCGCGGAACCCCTGGGGTACGGGTGTCGGAGGTTATCGATATTAACTCGGCACTTGCAGCTTCGTTCCATTATAACCCGCGCCCTTCTGGTGTCAGAAATGGACGCCGGTGCCGGGTATCCGGGTTTGCATATAGTATCGAGAACTGCGAGACACTCACAAATGGTCACTCTTCGATATGATAGACTGAGCCCAATGTATATTGCCCTGAAAATATGTGGTATCGTAAATGACATAGTGCGTGTTCTGTGTAATCTTCTCGCGGAGAAATAACGTCCACCAACCCGCCATCGAGAGCCTCCCGTCATTCGACCTCCTTGAACCTCGCGGCCAAGACTGCGAGTTCCTCCTGCACATCTGGGTCCTCTTGGTCCTCTCGCAGCAGCTCGTTATACCTCGCCTTGATCTCTGCAAGCGCCCTAAGCCGCTCCCGCACATGGGACGCAAGGTAGTTGAAGTCATTATATTGACTCGCCAGCCGAAAGACTTCACGCATGCGCTTGCTGTACAGCTGACACGCAGCAAGCGGTCTCGGCTGCCGGCCCTTGTAGAAATTCCGCGGAACGTCGCTGTCTTCGTTTTCAATTATGGGCCAGACCACAGCATCAAAGCACGCCTCGCAGACCGTGAACTCGGGTATCTGTTGCATGACGTGCCAGGTGCGGTTTGGCACTGGAGTGTTGCGCAAGCACTCCTCAATAAGCGAGAGCTCTCGAATACGGTCGGCAAGTTCGGCAATGTCAGGGGCAGTCCTGTGACGAAGAGCCTCGTCTGACGTAGTCTCCATCAGCTCAAAATACTCCCAGAAGCGCTTGCGTTCCGGCGTAAAGTGGAGTTCGCAGATGTCTTTCGACGGTTCGTGCGAGTCCAGTGGCACAAATGCGCCGGCAAGGTTGGGCAACAGAGCCTCGACCGTCTTGGCGCACCCCAGACAGACGTTGAAAGTATGTATGGGATGCCTTGAGTTGGGCCCCATCATGCTGTACCAGATGCGTGTTGCGACTTGATTTCCTCCGCATGGCTGACAACGTGCGTCAACCGAGGCTACACCCTGCAGCAGCCGCAGGTCTGGATACCCGTGCTTGAGCGTCATGAGAAAGGCAATCCTATACCAATGGGAAGAACCAAAATCGCACGAGATCAACTGATCGCTGGGGCGGGCAGGACTCGGACCAAACTGATGCCTGAAATCAGTGTTTGCAAACACCGCCTCGTAACAGTCGGGACAGATGGTAAAATTTTCGGCCCGTTTCAAGGTTCGGAACTTGTCGCTGCTAGTTACATTCCGCGCAGGAGTAGGCCGCCTCCACCGGCAATCTGGAAGCTGCGGAAAAGCTCCCTTCAAAGCTTCTTCCGGGTATCGGGCGATTGATGCGGTGGTGCGCTGTTCTGTATCGCTCCTTTCCTCCGTGCGGCTGGTCTGCCAGTAGGGTGCTGGGGATTTCAGTTCTGAAGATTGATGCCGCACAAGGGACGCTGCGGGCCCAGCCAACGGTTTCCTCTCGGCAGCACTAGTTCTGCTAAGCGAGCCCGGCACCGAAGGCGGAAGTGAGACAGACCCGTTCGAAACTGTACTGACGCTATCGCCTCGAGAGCGAAGGTTATACTGGGGTTCTCTACTGCCTCGAGGGGGTCGCCGCGTTGGCGATGTGCTGGTTGGAGGAGACCGCGACAGTGAGCGCTCATCCTGTCGCCTACTCTTGTCGGTAGGAAATGTCGCGCTCCGGGGACTTGGCACGAGCGAGTTGTCTCCGGCTTGACCGGAATGAGCAGGGCCCAGAGAAGGAAATGGAGGTTCGAGTTTGGAGGGAGGTTGCCGCGCTTGATCAGCCTGCGTCAGAGATGGATATTCGGACTCCACGACTGAGCGCGCAGGATACGCGTGTTCAGCACGGTTAGGGCGTCTCTCCCTGTAACCCTCGTCGCTCGAGTATCCATCCCTCTCTCGGGCTCCGGACCGGGGTTTGTGTCTACGATTAGGTGACCGGCCAGGCATCTCTCTTGCGCCACGCGGATAGGGCGGCGAGTCACCGTTTCGAGTCCTGCGAGGAGATTCATCCCTGCTAGGTCTTCCGGCAATGAAGTCATCGCCAGGGGCCATGAAAGCGAAAATCTCGTCAGGATCGCCGTAGCCGCAGGGCTGAATAAAGGACCTTGGCCTTTCCGGAGGCGGCCCATCCCGGACCGGCATGTTAGTCGTGGAGGATGCACGCTTATGCACCGTCGGGTTCGACGAAAGACCAGATGCCGAATGAGAAGGACGCTTCCTCTCGGGCGCTTCTACCCCGGCAGCCGCCCTAGACGAGGAACTGCGGTTAGAGTTTCCACTCGTCTCCTTGCTGAAGTCCCAATATGCTCGATCTCGTTTCCCTGCGGTTTGCCTAACCGTGGCGGGAGAGAGAAAAGCGTCGTCGGGGTTGCGTGTGGTGCCAGTATCGCGAGGTTTAGGACGATTTTGGGACTCTTGATCCACGACCACATCTTCCCGGACCCTTCGACTACCAGACCGGCGGATCGAGGGCTCAGGCTGCTCAAATTGAGTACTGAGGCGTGGCAGATCCTGGTGGCTCTTTCGCTTCGGAAGATCGGCCCTTTTCTTTTCGTCCCTGGCATGTTCCGGGGCCTCCTTGTCCTCAATGCCCTCATCTTCCGTCTTCCCCGGCGTGACGAGAACATACTTTCTGCAAGTGTTGGCCTCATACTGCTCCTTGGGAGCCGAGTGCTCAGGCAGGTTTGTATTCGGAGCGTCCCCATTCCCAGCGTTCGGGACAATCACGAATCTGCGCTCAGGGTTATGCTCATGGACTTCTAGGAGAATGGGTTGCTGATCGATGTCGCCGCGGTACTTGGGCTCCTCATCGGACGTGATCGAGACTATGGACCCCACGTGCTCTCGTGCCAATGACTCTTCTTCATCCTCCACACTGGGGCGCGGCGGTCGTTTGTCGTACGGTTGGGGCTCTGCCGACCTGGGAACACCGATATTCGACTTGGGCGGTTCGTAGGCGCGACGGTGTGAATCATAACTATACCCACAGGGCGTGTCAACGGATTGGGTTCGGCATAATCGGAACAGTGGGGTTTCCTTACGGAGTTGGGCTCTTCGAGCGGGATGTCCTCCACGATCCTGTCTGCAGGAGCGAATGTATATCGTCTTTTTCAACCATTGTTAATTACACACAGTGCCGTACTTCCCAAACCACAATCGTCCGGTGGGAACCTAGAGTAGGACCATCGTTGGCCTCACGGGGAGGCACGGAGCAGCACTAATTGCGGGGACAACGATGGCGTGTTCGATGTGGCCTAGCAGCCTAACCAGCTTGGCTTGATCCTGCCCGGCAATGCTGCGTCGAGGAGAAGATAAGATTCAAAGAGTCTGGAAAGAGTAGGATGTCTGTGCAGAGCGCAATGGTTTTGATGGTGTTTGGACAGTGAGGCAGACGATTGGGGCAAGGATAGGAAGCACACCAGATAACGTAGCTTGAACTCAACTTGAACTGGGCTCGAGCTGGGCTTGGGCTGAGGCACTGCACGCCGAGTGGGGCTGGACTTTCCTGTTGCTTCACCTTTCGGTCTGGAGCTCGACAAGGGTGGCTGCAGGAAATCGACCAGGGGGTCCAGGAACCCAATTGGTCGTCGCTTGTTTTACACCTGATTTTGATGCGCAAGCAAGGCAACATGGCACCCGACAGGGGGGGCTGGCCATGTGTTAAGGCAAACCAACCTTTCCAGTGTCGTTGTCGCTCGGGCAGGTGCAGTTTGTGCCAATGTTCGGTTGGGCCTCGTCTATAGTGTATGTATGTACAATACATACGGAGGTACATACGTGGAGGATTCGATCAATAACTCAGCGCAATTGCATACCTTGACTAAGGTGTCGGGTATCCTCCATAGTACCACAGCAACAGCCGCAGGGCTCCGTTGAATTCATGCATGCTTTGTACCTACAATACATTGGATCTTTCTCGTCACCGAGGAGAGGAATTCAGACTTGCATTGGACCTTCTCACCGTGTATACTTCGTATACATACATATAATACATACATACATACATGCATATTACACGCTACGGTAGGCGCTGCCGCTGCCTGCTGTGCACCGCCGAAGTGGCTGACGGACAGAGGCCGCCTGTGAGACCAATCAATGCGTGTGTAGATGGCTCGCAGGTCGGTGGTGGGTCGTTCCAATCAGAGGGTGTCAGAGGCTCCCGTCAGTGCTGGGCAGCCTGGGAGCGGGCCACGGGCAATATAGACTTACGCTACACTACCTAATTTCTCTGTATCAGCCGTGTATTGTACCGGCCAGAATAGCGCAGCGACGGAAGAGAAATAAAGCTGACGTTCGAGGCAGTCAACTTCCGCAAACCGTTTTCACAGTCACTACTCCACCATTGTTCGTCCCGTTAGGTTGTATGTTGTGTACATATGTAGTTAAACGTTCTGAAGGGACACACGACAAGACCCCCTCCTGGCAAGGCTGACTGCGGGGCACGACGTCATTGTAAAAGGTGAGGGAAGCGGCCGGGGCTGGCCCCTGTGTAAGTTACAAGTGTAAACTGGTTGTACTGTACACTACCATCCCTTTGACCGTGGATTCGACACATTTTAGCGCGCCCCATAAATACTTCCGATCCAGCGAAATCCTGAGTGTGCTGAAAGTCCTGATCTACGCCGAGATATGGGGGTTGGGAGTCCGATTGGCTAAACCCGCTGTACGCGCTAACATGTGTCGAATCCACGGTCAAAGGGATACAGAGTAAATATACAACGAATTGCCTAGCTCTACGCTACGTAGCCTGCAGCTAAGCTCCATCGGGCAGGGCAAGGTCTGTGGCTTTGCATTATAAGACTTCATCCTTCCCGAAGTTCACCACAGATCTGCAACTGACTGGAGAGAGCTACCTAGGTAGTGTAGCGGGGACACACCAAAGACCAAGATGGACCGGCATCTTCTTTCAGCACCGACAGCAGACTTGCACCATTGCATCTTGGCTCACCGAGTTTCCTTACCTTCTTATTATTCCTGGTGTTTGGTTCTGCGCCCGCTTACAACGGTTCTTTTATTACACGACTCCGGACGGGAGTTCTGGGAACATGTGAAAGCAACGAGAAACACAGGGCATGGCCAATCTTCAGATGGCCCAGCATGCCACGCAGTCCCTTGTGAACATCTTCATGTGAAACACAGCCAGTTGGGCTATATGCACTACTACCTTACATTCAGAAGAAGGTAACAGCGCATGCTGTCTCTTCATCTCATCAACCCTCGGGTCCTCCCTAGCGCCGAAGCGTCGAGTAGTACGAAGTTCTTTTGTAGGTATAAGTCGATCAAGGTCGTGCGTCAGATCTATGGTCTGTTTAGACAGAAGGCGAATGCCTCTCCAAGTCCAACTAGGTACAGTACCTAGTATTGTTATGAAGAGTCAGTCCCGTCATCCCAGGCTAGGTTAGGGGATCGTTTTGGGCTAGAATCGACTCAATCAAAGGGTTGTGCTAAATGGCCCGGAGTGCGGTCCCGCTAATGGCATAACCCCGTTGCCCATTCGGTATCCTCACTCCCGATCAAAATCATCGCATACCTAGATCCGTGCTCAAAATTTATAAAAGCTGTAACACCTCTTATACTGACACCACCTTTAACCCGGAATCGCGACGCATCTGCGGTGCCAATGGAAATTAATTTTGCAAGAGCAGCTTCGGCTCGACGGCTGCTGAGGTGGCAGCCGCCATTGAACCGGCCAAGGAGTTGGGTATGCAGCGCGTGCCGAGTAAACCGCTTGGGAGTCGCGTCCCAGCGCTTCGCGTCGCAGTCGTCATTGCCCTCTGAGAAGCCCTTCTATGTCACCACACCCATATTCTACGTCAACGCCGGTATGTGTCTGCATATGCATAGACTTTAGCGGTCAATCTCTGAGCAGCCGGGCATGTGCTGACCAGCCCGGTAGCACCGCACATTGGCCACATGTACTCGATGGTACTGGCCGATGTGTTCAAGCGATGGCAGACGCTGATGGGAAAGCGGGCACTTCTCAGCACCGGCACTGACGAGCATGGAATCAAGGTGCAGCAGGCTGCCGCACTCGACGACAAGCCACCGAAGGAGTTTTGTGACCAGTTCGCCGAGAGGTTCGAGGAGCTGGCCCAGCTGTCGCGCATCGACTACGATCGCTTCATTCGCACCACCGATGAAGACCACATTCAGGCCGTCGAGCACTTCTGGTTTCTGCTTCAAGAGAAGGGCCTCATATACGAGACCAAACATGAGGGCTGGTACAGCGTCAGTGACGAATGCTTCTACCCTGAATCCCAAATCGTCAAATCTCAAGAGCCCTTCACGGGCGCCGTATACATGGCGTCTGCCGAGACGGGAAACAAGGTGGAATGGGTTGAAGAAAAGAACTACCGGTTCCGCATGACGGCGCTTAAAGACAGGCTCCTGGATTTCTACGAGAAGAACCCCGGGTGGGTGGAGCCCGCCTCCCGCATGAACGAGGTGGTCAACTGGGTCAAGAACCACTTGGATGACCTCTCCATCTCGCGACCCGTCCAGCGACTGAGCTGGGGAATTCAAGTCCCAGGCGACGCGTCTCAAACCATCTACGTCTGGGTGGACGCCCTGGTCAACTACCTTACGAGTGCCGGTTTCCCTACGTGGACACCAGGGCAAACCGAGAGAGGCGGCTGGCCGGCGGATATTCACGTTATTGGCAAAGATATCCTTCGGTTCCACTGCGTATATTGGCCAGCATTGCTCATAGCGCTGGATCTCCCCTTGCCAAAGAGAATTCTTACGCATGCACACTGGACGCTGAACAGGAAAAAGATGTCCAAATCGCTCGGCAACGTAGTCAACCCCACCTATGCCATCAGCCGATGGGGTATCGATACGGTGCGCTTCTATCTGCTGTTTGAGGGCGGTATTGCAGACGACGCAAACTACGACAACACCACCCTCGCTGCGAAATATAAGAAACACCTGCAGTGGGGTTTTGGCAATCTTCTTGGACGCGTCACAAGGACACGCATCTGGAACCTACCAGAAATAATTGCCAACGCCGCCGAGCCTCAGAAGATTGGTGTATCGCTTGAGAAGGCTGTCGCTGACTTTGAGAACCAGCTGTTACAACTGAGGCCTAATGTTACACAGCACATGGAACAACTGAACCCGGTGGCTGCAATTCGCTGCATCATTGAGCAAGGCGGCCAGGTATGCCGAGCCCCTATTGGCATGCGAGTTGGAAGCTAACATATCGATAGATAAACGACTTCCTTAGCAGCGCGCAGCCGTGGGCTCTATTGAAGTCAACAGACCCGGAAAATAAGGCGGCGGCCGACAAGGTAGTGTATATGGCGGCGGAGAGCCTGCGAGTCTGTGGCATTCTCCTGCAGCCTTTCCTGCCCGATAAGGCTACCCAACTCCTCGACACTTTAGGAGTTGCCCAGGACAAAAGGACCTACGCCTATGCCGTCCCAAACTGTGACTTGAGCTACGGTACCCCCTTCATAGATCCCGGCCGAGACCGCAATGATGGCCTATTTCCTCCCTTGGTAGAGGATAAGGATGTTGACTATGCCGGCAATTTGAAGGCGCAGAGACGGGCGGCGCAGAAACGGCCGGAGAAGAAGGCACCTTCAATCTTGCATACCGACAACTGACATGAGAGACGGTGGCCTCAGCCTACCTAAGCAACGCGATTTTGTGCTGATTATTTGTAAGACTAGACGGATGGCTTGTCGTGCATTTACCGGTCTCCAAGATTAAGATACCCCGTCAGCCACAGTGTACTAGTAGAATATACCTCTCTTTAAGGCATGAAGCTGGGCCGGATGGCATGGGCATTGCTGCTTTGCCAGGGGGCTGCACCAACCTTGAGCAGGCGGGACCCGGTCCGGATACAACGCAAACCCCGATAACAATAGCAGCTGGAGACCTGTTTTTGCCCATTGCAACAAAACAGTCATTTGCAGGCCTTTCACACTTACATATCTCATTGCAGCTTCCACACCCGTCAACAATCAGAAACCATGAGACTTAATGAGTCCACTGGTGCGCTCATCCGCTTCTCGTTCAAAATGATTGGTCTTAGACTGACTGATGGCGTTCCAATGCAGCCGTCTCCACGACAAAGGTTCTCCTCGTCCCGTATAAGCGGCACCACGTCCCGACATATCACTCCTGGATGGAAGATCCCGTAAGGCGGTTACTCTTTATTTTCATCTCGATTTCTCAAAGTGACTCCCAAGCCAGGCCATCCAGGAAGCCACCGCCTCCGAACCGCTCACTCTTGATGAGGAATACGAAAACCAAGCTTCCTGGCGTGCCTCACACGATAAATTAACCTTTATCGTTTGCCAGCCGCTCTCGTCAGCACCAGCTCACGTCTCATCTATTCCGGCTGGCGGCCCGGATGCCCCCGAGAGAATGGTGGGCGACGTGAATCTGTTCTTGTACCCCGACGAGGAGGATGATGATGAGGCGCCGGATTCCACTGCTGCTTCTCCCCGGTTCTGCGTAGGCGAAGTCGATATCATGATCGCTGACCCGCGCCATCGCGGCAAGGGGCTCGGCCGCGCAGTGGTGCAAGCCTTTCTGCAATATATATCCCGCAACCTAGACGGCCTGATGCAGGAGTATGCCCAGGATAAGGACATGCCAACGCCGCCGAGACTCAGGCTGCTGATGGCGAAGATCAACCAGGGTAATGCCAAGAGCATCGCCCTGTTCAAAAGCCTAGGCTTTGAGCAGGAAGGAGGAGTGAGCTACTTTGGAGAGGTGAAGCTGGTGCTCCGCGCTCTGAGCACATTCGCAGCTGAGCTCCCGGAGGGATACGCTGAACTTGTCTATTTCCGAAGTAGTCAGGCCAAAGACGAACTGAATTGAAAAAAGAACGGTCCAAAGAACACCATGGCCGCTCGATAACGCATGTATAAGAAGGGTCCATGCGTTTCCCCGGTCTACTCTATCCCAAACGCCTTCTTTTGCTTGTTCAGAATCTCCCAGCTGACATTCGACCCCCCGCAAACCACCAAAACGACATTCTTCTTCGCCCACTCCTCATCCGTCAATCCCTCGCCCAAATGCCTCCTTAAACCCCCGTTATAGGCCATGGCCACCGTCGCACCACAGGCCACCTCGATCAGCATCCTGGCATCGTCCAAAAACCGCGCGCACCCCATGACGGCCTCCTTGTCTGTCACGGTGGCGCTGATGAGGTTCCCCTTAGCACTCGTGGCCCACTCCCACGTCTTGGCCGATACCCGGGTGGCGCCAAGCGACAGGGCGACGGAGGTGATGCCGGGCAGCGTGAGCAGGCGCCCGGCCTGAACGCTGGCGAACAGACTGTCGGCGCCGACCGTCTCGACGGCGAGCACCTTGGGTTTGGAGGGCGCGAGTAGTTTGGCGTTCCGCTCCAGCCCTTCCATAACCCCGTTCAGCAAGCCGCCTCCCCCGACGTTGCACACCACACCGTCCAGAGTCACCGGCTGGCCGTCGCCGCTGTTGCCGTGTGGGAGCTGGCGGACAATCTCGCCGACGAGCGTTGCCACGCCGGACCAGATGTCTGGGTGGTCAAAGGGCGGGACATAGACGCGCCTCTCATCTTCTTCGGTATTGGTGGTGGTCTTGAGGAAGGTCTCGCGCAGGTAGGCGTCGGCCTCGGCCCAAGTGGCGCCCGTCTGGATTACCTCGGCGCCCAGGTCGCGCAGCTTGGACACCATAAACTCGGACGCGCTGGTGGGCACGACAATGGTGACCGGGCTGTTGCCGAGGGCGATGGCTGTGGTTGCGCAGGCCAGGCCGGCGTTGCCGCCCGACGAGCAGTAGAAATGTACCCTTGGTGGCAGCTGTGAGGGAGAACCGGCTTGGCATAGCGAGGTCAGGGCTATGGACATCATGTTCCCAATGCCGCTGTTAGTTTATGAGGGTTAGCTTAAGAGTTTTGTAGGTTCAGGAGAGGAAGAGGAAGGGGAGTGGGAATGGGAGGGGGTGAAATACCGAGACTTGAAGGAGCCTGATGGTTGGCAGTTCTCCAGCTTCAGAAAGATGTTGCATCCTGCTGCGCGAGATATGGGTGGTGAGAAGACGAGGGGCGTCTCGACCCAGGGCTTGGGCGGATCGGGGGAAAAGGAGCCCATTGTTTATTGTTTACGATCCACGTTGTGATGAAGTTTTGTCGAGACTGTGTTGGTGATGTCTGGGACCGACCGCGGCCAGGAAGCAAGCTCGAGAACAATTGGGCTTGATGAAGTGTTCCTTTAGCTCGCTGGAGACTGCAACTGAAGTCTCTTAAAGGCAGGCACAAGAGGTGAGGTGGCTTGGACGTGGAAGGAACGTTGAGTTTTCAATCGCCGCTTCTTATCTTCGTTTTATATGAAGTCCTCTTGTCTTCCGGCTGCCACGCCCTTAATCTTGCATGCCTTCCCGAATAGGGAGAGAGACGATGCAGGTTACGTGTGAACTTTGGTCTAGCCCCCAGGTTCTGGTAGCTTGGACGGGTTTCCTTTAAGTAATAGCACGCATCACAGGACCAAGTTCGAAGTTTACATTTTGTAATTCTAGGGTAAAAGGTTGCTATCTGTCTGATATTTTGATCAGGATCTCGGAAACGGTTCCAGGTTCCAGCGACCTTTTTTCGTTTTATCTCCGGGGTGGTGGGGTATAAACCGATGGTAAACGACGCAGTGTTCCTGCAGCCCAAAGCCGAGGACGAAGACAGCTCATCTGCGTACAAGTACAAGTACATCAACATCCCCCCTAAAATTCTCTGCCCATAATGTACCCGGTACTTGATCGCCAGTTCCATTGACTACGACTTGCAGATCATGAGACTTGTCGGTGCCCCTTACTTAAGTCAGGAACATGGTATCAACAGGTGAAGGAGCATCGGAGCTGGCTAGCCGCTGTATTCTTTTGTTGCTGCTGTGCTCTCTTTGATGTGTTGGCGGCGAGGCCACATGACCACCCGGGAGGAGGCCTAAAGGACTAAGGGGATGGCGCCGTCGGTGCTCCTTCGGGCTGGTTGATTGAGTTGTCTACGGATTTGAATGGAGCAGATCTCGAGCATACTCTCCGCGACGGGATATCTTTGCCTGCAGAGCGAAGCTACTAGCAAGCACTTGATCGCCACGCGTCGAGCCAAAGTATGAGAGCATTTCCTTCCTTGCTAAACGGGACGGTGTAGGTGTGGGAATGCTGCCGTCAACAAGCCCGTCCATCGGCTCAGTGGTGAGCGAAACCCAAGAACCTACGGTCGAGCTCAAAACAGGGTGAAAGGCTCCCTCTATTGAGATGTTGTAGCAAGTAAATGAGCCTACGTAATGAATCTCATTCTTCATACGGACAGTAATGTGCTAACCTCAGGCAGATGGGATTCTTGGACGCAGGAAAAGAGGTTAGTCGTAACCACTGGCCTGACCGGAAGTATTGCACAAGTAAAATGGCAGTCGCTGAAAAGGGGCTTTGACAGAATCTGCCTTGTTCTCTCTGAATGGTCGTGCTTGAGAAAAGATAACACTGCGAGAGAGCATGGAAGCATGAATCTAAATGTGAAAGGAAAGAAGGACCGGTTTCTTCTGTAATCAAAGCACTTACAAAAGCTGCCAAAGGCAGTTGCCATGTGCCGGTTGAGGTAAGTAGCTGGCACATTCATTCTTGAATGGGTTAATGCTGCACTTCCGGTCCTCGCTACCTTACCTCCCGATGTTGAAACCACTCTTTGGGGCATACAGCTTTGGGATACGAAGCCATTTGATTCATTACCTTTCTTGATCATCAACGCCCACCTCTACCTATCTCACTCTTTCATCTCGAGTCGAAAGGAGAAATCCTTTCGCTCTTCAACACACACTACTTGGAAACTTCTCCAGAGCTTCGGTTGTGCTTCACCTGGGGATACATGCCCCCCTTCTTTCCCTCTCCATTTCCTATCTGTTGAGTTTCTATTTCATGCTCCCCTCTGCATCTCTTTCTAATCCCTAACCGCCCTGCGTCTCTTTCTAATCCCCAGCCACCCACACTCCTTCAGGCAAGCGGCTGAAGGATCAATATCTCAGCAAGCCATATTCCTTTCCACACATTGCCAATGATGTCAAGAATCTAGCCGGAGGATATACGGCTGCGAAATTGCTGCACCCTTGACTGTTCTCTTCAGCGATTTCCAGGCCACGGTAGCTCAGGATGGCAACCCAACTGGGCCCATTCCATGCTGGCTTCAGCCGTCCCAAGCGTCTAACTCTGGCTGAGATCGAGGCTGTTGCCAATGGCATCAACAACAGCAAATATCAGCCAAGCCGGCGCGGTTCTCAGATGGTGAGTGAATGGGTCCGGAATCAGGCAAGGCCTCGTAACAGTGGGAACTTGATGAGCCTGGATCATTTAGCCACCTTTTTCAACCCTAATCAGCGAATCGGCTTGCCGTTGGGCAGTCGATTTCCCCGTTCTGTTAGCATCGCAAATACCAATCGGCCAACGCATTCGTCTCTTATAGCCCCATCAGGCGGGCTCAAACGCAAAGCATCACGCCTGGATCGCGAGGGTTTTGTTATCCTCCAGGAGCCGCCCCATAAGCAAAGACGTGGGCTTGGATCCAGGACGGTCATAGATCTGACGGGAGAGGAGCCCCGGAGAAACAGGTCCTTTCTTGGTCATCGGGACGAGGATGTTATCATTATTGATCCGCCAGCTGCTGAGATTCGTTCTGACATCCGGCGACTCGCCCTCGGGCCCCTCGAAAATGAGATCCATGCAGAGGAAGCAAGTGGGCGACAACGACCTGGCCCTGGCCCTTTGATGGCTGGCGGGCCCCGTGCGTCATCTGGGAGAAACAGGCCAAGGCCGGCGCCCACACAGTCGCAGACTCCAAGTCTTGACCGAGCTGGACCGGAAAACCGCGGAAGTCAAGCACGTCTGGCAAACTTAGTGCAAGAGAGAGACCAGCCTCAGGCCGCCAAGTCTGTATTCCAGTTCTTCGCCTTGGCTGGCGAGATTCGTGACAACATATACCGACACCTGCTCGTCTCAGCCAAGCCTATCCATGTCAAGGCTCTCTGGACAGAGGTAACTCGACGCATCAGTCCCCGCGGACGCCACATGGGCATCGATGAGACCATTAAACCAAGTATCCTGCTGGCGTGCCGCCAAGCTGCTGCCGAAGGCACCCGCGTTCTGTACTCGGAGAACACATTCCTCTACCTGCTGCGGGATCCGGAAGCTGCTGAAAGTAATAACAGCAGTGGAGGTAGTGGTGGAGGGCGAAACAAGCGGACTGGCAGAGGACGGGGTACTCCTCTCTTTAACCTGGCCAAATATGGTCATCTCATTCGGCACATGGCCATCGAGCTGGAGCCTAACCGCACGGGTGCTCCATACCAGGAGCTGATGGCCAGGGCGCTCGAAGTCCTGGTCCCTTCCCCTGCCTCGTCCGGCATTCCATCCAGTCCGTGCATTCATCTGCACATGCTGACTATCAGCGTCTCCCCATTGCCGGTGCCTGGCCAGCGTACCGTTCGCTCCGCAGGGTCCGACAGCAACGGCTCCGGCATGGCCAACTCGGACGGCCGTTATCTGAGCGTCGTGAACCTTTTCAACAGGGGTGCGCGGGTCCTCAAGGCGCTACAGCGTATCGACACGAACTTCTTGCGCATAAACGTCCACGTCAACTCGAACACCAGAAATTCCATCCACGACGAGTCACCCTTTGACGAGACAAGCGATTCAGATTCGGACGTCGACAGTCTCTCGGATGGAGAGACAGCGTCTCAAGCTCTGCGCGTGCGGAAGCCCAGGCAGAGGCATCTTGAGACTACAATCGACCTGCGATACCTTCCACGTCACATGGAGGCCCTCCGCCGCGAGCCAGTCCTGGGAAATCTCTGGGAGGGTGACGTATTAATGCAGGAAGAGCGCAAGAAGCGGGGTGTCGGGGCGGCCAGGGCTCTGAACGACATGCGCAGGCACATCGAGGAGGCTTGTGAGTGGCCTGAGAAGGCGGTCGCGGGTGGGTTCTGGGAGGACCACTCGGTTGCGGAGCGGAATCGCAGGAAAGCGAAGGCTAGGGACGAGGCTAGGTTCGATGAAGATACCGGCGCGTTCGATAGGGTGGGAAATGTTAGAGGTGAGGATGCTGACGGTCGGGTGCACTGGCCGATGAAGTCGCTGATCATTTCTATTGATCGAGTCGGAGGAGACTTACGCGCTTACCGGGCGTAATAAGGGGGATTGGGAGGGGAATTTCGGGTACGGTGGCTTCGTGGTGATTACGGCGGCGACTGTCAAGGATGGGACGGTCGACCGTATGCGGATAGACAAAAGTTGTGGTACGCCGGACTTTTTCGAGCAGGTTTTGCGGCTTCGGGCGCCATGGAAGAGGAAAACACAGGCGTTGAGTTTGGCACTGGATTTCGGAGGGACATCATCGGACGTTGAGGTTCACGGCCGGGCATCTCGGGTGATCTAGGTCTTCAGGAGAGGTGAGCTGGACCTCATGTTCAACCCATGGGCGTGACATCTCCCCTCTTCCGCAGGCGGAGACACACTCGGTTTTTCTTCAGTGGAGGTAATGATCTCGGTGGATAGGGACCTCTTTCTCAGTCGAGAAGCAGTGGCTCGGCCTGCATAGACTTTATTACCGCCCATAATAATAATCAGGCAGTGATTTTCACCTTTGATACATCCAGCGTCTCTGTATCCACCAGAACGACCTCTCGAGTGGCCGCAAAGGACGGCACTAATAGCAGCCGCACCATCTGCCCTTCTGGGCCCTCGATGACCTTGGTTCCAAACTCGGATTGGCACCCGACAAAGTAGAGATGCGGACACTCCTTCATGACGAAGGGCTCGTCGTCCTGGAAGGGATAGGCCCCTGACATGTTGATCAGCAACCGCCTCTATGGACGGGGTACAAGAAAATAATAGCAACAGTAAGTACTCACATAGCGTGTCCGGTGCCGTGGGGGCCGAGCACCGCCACCGGCACATGGCCTCCATCATGCCCAGCCTGTCCTCGCTGTCGACATACTTACAGATGTCGTCGAGATTCTGCCCGCCCGTGCCCAGCACCCGCCACCCTTCCACCTCGCCCTCCCAGGGATTTGTGACGGGGTCAAACCAGCCGGGCTGCTCTCTTATCGTTGCTCCTGCTCCTGCTGTCGGGGGTTGGGGTGGGGAAGTGTATGCCCGTGCCCTGGGGAACATGGCCGAGTGGATGGGCTGCTGCGGGTAGCTTGCGTTTGCGGGGTCCTGGACGCCCGGCAACAAAGTGACGGGCATGGTGGGCAGCAGTTCGGAGAGGAATGAGTCGAGCAGCTGTGAGGGGAGCGGGTTGTATGAGGAGCTGTCGTAGCCGTATTTTTTTGTTGTGTGCGCTTTTTTGCTGTCGGTTGTTGATGTGGTGGTGGTGTCGTCGGTGCTGCCGGGCTTCGCGATGGAGTTGCCGGCTATGATCAGTCGCGATATGTGCGACAGTTCAGCTTGTGCCGTCGGACCCAGGGCTTCGCCTAGTAGGAACTCGAGGAGGAGGTTGAGCTCCATTGCGTAGGACGTGTCGGTGCCGGAGAACTCGAGGCCGGATACGATGGCGATCTTCTTGGAAGGGGATGGTGACGAGGTGGAATCGGACATCTCGACGTCTTCGTCCTTGACCTGAAGGGAGCCTTTCTTGGTCGTCCCGTTGGAGGAGGGGGGCTTTGAAAGGGCCCAACGCTCGGGCTGAGGAGGTAGATCGGCAAATTTGAGGTCGATAACGTCGAATTCGCCGTTTACGTTCTCTGTACCCATCACGGCGATGATGCAGCCCGTTACAAGGAAGTAGTTTTTGAGAATGCCCCCAACGAGGCGAATACGGCCGGAGTCATCTTCAAGCATGACCGAGTCACCACCACCATCCTCGGAGTAGTAGTGGTCTACAGTGGTAGGGGCGGACACCCAACGCTACGGAGAGGTTAGTAGAGCCCCCTTTAGCTGTTTCCCAATCACACCCACATCCTTGGAGATGTCCTCAAGAATACTCGGTTTCAGCGGCATGTCCATGTAGACGGTGCCGGCCACCCAGCAAAGCTCGCCCTGGCGGACGTCCAACACGCGGTCCACCCTCTTTACCGTCTCGCCGCCGAGGACGGTGTCTTTCCATGCTGAGCTGGCAACCGCTTCTACCGCAGGCTTGATCTTGGTAAGGCGTAAGAAGTATATGTCGGCAAATTGCTGCTGGTACTGGCGGTCTTCGGGTAAGGCGAAGGAATCCAAGGGGTGGTAGTTTGATTCGCTGCGCTCGAGGGGTTCAAGAGCCTTTCCACTAGGGTGTGTTAATGATGACGGTGTTGCCTTGTCCAGATGGTATTTCTCAATCCTTACGAAGGCTTTTGGAGCAGACTCGTGTCCGCTATCTCGTCCAGAGCCACCATGGCTTGGTACTTGCTTAGCAAGGTGTTGCAGAAGGAGCAGAGGCAGTGGGACAAGTTGGGACTCGACGCGTTCTCCCGATTCACATTTAACGGACGCGAAGGGAACTGCCCCGCTAACTCGAGTGCTGTAAATTACTGTACTGAACTGTAACTTACTAGTCACTTTACAGTGTGTTACATCAGATTTACTGTACGGATACCTTTGGTGCGATAAGATAGCAATCGTGGGGCAATCAACAAAGCATCGTGACTTTCTCAAAAAAAGTTCAAGATCAGATTCGACCCTTGCTTCAACAGCTCAACGCGGCCATACTCGAGAACTAATTGTGCAACATACAGTTGCGATTTCCACCATACGAGTTTGAAACTCCTCCGAACTACAATCGAATCAAAGAAGCTATACAACGGCGGTTTGGCACCGCAATGGACCAGCCAATGGCCGATGCACCAGCGGCCCAGGTCAAGGTGACCTTCACCACGACCGAGGCCGACCTGCAACTCCCTGAGAGCAAGCGCCAGCTCCTCGTGCCCGCTGATATCCGCCGCTATGGTCTATCCCGAATCCTCAACTCCGAGTCGATGCTCGACACGGGGTCCATCCCTTTCGACTTTCTCGTCAACGGCAGCTTTCTCCGTACCAGCCTAGAGGACTACCTCACAAGCAACGGTCTTTCGCTCGAAACAAATCTTAGCCTACAATACGTGCGCAGCCTAATACCTCCAGTATACGAGGCAAGCTTTGAGCATGACGACTGGGTGAGCGCCGTCGACGTCCTCTCGGCGAGCTCACCATCTGGCCGCTGGTCGGGCGACAGCTTCCAGCGCGGCCAGGACCGGGTTCTGTCCGCTTCTTACGACGGCCTGCTGAGGATATGGAATGCCTCCGGGCAAGTGATCGCAATCTCCCCGTCGGGCAGCCACGGCGGCCATACTGCAAGCATAAAAGCTGCCAAGTTCCTCACCAGCTCCCAACTCGCCTCCGCCGGAATGGACCGAACGGTGCGTGTGTGGAAGTACACCGAATCCAACGACTTCTCCTCGGGCGACCTCAAGCCGACACTCGAACTCTACGGCCACACCGCGTCGATCGACTCGCTCGAGGTCGACGGAGTCTCTAAGCGCGTGCTGACGGCTTCGGCCGACGGCGCCATCGGCTTCTGGAGCACGTCCAGGACCTCCAGCCCGGAAGCCGACGCCTCCCTCTTACCTGGCGCGCACGGCTCGAAGCGGCGCAGGGTGAACCCATCCGTCTCAACGGCGCAGCGGGGACCCCTTTCACTGATGGCGATCCACAACGCGCCCGCAAGCGCCGCCATCTTCGACCCGCGCGACCGCACCGTCGCCTACTCGGCCTCGCACGACCACACGGTCAAGACCATCGACCTGACGACGGGGAGCGTGGTCAGCTCGCTGGCGACCTCACACCCGTTGCTGTCTCTCTGCGCCCTGTCATCCTCGTCCCGCGCCGGCGGTTCCTCGTCCTCCTCCCCGCTGCTGGCGGCGGGCACGGCCGCGCGCCACATCACGCTGGTCGATCCCCGCGTCAACGCGTCGGCAACCTCGGTCATGACCCTGCGCGGCCACACCAACAAGGTGGTCAGCCTTGCGCCGTCGCCCGACAACGAGTACTCGCTCGTGTCCGGGTCGCACGACGGCACCTGCCGCATCTGGGACCTGCGCAGCGTGCGGCCCGCGACCAAGGACGAGGGCGGCATGGGCGCCGTCAGCGAGCCTGTTTATGTTATTGAGCGGGAGAGCAGGCAGGGCAAGAAAAGGCCTGTTGCTGGTGAGGGGTGCAAGGTGTTTGGTCTTGTGTGGGACAAGCTGGGCATCTTTAGCGGTGGGGAGGATAAGAAGATCCAGATTAATCGGGGGAGGGACGTGGTGGGGTAGTGCATACACTGTACATACACTGAAAGTAATGGGCAGTGGCGGAGAGGAGGGAAAATTGGAGGTTCATATACCCAGGGTAGCTGAAGGAATGAATGACGGAACTAGACAAAATTCCTCCAAGGAGCTGGCGCTCAGGTGTAGATTTTTCTGGTGCTCGTCTTCTTGCTCTACTATGCTATAATACTATGCCAGACCGGAGTTGATATGAGGGGCGCGCCCCTTTTTAGTTGGGTATATCTCCATCTCCGTTTCCCCATTTACCATGTATCAGTGTATATCAAAGCCCAAACAAACGCCGGCCTACTAACTTTATGTGTCCAAGAGCTCTCTCTACAGACCTCCCACTTGATCAAATTCAATATAGCCACCCAATTCTCACGCCCCCTCCTCCGTTCGCTGCTCACTTGCCTCGCAGGCCTTCAAAACGCTTCTATACCTCCCCCTCAAGACATCCGCGGGGATCAGGGTCAACACCTCCTCTCTTAACCGCTGCTTGTTAAACGGCAGCAGGCCGTCCTTCCCGCCGAGACGGATACCTTCAAGTATGTAATTCACCACCGTCATGGTCTGGAGCGGCGGGTCCCGCAGCAGCGCAGCGACTGCCGCGGGGCTGAGGTCGGCGTTCTTCTGCCACAGGTAGTACGCGCGCAGGCTGCTGGGCGTCGCACGCGTTCGAGGGTGGGCGAGGCGGTACTGCGATGCCCAGAGTGTTGCCTCCGTTACGCGGGGGTCTTTTTCCTTTTCTTTTGGGGTTGGTTTGCTAGTACTTGCTGTGTTTGAGGGTTTGGATTCTGGTCCCTGTTGTTGTTGGGGCGTGACGGGGAGAACCGGGTCGCTGAAATCCCCGGCTGACGTGCTGGGCTCGGCTTCGGATTCGAGGCTTACGCTGTTGTTGAGTGTTTGGCAGAGCTTGGCGTAAGCTTCAGCTGTAATTGGCGGCGTGTCTTCGCCTGCAGCGGCTTCACAGGCGGCTGTCTCGGCGTCTGGTTCCTGTTCTTCTATTGGCGCTGTTTCCGGCAACCCCTCGGCTCGCTGGATAGGGAGGTTGAGTTCGGCGTGGGCAGGTAGGGGAGGAGTAGGGTCCAATTTCTGTCGTTGATGGTCCAGGATAGCATAGAGCTGGACGGCGGCGTAGGCGTCGGATGAAGAGTCTGGATTTGTTAGCCATGAATAGAGCCAGTGTACGGGCAGAACTCACAGATTATTTGGGACATATTTAAGGGTTTGGACCAATCACTAGTACGGACGTCTTCCCCTTTGAACATGGGAAGATCGAGGCAGTCCTGCACTTGTCTAGCCAAAGAAACCAGGTGCTTGTTGATGAGGTTATACTCGCGGCTGGCCGAGTATTTGACGAGCCGGTACAGGTGGCTCAGCTCAAACGTGCCGCGGGGAGTTATGCCCAAGTAGCTATTCAGGCGCGAAGAGTCTCCCTTAATCCAGACGCCAGCCTTTGTAATTTCGGGGTCTTCCATGATCTTCTTCAGAGAGGGCGCAACTAACTCTTGGGTCTTTGGAGGATACATGGCAATGTGAAACAGTCCGATTCGACTCGGGGACGCCAGCTGGACGACCGAGACGTTCTTCCTAGCCCCGCTGAATTTGGTTGCAGACGGTGACCACTCTAAGTCGAAGCCGAGCACCTTTTCGTGGACGAAGTACTGTTGGAGGACGCGCTCGGTGGTGTTTAGACTGGTGCAATAGTGCACCTTAATCTTGCCCTCGGGATTGTCCTCCGTACCAGGTCCTCGATACAAGCTATAAGACCAGAAGGACTCAGGTGTTCCTTCGGCTGCTTGCTTCGCTTTTCGAAAGGCCTCTACCGGAATCTTGAATTCCAGTGGCGTGAACGGTGGGTTGAGGGTTGCATGGTCCGGGGGTTTGGTCTCTTCCGTAGCGGTGACCACAGCTTGAACATCCTCAGCGGGATCGTTGACCACGGCAACAGCTGTATTAGTAGTAGGAGCGGCGACAGTATTGGAAGGCACAATGGCGGTGGCGGTCTCTCTTAAAGAAATGGAGCCGGTATGAGCCGTCGTTGAGCTGGTCGAACTCGATATCGGCTGGCCGAGCATGTTCCCAGCACTCTTGGTAGAAACAGGGCCACAGCGCAAACCGTCGGCAAACGCCGGTAAAGGCTCTCTCTCTTGAGAAACAGCTACTGATGCGCTGTGGTGTCTCATGGGCGGCAGCCGAGGATGAGCAGCTTGGCTGTCGCCGGCAAATACAATGCCGTGACTCGCATGCCACACCTGGCGAGACGGCCTTGCTGTGCCCATCTTCTGACGGGCAGTATATCTTGCATGAGATGCCGGGTCAATACGAGCGTAGCGTGTGGAGTAGCAGTATCACCCAGCAGCAACTTACAAGATGCGGAAACGGGAAGATGGTGAACAGGAAAAGCGGCAGCGACGGCAACACCGACTTAGTAGAGAGCGAAAGCCACGCGCCTCGCGTCCTTGCAAAGGCCTCATTGGCCTGAGTAAGGTATACGGAGGAACAGTGACGACGCTGAGCGAGTGCACAGCGCCATGACTGCTAAATATCATGACGCTGGCAGCAGCAGGGGGATGAAAGCAGGCAGACGCGCTAACTGAGGTGTAGCAGCGCGATCTGCCGGGTTGATGTTTAATTGACGCCCCACCAATCCGGAACGCGGAGCAGAAGGCAACTATCGGAACTCTTCAAGGTCATGTTAGGTTTCAGTATATGCATACAGTATATTACAATACAAAAGTTACAGCTGACTGCACTGTGATTGCTTTCCTCAGGCTGTGGTTTGGCGAAGCTGTCACTAATTCACCTGGAAGTCATCGCTCATACAAGGTTGTCAGAAACTCCCCGGGCAACCATGGCTTCCCAACTTCTTCCCTTAGGTATGTGTCCGATGGACACCACGGAATGGATATCTCAATCTGTAATCGAACTAACCGCCTCAACCGACAGAACTCATCGACAAATGTGTCGGGTCTCGCATTTGGGTTATCATGAAGGGTGACAAGGGTACAGTCCTTCCACAATCAACATCCAGCTCCGGTCATAAAAATCCGGCATTCTGACCTCTCTTCGTCATTACAGAGTTTGCCGGCACTCTGGTAGGATTCGATGACTACGTCAACATGGTCTTGGAAGATGTGACCGAGTTGTAAGCGCGAAGCCAACCCACTCCCTTTTTGTGCATGTGCTCATGCAACTGAAGCGATTACTCTGGCAACCACACCAAGTTGAAGAAGATTCTGTTGAATGGGAATAATATCTGCATGGTGAGCTTCCCTCGTGCTTGACTACCTTCCTAGTCGCCTTCTAATACTATGCAGTTGATTCCCGGTGGTGAAGGACCTACAGGCGCAGCTTCATGAACGAGAATTCTTGAACGTAACCTTGGGGTTTCACCTTGGTTCTAGAAATCGGGTTAAAATTGGCTCTAACCTTGGTCTACCCCTTCGTCGTCAGCCTCAAGGACCATTCATCGGCCGATGGCCGAATAGCATGGCTATCTCTCTCAGAGGAGGTGGAACCGGAATGCCAGTAGAAGCTCGAGCCATAAGGGAATGTGGCATCGAGACATGGCCCATGAATGAGGATACCAAACAGTCTTAATCGGACGCCACTCAAGACGGTTAACAGAAATAGTGCGAAACCACCGGGTTTATTCGTCTATTGACAGACACTCAGCAGCCGCGTATCTCAGATGTATGTCCGGCAAAGGAGTAGAACTCAAAAGGATCCGCCGAACCGTAGTAAGGACGTAGACAGTCACCCCAAAAGCGCCATCCATGCATGAAGAGACCTGGTGTAAATCCCATGCGATACAGATATAGTAGGTATCAGATTCCCGGTGCTATTGCCCACGACAGACCCCCTATAACGCCTTCTCCCATCAAACGCCTGCCCTGTCTCAACAAAATGGAAAACCACGAAGTACCGTTTTTTGTCCTTCAGAACCCGTTTTGGCCCCCCATGCCGCCACCACCAGCAGCATGCTCGCCCTGATCGGCATACTGGCGAAGAGCAAGTTCCTTCTGGAACTCGCGGCCCAAGTGACCGTAGGCGGCGACAAGCTGCTTGCAGACGCTAACCAACGCCTCGCGGGGCGTGAGGGTGCCGTCCGTCTGGATGCGGATGAGAACCTCGGGCACATTAGGGTGAGCGACTGTTGGGACATGTCAGCTCAATTTCGGGGTTCGTTGAGAAAGGCAAGAATATGGATTGAGGGGGAGGAAAAAGACGGCTTACTCTTGTACCCGGCCATCAGGACATGGGGCGCCTGCTTGAGGTGTGCGCTGAGAAGGTTGCCCAGTGTGTGGTCTTCTTTAAGGAGAATGAAGTCGGACGCATTTGACATTCCTGGGAGCGTCAGTTGAGAGCTCCTTCCCCCCTTCTCTATTTCCAAGCCTCGGGATATCCAAACTCACCTGTCACTACCTTCTCGGTAATCTTCTTCTCGCCCTCCTGGAGCATGAAGAGCTCAAACCTTCACAAGACATGTTAGCAATGAGCTTTAGCGCAAAATATCACTTGCTTGGCATTTGCAGCATCCGAACCCGGTTTGATTATTCCCTTGGTGCCTGAAGTTGGTAAAGGCCATGGTAGCCTCGGAGGGATTGCAAAATAAATGCACTGAGCAAGTATTCTGTTCTTGTGTTTTCACCCTTGGTGGCTTGCTGTGCGACACGGAAGATACTGTGTTGGATGTTTGATGATGGGAAGAGGTAGAAGTTGGCAAGAACGGAACGGTGGCTTGAAGTGCCAGCGCTCTAAGTCCTCCATCTTCGTTGTAACCTGGAACATGTTCGAAATGCGGTGTAGTGGTATGGCACGCAGTTGAACCCAAGTCGTAGGAGGAAGCAGCGACACCACCTCTTTTCCAGAGCAAGATAGAGCCAGCCGCCCCTGCCTGACACCCAACTTATCAGGCTCGATTAGGGAAATGCCGGTATCTTACACGGCCACCTCATTCTATCCCCAAACCCAGGAGGAGGTGAGAGATAAACCGTCACGTGTTGTTCTTCAAACCCCTTATGCACCAGGGAGGTAGACCAAGAAAGTGTAGTTGAGAGGCAACGAAAGGAAATCTAACCCACCTGTCTGGAGCGTTCATTTTTGCTGTGAAGTTAAGCAAGGTTGGACAAGTAGATTCTTAGGAAAACAGAAGATATTATATCCAATGACAAAATTTCTGTGCCCTGAAGAGCGGCAATAATGATGATAAAAGCTCGGCAAAGTAGTGATGCCGTTGTCGTGTGAACAGATGCGTTGTTCAACTTGCGAGTCCAAAGAGCAAGGTAACCAAAATTACCAGGAGTAACCAGGTACCTGGTCTGTGCGCATCTCTCACACTGGCGGACAACACCATCCATTGGCTCAGGGGCTCCTTTGTCTCCCATCTGCTTCTGCTTGAAAGCCAGGCCAGCCAGGCGGCATCAGAGATGCTGCGCCGAGAGGAGGTGAAGGGGGGAGCGGAGGAGGAGAAGAGGGAGTGGGGGGGAGGTTTACTCTGGCGCCAAACAGTAATGGATGGGTTGAACTTGCTTCTGCCATGGGCATCCAGGTCGTAGGACAGCAAGAGCGAGACGCTCCACGTCACGAGGGCCTTGATCAGACCCAACCTGCCTCACCTACTTCAGTTTTCTCTGAGCTGACAGTTACCATCCACCGGGCCTCGTCGCGTTGTCCTCTAACGGACTAGACCAACTAGGCGATACTCAGTATTGCTATGCCTGCGTCTCCCACTAGGAGCTGAGGCCTCTCGCAAGACTCCTGACAGGAAAGTATCAAGTATCTACACCGTACAAAGCTCAACCGAGGCAGTCACTAGAATTGAGAACCCGCAGAAGGGTGAAGGACCAAAACATAATGACGATTGCGCTAATTTCCTTCCCTCTTCTATCCATAGATTGTATGAACCGCGCCGACTAGACGCTTCTCATTCTGAGCCTCGTCCGCCTCAATCTGCCCATCTACCTCTACCGCCTGTCTTCCTGAGATGGCCTGTCTACATGATTGATGATATGTGCTGCAGCTGAAGCTGTGACAATTCCAACAATTCCCAGAAACCACGCCAACCCCTAACTTCCTTCTGCCAGTGCAATGATAGACCAGTGAAAAACGCCCACGATGCTCTAGGATCGCTATATAGAAATAAACAGAAGAAAAGTTCCATATGCATAATTCCAATCCATCCCTCCAAGGCCACCTAGGGTCTCCTACAGCCCATTTCCTTTGCTGTCGCAATAGTTTGGCAGCCCCCCACCGCCAGACCCGGACGCCCAGCTCATCACCGTCAGGGAAGTCGTGTACGCCATGGCCACAAAGCCAAATATGCACAGCAGGATATCCGATGCCTTGCGCAGCGAAGTCCTCGCAACCGCCTTGTAGTGCAGCATAGGCTGTAAAACAAGCCAAACCCGAGATTAGCACACATCCTGACAAGATACATAAGGTAGACCAAGACTCACCGGATAAATGTACACCAGCGGGATACAGGCAAAGTTACCGACCAAGGCGACGAACTTGTCCAAGTTGTCCGCACCGCCCCAGGCAATCAGGGCGCAGAGGGCGACGACGAAGAAGCGGTACACGTTCTTCTGCCACTTGATGTACGGGTTGTACTTGCCGCTCCTGGTAAATAGGGCGTTCTCGGTGATACGGATGGCGGGGAAGATCTGCAGCGGGGTCGAGAGCAGGATGGCGAGCGAGTAGAGAAACTGGACGCCATTGACCATCTTGTCGTCCTGCGGTAGGTTGAGCAGCACCACCGTCTCCGTCTTCGACCCGTACGCGGCGTACGACACGGCACCCATGACGGTGAACAGCGTCGTGATAATGACCATGACGGCGAACATGACCTTGGGGAACTTTTGCGGCTGCCGCATCGACTCCTGGATCGGGATGATGAGGCCAATGCCTTCAAAGGTGAAAATGGCCGTGCCGATGAAGAGCGTCCAGTCCTTTTGGTTGAACATGATGATGTCGGCCAAACCGTGCGTGTTGAGAGTGAGGATGTCGTAGTAGAAGAGGTAGGCTAGGCCGATGACGATGAAGGCGTCAGCGATGAGTGCCGTGAAGCCAAGCTTGCCGATGTCGCGGAGGAGTGAGAAAGGCAAGAATATGACCATTTGGATAATGATGAGCCATGTAATCGGGATCAGGGTCCGGCAATTGGACACGGCGAGAATGAAGGCCTGCAAGTTTTCCGACGTGAATACGATGTAGGCTGCAACAAAGCCGATCTGGCTGATGACGATGGATGCCAAGATGAGCGCTCTCATCCATTTGCCGTAAAGAATGCCGCCTATGTCGCCGAACGAACCCTCTATTTTCAACCTGGTCGTGACAAGCAGGACGAAGCAGTAGTAGCTCAGCGCCGCGACAAATAGCAGGACCAGGTTACTAAACAGCATACCGCCGTTGAGATATGCGCGGGGCAGGAACAGGACGCCGGTACCGACGAACGACTTTAGCAGCAGCAAGGCTGCGCTCATGGGACTGTTCTGTCCGCTCCCTCCACGTTCCTTCCGCCTCCGTTTTCGCCTTGAGGGCGTTAATAAAGCGCTATCTTCCATTGGCTCTCGATCCTCGTCAGACACTTCATCGTAAAAGTCGGCCTCGCTTCCCGAAGTGAAATACTCCCCCGGTTTTAGCACCTCATCGTCTTCCTCGAGCTCTTCACCGGCAAAGTGTCCATAAAGGCTGAGGAATTCTAGAAAGGAGTTTGTAAACAATTGAGGCTGTGCTTTCTGGCTAGCGCCCAGGCCGTGCTCCACTTCGTCGGAATCCCTAGCAGCCCGCCGAATGAAGTTACGCCTGAAGCCCCCAGGTACTTTGATATGGTTGATGTCAAGCTCTTCGTTCTCAGGCTCCGGCCTGGGGACACTGAAGCTCTTGCTGCGCTGCATCCTGTTCCGTTGGTCGGCCTCTTCCGTCCACTTGTATATTGGTCGTGTGATGTCGCCTCCCTGCAGTCGCAGACTCGAAAACTCGTCATCGAGGCCGGAGCGGTTCCAGTCGGCCGGTCGTTTGCCCTTGGACCCATCGCTGAGGCTCCTCGACCCATCGTCTGAACCGACATCGCCGGGCTGGACCAAGTGCCTCTTGATGACCTCGGGGTCCTCGTAGGCCATAGGCCTCCTCGCATCAAAGGAGCCATAGTAGTTTGGGGTCCCCGATGGTGCAAAATTGGGCGGAGCCGGGACAGGAGAAGCAGATCTGACAGGCGGTGTGCCGAAACGCGGAGGTGGGGTGCCGATCGAATTGGAGAGCGCGGCGGCAAGTGCAGAGACGCCGGGCCCAGCGACGTATGAGCCCGGACCCGGGAGCGGCGTCACATTGCCGGAAGACGATTCCTCGCCCGCTGGTACTGGCGCTTGTTGCCCAGGGGAGCGATGTGTGACGGGTGAGGCGAGACGAGCTGTTGACCCGGCACGACCAAACGACCGACCCAAGTAGGACCCCGGAGATGTCGACATGTGTCGCTGGTGCGTGGGCGGAGTCGAGTCCCTACCGAAGTTCGACATGATTGCTGCTGTTGCGTTCTTCCCAGCTATTACATGCCCCTGGAGCCAGTGAGAATCGGTCGAGTCGGTATGCTTATCAGCGGTCGGAGATTGACGGGTTCGATTCGGAGGCCGGCGTCACACCCCAATCACAGTTCGTCGTGGCCCAACGGTGAACGGCTAGGAAATCGTTAAAAGGAGCGGACAATTAACAGGAGCAGCAGCAATAAACTCAATGAGCGACCCTTTTTACCCCCAAGCCGTAAAGTCAAGGAGAGACGGGACGATGTCGAGGCGGACACCTGACTCTGTTTTGGCTTGTGACCTTTGGAAATGCCGACTCACTGATAAGGAACGAATGGGGGAATGCTGTTGGCTGCGCAGCTGACAAAGTCAGAGTGCTGGCCGCGACCTGCCACTGCACTGCCAGAGACCGCCACATTTGGCAAGACCCTGCAGGACGCCACTTGCAATGACTCTTTTCCCAAACCATCGATTACCGGTAACATACCGGTAACATTGGGAGACAGAGAAAGGGAGTAAAAACATTCTGCTCAACTCAAATCGGGAGCATCGCTTTAGGTTGCCAAATTCAAGCTTAAACTCGGATCTTTACACTTCCAACAATTAATTACGATGACGGACAAAGATAGATTCTTGCTTCTAAGTCCAGTTCTGGGGTGTTACCTGTGTGCAGTACATACAACATATAACTTACATTACTGTAAGCTACCGTATATACAGGATGTATTGAATTGTACCCTGTAATTACCATACCTACAGGCAGCCTTCTTTTGCTCTAGTCTCTAGGGCTTTGCTGAAGCCTCACTCAGTATGATCAGGATGATCAGTATGGTGAGAATCCTTACCTAGCCCCTCGCGGTATCGAGATGGCCACCAGCTATGCTACTGATGTTTGTATAAGGATTGGTCTTGGAGACTTAGAATATTACTAGTATCTATGATATAACGGTTGTCCTGGCGTGCAGTGGAATCTCTGCCTGCCCACCAAATGACGTAGCGCCCCCCAACAGCAATTAGTCAATTATCAGACGACACATTTTACTCTGACTTCGATTTGTTTCTCCTGCCTTCGAACTTGTGAATTGGGTGTTGGGTTCACTCGTTAACGATCACTTCTAGGATTGTTGGGGCTTCCTGTCTTTGGTCACAACAGACTGCTCACTCCGCAGTACGTGATTCAATTCTGTATGTGCGCGAGGTAGAAGCTGCACGTACGAAATTCCTCACTGGTCGAGCTGATGATCTGCACTCTTTACTACAAAAGCAATGCCTGGCCCAGCGGGGTGCCTGCATGAACCGGCTTTGGGATCGTTCTGGATGGTGAAACCATGAGGAAGTTGCTGGGTTAAATATGAGCTCGCTGAATGAAGTTATGAAGCTTCTCGACATCTCCTAATCACCATCGGAAACTCGTGTATCGCCAGCCAGCATGGAGCACGACACTCCAGGCAGGAGACACAAGCTGGGCGTCGTGTCCGGCGTATACATCCCAGTATGCCTCAACATTCTCAGCATTCTCATGTTCCTCAGGTTCGGCTTGATTCTAGGGCAAATCGGTCTACTGGGCATGCTCGGTAGGTCGACTCTGAACATTTAGGATCTCTTCGTCCTCTGGTGCTGGCGGTAGCTTACACAGGGACAGGTCTCATGCTGATCGCCTACACTGTCGACTTCGTGACAACGCTCTCCCTCTCTGCCATCGCTTCCAATGGAGAAGTCAAAGGAGGTGGCGCCTACTACCTTATCTCGAGGTCGCTCGGCCCGGAGTTTGGGGGCTCCATCGGCCTGCTGTTCTACCTGGCACAAGTGCTCAACACGGCTCTCAATGTTGTCGGTCTGATTGACTGCGTCAAGCTCAACCTCGGCGACGCCATGCCTGAGGGCTACTGGTGGGACTATCTCTTCGGCACCTTCGCCCTTGCGCTCTGCACCAGTCTCTGCCTAGCCGGAAGTTCCACCTTTGCGAAAGCAAGCAATGCCCTCTTGGTGGTCTTGACCATCTCCACCCTGAGCATACCTTTCTCTGCCCTGGTAAAGCCGGCCTTCAGCGACCCGGCAAGGGGGATTGAGTTCACGGGAATCAGTTTGGAGACTCTACGGTCCAACTTGCTCCCTCACTTACACAGCAGGGATCATGCTGCCCTCGACAAGTTCCGCAACTTGTTTGGCATCCTGTTTCCAGCAACGTCGGGAATCTTCGCTGGAGCGTCGATGTCGGGCGACCTGCGGAATCCAAGCAAGGCCATTCCAGTCGGCACATTGTGGGCTATGCTGTCCACCCTCATTGCCTACCTGCTCGTCGTCCTCTCATTGGCAGCGAGCACTGCCCATGCGTCTTTGCTTCTGTACGCAAACATCATCCAAGATATAAACATATGGCCTCCTATAGTCTTTGCCGGAGAATTAGCTACTACCTTCTTCTCGGCATTGATGGGTATCATCGGGTCTGCTAAGCTGCTGCAAGCTCTCGCGAGAGACAAACTCTTCCCTGGTCTGTCGCTGTTGGGGAAGGGCACAAGAAAGGCGGACGAGCCGATACTCGCAATCTTCCTGACCTACCTCGCTGCGCAGATGGCAATGTTTGCGAACCTGAACCAGATTGCTACCTTGATATCCATGGGCTACCAGGTAAGCGTAGCCTAAGCCGAACGAACTGACCAGAGCAGAGTACCTGACATGCGAATAGATGACCTTCTTCGTAATGAATCTCGCTTGCTTTCTGCTCAAGATCGGTTCTGCGCCCAATTTCAGGCCAGGGTTCAAGTTCTTTAGCTGGCAAACAGCACTTGCCGGCAGCTTGCTTTCCGCGGCAGCCATGTTTTTCATCGACGAGACATATGCCACCACGGCCGTCTGCCTCTTGGTGTTTCTGTTCCTACTGATCCATTACCTGAGTCCGCCGAAGCACTGGGGGGATGTGTCCCAGAACCTGATCTACCACCAAGTGCGGAAGTACCTGTTGCGCCTAAAGCCCGAGCACATCAAGTTTTGGAGGCCGCAGATTATCCTCCTCATCAACAACCCAAGAAGACAAACGCGGCTCATACAGTTCTGCAACTCGCTAAAGAAGGGGGCTCTCTACATCCTGGGCCATGTCATTGTCACGGACGACTTTTCGGCTGGAGTCACCGAGGCCAAGCTTCAGCAAGCCGCGTGGACCAAGTACATCTCCGAGTACTCCCGGATTAAGGCGTTTGTTCAGCTGACCATGTCGCCGACAATAACCTGGGGTGTCAGAAATCTGATACTTTCGGCTGGTCTGGGTGGAATGAGGCCAAACATTGCCGTCATGGGTTTCTACAATATGGACGAGTTGCGCCGCTCCCGCCCGGCACTTCAAATTCCAGAGGTACCAAAATCCCTCGGGCCCGCCGAACAGGGCGACTCAAAGCCTGAAACTAAAGTTCGGAAGAGGAAGCGAGGGGATACCTCAGCCCTACTTCTGGAGGAGGTGCTGCCTACGGACGTTATCAAAACCGAAGACATGATGTCCGTGACCGACTATCTCACGATCCTCGAGGACATGGCGCTGCGATACCGCTTGAACGTTGCTATCGGGAAGGGCTTTGAGTCGCTGGAGACGCCACGAAAAGATGGCAGCAACACGAAAAAGTACATCGATCTGTGGCCGATTCAAATGTCTGCGGCGCTCACAGCCGACGGGAAGAGTGTCCTCACCACGAACTTCGACACATGTGAGTGCCACAAGCAGGGTAATCATTGTCATTACTCTAACAGGAAACAGATACGTTGATTCTCCAACTGGGATACATTCTTCACACAGTCCCAGCGTGGAAGAAGGCCTATCGCCCCCGAGTACTCGTCTTCGTTGAGTATGAGAGCGAAGTGGAGGAAGAACGGGGCAGAGTCAAGGCTTTGCTAGATAAGCTTAGGATTGATGCCGACGTTTTGGTGTTCTGGCTGGCGTCGGGCAGTTTGTGGACATATGAGGCCGTCATACATGGCCACTTTGAGAAACCCGAGATTGAGAACATGGTCAACGAATGCCTGAAGAACCAGGAGTGGTGGGAAGACTTGCAAAACTACCGTGGTAGTAGCTCAATGACGCAGTCTCAGGAACTTGCATCCATATCTCACGTTATGGAGTCCACCTCGGGCAGGCCAGGCTTGTATAACCCCCACAATGAGCTTTCGGGTAGCAAGGAAAGAAGACGCCATAGTTTGGCGCAGCTCACCGAACTGCCAAAAAAGCCTACCGTGTCCCAGCTGGTCAAGTGGGGCGTGAGCATGGGGATTCACACCCAAAACCTGCCGTTCAGTGTTATTGATAGCTCGGATTCGGATGCCGGGGCCGAGAGCGACACAGATAGCGACTCGTCGGAAAGCAGCATCATGGATGAGCGGAACATGGAGGCAAGGAGCACGTCGAGCGATGCCGACGACTTGGCTAGGCGTCCGCTAATGGCAACCGTTCAACGTCGGCGAAGCTACGCAGATCTCATAACCCGTACAACGAGCCCACGTCGGGAGAAGAGGTTGAAAGCTTCACCGCCACCGGTTCCGGGTTCGTATGGCACGATCACATTGCATAGGCATGACAGGGGCGGATATGGTGCAGAATCGGCAAGAGACGGCGGAAACGGGACAGGGTCATCAAAAAGCCGGGGTATCCTAAAGCAGGATCGACCGCCATTGTCAAGACACGGTTCCTCAGCAATGAGGTTTTCGAGCAACTTAGTCCCTCAGACAACGATCACGAATGAAGACGGCGCTGGCCCACGAATCATGTTTGCAGAAGCGGAAACTCGCACAGAATGGCCACCACTTTCTCGTCAGTCATCATTTGGACGGGGGGTCGGCGGAGAGTCAAGCGCTGGAGGGGAGAGGGGAAATGACAAAAAGGTCTCGTTTGCTGAACCGAGCACGGGAATGAACACTCCGGCGAGATCTCGAAGGAGCTCTGGATCAAAGGAGACAGACAACGAGGGCGATGTCTCAATCAACATCCCCGGTTTGCTGACTTCGTATCGGCTTGCTGGGGACGACGAAAACAAGGACGGGTCGCGGTACTCGACGCAAGCTCTCTCGCTCTCCTTCAACGACCTGCCAAGGCGGGCACAGCACCTGATACTGAATGAGCTCATGGGGCAAAACAGCAGCGACACGGCCGTGATGTTGACGACGTTGCCGATTCCGGAGGAGAATACATGCCAAAGCGAAGAGGCTAGTCTGGCTTACCTCTCTGACGTTGAGGTTCTTTGCAACGGGCTGCCTCCTGTGCTTCTGGTGCTGAGCAACAATGTGACGGTCACGGTCAGTCTCTAGACCCAGTCTAGTGGTTCAGGGATATTTCAAAGGCCGCCACGTTTCGGGCCTTGATGGTGGAATTGCCGAGTGGTCGAATCCGGAGAATGGAAGAAACAAAGAATGGACCTGTTCCACAACAATGAAGTTTAGCAAGTCTTGGATTTTGCAGAACGCAAGGAGACGACCAGCCTCTCTATGACATAGATACCCAGTACAAAGAACAGCCTTGTTGTTTTCTTATGGATTCTCCTACATGCAGCCTTATTCATTCCTATATGTAAGTGAGGATTGCCGCCCGTCGCTCCCTCCAGCGTCCTGCAACATTGTTGTCCAAGTAACGCAGTGATTAGAGGGAAACGAGAGTCGGGCCACTTTCATCCCTACAGTAGATACGTCGGTCGGTTCAGGGCCTGAAATGCCACCTCACCCTACAAGTCCAACTGGTAGACCTCTGGGGTTTCCACAGAGGCTCCGCGAGCTCGGACGCCTCTCCCCCAAGACAGAGAGCAAAAAAGCAGACGAGTTCAAAATAATCCACACGCCCGACCGTCCGGAACGGCTGGTCACGCCCATCGAGGCACCATCAGAAGACGAGTGTGGCAACGAGATTGCGCGCTGGCACCGTGCCGCAGCAGCAGGCCTCTTAGAACACCAGGGCAGCATGTACATGACGGGCAGTTGTGAGGACAGCGGCACAGACACGGTAGGTCGGTGGTCTCCTCCTGATTGCCGTCGGCATGAGCTAGAGCAAAGGATCCTGACATGGTTGAACGGCCAGGATGAGTCTGGATATGCCAACGAAAGCGAGGTGGACGAATGCTATGGGCCGTATCACGACGCCAGTCACGGCACGACAATAGTAGAGTACACGCGGGCGCAAAAACCATGTGTGCTGCCGGTGACACCCCCTGGCAGACAGCAAACAGGAGGCCAGCTTCGTGCTATACCAGTACAAGTACAACAAGGTGCCACGGATGGCCGACAGAAGTATCCGCTGCCCGGTACGACTACTATTACCCCTAGTACTAGTAGCCACTTCCCGACTAGAGGTTCTGTTCTAGGAACCCCTGCTTCAGATCCCAGGCCCCTGATCAAAAAGGGGGTCCCTGAACGTGAGCGAGCCGGCCCAGGGGAGGAAGACCAACCCCAAGTCAACACGGCACATCTAGTCCGCATGGAGAAGTACCGGCGCGGCTACTGTCCGCTCTGCGGCAAGTTCTTTGGCAGCCCCCTTCCCCCAACTTGTCCCTATCCGGATTGCAGGCGGGATCTTCGAACATATCTGGATAGTCTCTCTCGAGGCTATGGGCAGCAGCAGCAAGCGCCGCCTCGTCTTGCTGAGCGCGCATATCTCGACACGCAGCCACAGCCCAGGGATGCTATACATGGCCACTCTTACACCGGGAGGCCTGGCATATTATCCCGGAGGCCGTCCGTGGACAACCTCCGCCGCACTGAGAAAATCCCCACACGACCGGCACCGCCCGTCTCGCATAGTACTACAGGTAGTAGCCATTCGAAATCTCCCTCTCGGCACGGACAGGCGAGGCAAAAGAAGCCGCCATTGCGATCCCTCTCGCCGCCTACCATTCCTCCACGCTCCGCATCGATATCTCCACCACAGCGACAGCTCCAACAGCTGGTACAACATCAAGACGTCAGCCGGCCCACTACGCCCGCCCCTGGTTCACCTGTGCTTGCGCCCGCGCCAAGGAGCGGCGACACTGCCGGGGGTTCGAGTTCACGGTTGAGCTCAAGCTTGCGCGACGAGGAGCCGGAACCGACTACCCCAGACACTGGGAGCAGATACAGAGTCGGATCCAACTCGCCGTGCAAGGGCGATGATGATATCGACTTTTTGGCATGGAAGAAGCCTGAGGAGCTGGCCGAGTTTGAGAGAGAGCTGGAGGAGAACGGGGACGACGGAGATGTGTTCCTGGATATCATCAGTGACTATAGTACCTAGCTAGATGCAGTGAGCACTATATCCGTCTAGTTTGTGTTATATTGCTTTTTATTTACTTTCCTTTTCTAAGTTGTCCACCTGATACCGAGACTCTTTGTTCTATTCTATATGCTCTAATCTAGTTGACCCTGGTAACCGTCAATGCCCCCTTGTTTGTCCCTTCTAACTCTACCAGCCCGCCAGCCTCTAACTTCTTCTTCCACTTGTCGCTCTCGTACCTTGCCAATATGATCGTCATCCTCAGGACTGCTCCGCTGCTCGACTCGTGCTCCGTGACGCCCTCCCCTATCGGGGTGAATCTCCACCTTCCAAAGGCCCAGTTCAAGATATACCTGTCTCCCTGGTGCACTGGTAGATCCTTCTCCGAGTTACTGACCGGCCCCGAGACCGCCAGCACAGCCTTGATCCTATACACCTCGTCCTTGGGTGCGGTTCTCAGAAAGCCCATCAGCTTGCCCGCATCCACCCGTCCATCGCCCTTCAACTCAACCGACAGCACCTCCACCTCAGACTGGTGATGCTCATGCTCGTGCCCATGCCCATACCCATGCCCATCCTCCACGCCGTCCAACCCCAAACCCCTAGCCAACGCCCCGTCAATCCCAAACACAACCCCAACATCCACCCAGCCGCGGTCACTTTTCACCCAGGGCACATCAACCTCCAAATCCCCCAACCGGTCTCTGACCTCATCCAGCCGCCGCTCACCACAGTCCTCCCACTTATTAAGCACCACCAAATCAGTATACCTCGCCTGCAGGCGCGCGGTATAGCTGGTATCCTCATACCCCTTCCAATTCTCCACATCCACCACACTCACCACGCCATCCAGCACATACTTCCCCCGCGTCTCCCGCGCGAGCCGATTGACCTGCAGCGCAAGCGTGGCGGGGAAGGCGCTGCCGCTCGTCTCGATGATGACGCGGTCTAGTCCATTTCCACTTGGACCATCAGAAGAAGTGGACGTGGAAGAAGTGAGTTCCTCCAAGGCCGGCCCCAGCTGCCCGACCAGGTTGCAGCAGATGCAGCCGTTGAGGAGCTCGCGCACGCCCGTGATGGCTGATGATGAAGCCAGCTGGCTGTCGACGGCCACGTCGCCAAACTCGTTTTTCAGCAGGGCGAGGCGGTAGGACGGGTTGATGGCCCGCAGCTGGGGGAGTAGGTTCAGGATGAGTGTCGTCTTGCCTGCCCCGAGGAAGCCCGTGATGATTGTTATTGGGATCGGGGTGGTGCTCGCATTGCTACTGGAGGAGGGGGCGGTGGTGGTGGTGGGGTCAAGGGAGGGTTGGGTCATTTTATTTTATTGTTGAGGTTGGGGCCTGAGGCTGAGGTTGAGGTTACCTGTTGGAGGGTTGTGAGAACCTTGAGGGATTGATCACCTGGGAGTCTGGAGTCTTGCTTCTTTGGGCGACTTTCTCCTGAGTGATGGCCGGAAGGGTGAGGTGTTTCTTGAATGATTCGGGAACGGTGGCGGGGTGATAAGACGATAAGATGGACGTTGGGCTTGGCAGGGGCGTGAAGTCAAGTCGGTCCCTTGACTGAACTCCCAAAGCAACTCCATGTGTAGCAATTCTGTAGGTATTATAACTACCTACTTACGTATCAGCTAGATATACCCATAGACCCTCGACCTGGCATACTCCTGCTGAACATATATGGAACTGGGCGGAATGATCAAACGATCTGAGCAACAGGAATACCTACTAGTATCCAGTTGAGGACCTAGATTGCGCTGAGACCTAGAATGGCAATGAGCAAATCTAAAAATTACACATCTAAGCTTAATTTGGCAGATGACACCCTGCTCCAAGCGAGTTTGAGATAATGGACAGGGCACCGAAAGGACCGCACGAGCACACCTCAGCCATTAGCGTATCATCACAACCGCTCGGATGTGACGTCATGGCACCAGCATCGCTCAAATGTCTCTGAGTCTCAACTGCACACCATCCACTTGAGCTTCTACTACAAGCGGTGGTCTACAGGTATGACACCAAGATACTCATAGGTACCATGTCCAAATCAGACAAGAGCGGACCCCAGTCCACGGACTTCACGACAGATTACAAAGCCAAGCTCGATGAGGCTGCCTCGCAAAGCAAGAATGCGCCCCCGAGTGATGAGAGCAGCGGCGGAATAGTAGACAAGAGTGGGTGTTCCCAGACTGTATAGCGTGCGGTACCCCTTATGCTTACGCGTTGATGAATGCAGTCTCTCAGTACGTGCCGGTGCTCGGCAAGGCACTCGGCACTAGTAGCAAAGAGGAGGAATCTGAGGCATCGTCAAGCGTTGAGCCCTCTGTACCGCCGCGCCGCCCCGAACACGACCCGCAAATTGAGGAGTTTATCAGGGACCAACACCGTAGCAAGAAAGTGGTCAAGCCGGAGACTGACACTAGCACGGATTAGAGGCCGGCGAAGAGATATAGCCGATGACGAGATCCTGCCCTTGCTTGGCAATGAGACACATTCAAGGGAAATAGAGTCTAAAGACACAATATATTTCAAGATTTCCCCAGCCAGACTGAGCAAACTAGTAGGAAGAGACACCCTTCGTCAGACTCGGACTTTGGATCGAGGCCGGTGTGAACAGTAAACCGCATTTTTCGTGTCGCTGCAGGGGCGCCGTCGATGCGAATCGGAAGCCGGTCGCAAAAGCAAGTTTGTCTGTGCTACTACATCCAAAGCTGGGCCTGAAGAGGATAGCATAACCAGCGACCGTTATACCTAGAAGATCGAACAGAGGGTTGGGAGACAGAGATAAAGACATTGCGAGACCACTTGTCTCTTAGAAACACAGAACGAAATCCTCACGCAGCAGAAACCCAGGGAAACCCTAGTGAAGGGATGTAGAAGCAACGACTGCCTTGCTGATTTGATTCTGGACGCATGGGAATGAGTCGGCGTTGGTGTTATTCCTGCACTCGCTTCCGTGCTGCTATGGGACTGCGTCCTCGGAATCCCTCGGCGAGACTCGTGCAACGAGATTCTGCCGTATGTCCAAAGGTAAAATACCATGACAGCGGAGTCGAGACAACAGTAAAGCGAAGCATGCACAGCCGGGCAGAAGACTGGTGACCATCCAGATTCCAGGGCGACCAAAAAGCGACATGGGCTCTGCCCTTGAGTCGCCCGATCAATCGCCGAGTCACAGTTCAAAGGCGCGCCAATGCTCTCGTCCATTTTGACAACGAGCAGAACGGCAAAGGACTTAGGAGGTCCAATCCGACCCGTACGGCCAGCCGAAAATCGTTCTGGCGAATCGATAGAATGTCTCCGATCCATCAGCATCTCTCACCCACATGTATACAGGGTGAGAAACTTCCTATCAGGGATTTCCATCTCCGAAGTAGATCTCAATGGAGATCTGGCAACCTGACACCGTTGGATACTAGTGCTGGTCGTGGCAACTCCGTGAATACTTTTTGATCTGGAGAAGAAAAGAAGAAAAGCTCAAAAAATTCTGGCGAAATCGGAATTATACCAGCAGTCGAAAATGTGGGGCATTCAATAGATGCATGAAATTGTTTTCTTTCCTAAATTTATCGATAAGTGTTTATCCGAGCATTGTATTGCATAACCGCTGGACTGCCGGCCTGCCGGATCTCATTCTCAAACACACACCAACGACCAGGGCGTCCACTCGTCACTGTAACAATCCAGCCCGTCACAGCATGCCGTCGGACGAGTACACATCAATAAGCCGCGGACCGCTCAAACTTAAAGGGGACGCCGGCATAACTAAAAAGAAAAAGAAGAAGAAGGACAAGTCGCGAGCCGGCACTGACCTTGAGAAGAATCTCTCCACGGGCGGAGGAGGCAGCGCCGACGACGAACCGCGCAACGACACTAAATCTCATGACACACCAGAAGACGAAAGCGACAAGCAGTTTCAGGAAAAGTTCCCAAGCCAGGAAGACAAGGAGCAAGAAGAGAACAGCAAGACAGAAGCAGAGCGGCGCTTCGCCGAGGCGAAGAAGAAGAGGGTAGGAAATACATACCATAGTCCATCCCAAAGACTCTCCCTTCCCTCTTTCAAAATGAAAGCGAAGGCAATATGCTGACGGTGATATCCAAACAGCTAAAAGAGCTAGCTGAGTCAGGGCGTATCCGGCCCGAGTTGCTCAAGACACACAAGCAGCGGGTCGAGGAGCTCAACGCGCACCTGTCGCGGCTGAGCGAGCATCACGACATGCCCAAGATCGGGCCTGGTTAAAAGTGGAACTGTTACATAGTACTAATTTTAACAAATGTCAAACTCGGTCTAACCCTGCTTCTCCGTTTTGCCTGCTAGTCGCAGCTGCCTTCTACTAGCAGGGGCTTTGTCAACGGCCATACCATTCACATGGATGCTTTTCTACTTGGGAGTGTTGACATGGCTCTGATTATGGCGCACTTTCTCTTGTCAAAACTCACTGTGTAGTTGAGAACCTGTTGCACGGGGTCTTGTCAAACGTGAACCGTCTATCCGGTGCCCCTGGTTCGAGACTATACCGTCCCTTGGCGCAAGGGAAACATGAACGTACTGTAGAGTATTGTAGATGTCTGTCTTATAGGGGATTGCTCGAGCCCAGCGCATCGAAGTAAGCGTGCGAGACGGCCGCATTGATAGGAGGCAGGATGCATCAACTCCTTGAGGTCGCGCGAGTCACACAGGACTGAAAGGGAGGAGAGGTGAGCTTGGACTTCTCCAATGATACTCAAGGCAATCCCAGGCTTCTGTTGGTGGTGCGCGTGGTCAACCACTACCCTCATCAACTTGGTCTTGAAGAAGGGAGCATTACATACACGTGAATTATATATTGGATAGGGAAGGTATAATGGTATATAAGTCAAGTCCCCCGTCCTACTTTAACCCCCCACTGGTTAAGAGGAATCAGGTGGTAGAGTGTGTTGGGAAAGTTCCGTCTTCCTCTTCACAGAGATCAAGAGGCCCGCAGTTCGACTCCAACATGCCCCTTGGTCAAAAGAAGACTACTCCAGCTCCGGGTTTACCCTGAGGTAACATCCAATTATCGGGAGTGTGATAACCGAATGTCGGCCCTTGTCCCAGTTCGAGCAGGTCGCGGTTATACCGAAGTTGGGGCGAGCATGGTACTGCACCAGGCCGTTGTTGATGACAAACGGGTACGTGGCCTCTATGCTCGGGGACCATATGCCTCTCAGCCAGGATAATGGAAGCCCGGTGTAGTCGCATACAGTGGTCCTAAACCTCTGGGACCCCAAAGAGTGGCAAGGTAAGGTCAGAGGTGAGCGCAGCTGCCCCAGGACATTGCTGGTCTGGTCATATCATCCACAAGCTGGAAACGCACCGAGAGTGCTATATACCGTGAGTGGCAGGGAGACGACCTCGAACCCCTGGGCGACGGACCGAATCTTGAGAACGGAGAAGAGGAGGCTGATGAAGGCGAAGACGGCGACGATCACGAACCTCAACCCGCAGCAGCCTCACGCGGCGGCCCGCAGGCTCCCAAGGAGTCACCTCATATCACACGTGTCAAAGGGCTCTCAAATTTCGAGTGACACATTCAAGCCCCTTATGTCACCCCCAATAATGGCGTCATGAGGCGACTTGAACCCTGTCTCGAGGTCTGGGGGCTGAAACGAGCGGAACTATAAAGGAGAAGAAAATCTCGCCCATGTTCAGGAACTTTCAGTTGTTCTGACTGGATCCTCACCCTCAAAGCCGCTGATATCATGCCCCAAGTTGACAATCTTCGCTTTTCGTGGCATAACACGTAGAACATTGTTGCCCCCTCTCTATAACGGTAAAGCAGTGACTGCCTTTAAGGGTTAGTAGCGTAGGACCGGTGTTCATGGACACGCTGCAAGGGAAGAGGTTGTGAGATTCATCTTGATCGAACTGCCTCACTACTACTGTCCCGACATTAAGGAGAGATCATCAACTACAACAAATCGAAAAGAGAGAAAGAAAAAAAGAATTCATGTACAAAAATGACATAAAGCTCAGGCCGGACGCCTCTGGATGTTCGATCTACCCAAAGTCAAAGATGTTGAATCCCTGACCTGGGGTCGAACTCCCGGCCTCCCGGCGTTACGAAACCGTGCACAACGATTTCTAGTTAGCTGGTATTAGGGGAGCGCCCACTAATGTCCACTCGGCCACGGCGACTCCGGGCGAAGGCTAACTTAGTTGGCAGGTACTGTGTCGGAACTTGATCATATACCCTTGGGGCCGTGGACATCGGATGGAAATGCTCCTTCCCCCTTTCCTTCCCTTCTTCCCCGCCGCCGCCCTCCCCTCTCTGCCTCACAACTGGGCCTGTCGCGCGGACTTGAGCTGGAGGGACGATGGCATAGAGCGTTGTTCTTAACTGAGGTAAATCAAACGTCGCCCATGGTATAGCAACAGTGGCTCTTATCCCCGGACTGTCGACTTATGATAATAGGGAACGATACTACTGTCTGGATGGGCACAGTTGATATACTCTTTTCCATGTTCGACTAATACTTCATTCCATTCGAGAGTTGAAGCTGCTTGTTTGTATTACAACACGTCGATGTTGCTTCATATTTATTATGTCTTCTGCCTCCGACTAGCTTGGTATGGCCCGAGCAACCAATTATCAACATAGATACCTTCTATGTGCCCCTTAGGTACGGTTCCCTCCGCGGCTGCCCGCCAGCCCAACCAGTCTATACCGTTTATCCTTGTCCTAAGCTCAAATGAATGTGAATACCGCGGCCATCATCCCGATGCCGTAACTATGTATAACCTGATCTTCCTTGCTATGCCGTGGAATGAGTTTGATGATCCGCTGAGCAATGAATGCCAAAGGAAAGAAACCCGAAGAGTAAATAGCCAGACCCCGCGCAATGCAGTTATAAATGCAAAACCCCATGAGAGAAACCACCAACGAGAAACGGGCGGACAGAAGGCTACGCCCATAGCGGCAGCGCCACAGCGGCGAGGGCCGTCACGCCAGCCGTTAGCAGCCACAGGCCGGCGTAGTTCAGCCTGTGCGGGGCGGAATTCTGCAGGGTCCCGCCCGGCCTTGTAGAGGTCGGCCCCTGTGTCTGAGCCGCATCGTTGGGCACATATGTCGTCGAAGTGAGCGTGACGACATTGCCGTTGGAGGTTCTGGTAAATGTCTGGACGATTGGCCTGGACGAAAGCGGGGCCGAGGTTGTTTGACCGGGTAGAGTGGATGTCGTCAAGGTCGTGTCTGAGATCTCTTGTTAGTGTTCATGGTATTCAAACACACAGAAGAGATGAACAAAAGACAGAAGGGACAGAGAAGCACATAAACATGACAATACAAAAAGTCCAACGTACCTCCGGCTATCGAGGAGGACGAGGCAGAAGAAGAGGAGGATGAAGTCCTACGAGACGTCGTGGAGGAAAACGTCGGGGAAGAAGGAGTAGTAGTGGTAGTAGTAGTAGTTGGGTTCGAGGACGTACCAGGTGGTGAGGAGGAACTAGAAGGCTCTGTGCTGGTGGGCGAGGTGCTGGTGGGAGGCGGTACACTTGTAGTTCCCGTTGGCGTCGGTGTAGTGCTAGGGCTTGCAGATGTTGACGTTGACGTTGACGGCGGCGGCGGGTCGACCGACGTGGTGGAAGTCTCGGTCGGTGTAGCCGTGCTTGTGGTTGTGGTTGAGTTTTCTTGCCGCTTCGCTAGCTGCAAGATGGAGCTAGCTAGAGCCGCATTCTCCTCATGCACGGCCTGAACCGCCTGGTGCTCGGACGCCCACACACCGTCTTGGAAGCGTCCCGGGAGATAGCGGTGCAGGAGCTCGTTGAGCGATGACGGCGAAGACGACTCGAGCAAGGCTGAAAATGAGGACTGTTCTGCCGGGTGGTCCGTCGCCGCTCCTTTGCGGCAATGGATCCGTGAAGAGCCAGCCGAGACTGCCCCGAAGAGCACCAGACAGATCGAGAGGACCAGGAGTACCCTTCGGGCGTAGACCATTTTACTGACCACGCGTCGTTGGTTAGGTGGCGGCAAGATGGTTGAAGCTGTCTTCTCTTGACTATGACTCAAGGTGGGCGCTAATCCGGAGGACGCTTGGTCGCCCTTCAAGAAAGCCATGGCGTCTGCAGGAAGAGGAGAGACTAAATTATAGCACGGCGGAGAGCAACGTGCTGCTCTCACCAGCCACAAAGACTCGATACCTGCTTGGTGTGCCTGTGTGCTGTGGGCTGCAAAGATGACTGGTCAGCGGTCGGTAGATGCAGTGGTTAGGTAACTATTCGTAGCTACTAGTTCGGAAAAGCAGGCGAGAGGTCGAAGTGGTATGACGGTCAAAGAAGCACGGCATCAGGCGTAACGGAACTATTCATGACCTCCCAGCAACCTTATGATGAAAAGCTCCCGAGGACAGTGGACACAGTGGAAACGGAAAAGAACCAAGGCAAGGAACGCAAGGAACAAACTGAACTTACGGAGTACCAGACTCGCTTCTCGGGTCAGCCAACTTCGTACTTGGGACTCTTCCGGATCCACCTCACCAGAGAAACCAGACCAGGCCGTCGAGGTCCCCACAGAAAAACACTCCAGTGCGGCAGCCAACTTCACCACGGACGGGAATTGGGTTGTGGAAGGTGAGTGGTCGGGATTGAAATCCCCGGCTGGCAGAATATAAACCTCATGGTTACGGCGGCCGAGCTCCTTTGAGACGCTGTCAGCGGCCGGGTGTGTGGCTGCAGATGCGTCTCAGCATTCCCATGAAGATGACGCCGCAGCGACAGGGATTGTTTGGTGTGACCTCAGGTGCCAAGCCATTTCGAACACGACGCTATTAACTGACTGCAAATCCACAGGGCCGGAAGCCCGGCCTTCGGGTCGTGATAACGTCCAGCAGTTCGTACGGAGTTCGTACGGAGCATACACATACGGATACACTACAATGTGTGTCTCGGCTCGGCAACAGCCAGTGGCGGAACTTCACTTGTTCTTGTCCACAGTGATCGATCGGGCTTTGTTTCGCAAATGGGGCGTTGGCTGGATGCAGGGACGATAAAACTCCAGTTCACTTCGTGTTTGAGCTCTGAGGACCCGGATCCCAATGATGACTGCGCTCGGAATGTTGGCGCTGCACAGCCGCCAGCCATACGAATTTTGGCAATTGCGATTGGCAAAAAAGGCAGTGTAAAGTGGGGGTTGCGGATTTCTGACAGTCCCCACCGAGACCGATACCAATTCCACCTGCATTGGAGCCATTCCAGCCGCCACCTCGACTCGTACTCAGATCTGAGCGACAGTCGGGCAGAGTCAGGTCAACAAAAGAGGGTGAAGCTCAGATAGGATGAAGGTGTTCCAGACTGGTTCCGTTCCTCCCATGTTTGCTTTCACCGCATTGCCAACTTTTGGAGGTCGGACCCCAATCCTTGCATTTCTGGACGAGTGTTTCTTGCTACACCACCGATACACTTCAAGATTTCAAAATCTTAGCATCTTCTGCTAAGGACGATTTCCCAGGGTGCCGTTGGCTTTATTAATGAATTTGCAGGGGCTCCCAGCATCGAAGACGTCATCCACCTCGAGCATTCCAGCCAGCATGTTAACATGGGGATTGGAACGGCTCAAACGGCAATTCTTCGCACAATTCAGGCTTTCGCATAACTCTGATTGCATGCTCCACGGATGCCTTATCCATACGATCAAGCACCGTGATTTTATTTTCCGAGTACCACCAGAGCAAGAAAACGGATCGACGGTATCACACAAGCCTGCTCCTACATAACCATGTATGAAAGCATACCTACGACTCTGTCTACAGCCCGAAACTTGCAAGATGCCACGATTGTTATGTTTGAGGCCGGGAGGCCGGTTTTACCCTCAGGAGAAAGATGGAATCTCATAAGTCTGTCCATATACGCGTAACCCCTGGTGTCGGCGGGCATAAAGAGATTCCATGCCAGTCATCATAACTCGGGCCACTGGGTAGAGACACTTCCTATAGACAACATTGAAAGCTATATGGTCCAACCTGACCAGCTAGTGTTTGCGGTTCGTCCGTACAAGTGCCATATAGTCGGCAGGGACTTGTGCTGTCTGCAAAGACGGAAATGTAAGTTGACTTTCGCTACTTGGTCGCCGATACTGTTTGATCCCAACCTCTTGCTATGAAGCTATCTTGGTAAGGCTGTTGCTGAGATTGGAATGATGAATTCGTAAATCACAAGAGTTACGGATAGCTGTACTTGCACTGTACCGTTTGTACTGTACAGTACACTCCACTGTTCTTTCAACCTTTGCGGTAAGTTACCTTCCCAAATTAGGTAAGCTTCCATGCCATCGTCAGGCGAGGAGTGGGACTGTGAGTTAGCCAAGAGATCACCTTCGTACGGCGTCGACCATTTTCATGTGATGCTCTCGACATCAGAAAAACCGATGCATGTACGCGTATACAGGCTCTTATCATAACCTGGGCGGATTAAAGATGCAGACATTTGAACCGCTGAATCCAATTGCGCATCGGTGACGCGCCGCGATACCTAAGGTAACTAGCAACTTTGTCGAGAGCTAGGATACGACCTGAGAGAAATCGGCGCGCGGCCCATGTTGTGTCCAGAACTCCAGATCGCCCTCTGCTATGGCCACAACTGAGCTTCCTCAGCCGGCACCCCGAACAACCAGCACCGAAAGCGCCCTTTCCCCAAACGACGACCAAGATGATAATACCAGACTCCGGTCTCGATCGCCGCATCCGTACCGTCGCCAGAACTTTGAGCTCCTCGAGCCATCAGATCGCCTAGTGCGACGCCCAAATAATGGCGACGACGACGCTCGTGCGCCAATCCATGCATCTCCCTCCTTCGCCAGAGATTCAACACCGGCCAGCGAGAGCGGGACCGACGCCGACGATGAGCACTTCCTTAAGGGCCTTCCCGCGCCGAAAGCGAGGCTCCACAAGGGCTTACGCGGCAAGAACGAACCGCTCTCGGGCACGTCCACACCCATGCTCTCGTCGGCCGTCCTCGAAGAGGAGGGTCGGAAAACACAGCTGAATCCGAATTTGAATTATGGCCGCGGCCTGCTCGAACGCGACAAGAGGCGCACAACTGAGGGCCCTCGCCGGCGCAAGGAGTTGGTTCGAAGGGCGACTGAAGTCTTCCTCCTCGTCTGCCAGGGAGGTATAATCGGTTCAAACCCGCATGTCCGGCCTTTACTGCGGGCCCATGATAGAGGTAACAAACATCTCGCTAGCTGTACTAGCCATTTCAAAAATCTAATCGATTCGCCGCAGAGCTCCTTACTCTGAGTGCTTTGTTCTGCTCGCTGGTGGCAGCATACCCCCTGAGGCTGGTTATCTGGGCTTATCGTCGTCGTGGGAAACCGTCCAGGCGCATCCCGATCCGGATCCCTTCCAGCTTTGATCCGGCGCCGCTCCTCTACCCTCCTCTGGTGCCAATCTTCGTGTCTTTCCTTATTGCCCAAAACGTCAAGGGTGTTGTGCGACCAACCGCCGTGCTGAGCATATGCGCCCTGCCAAGGGCCCTGATACCCGGTGCACGATACTGGGAGTACTATAGCTGCTCCCACTGGTTGTTGTCGTGCATCCCGTTCATACTGGATCCGCATTCGCATACAAAGGGCTCCACTGGGTCCGACGAGATACCTCCCGAGGTGCTGATCTTGCTTTACCCATTACACCAGACACTCTGTCTTATCTTACAACAGCTCACGACGACCAGTCTCTTAGTTTCCGAGCTGCAATTGCTCTCAGTGGGGCTCATTGAGCTATTCCTGCTAGCTCGCTCTCCGCAGGCCGTTATTCTGAAGGCGCTTCTCTGGGGTGGCGGTGTCGGGCTCATCGTTTCCTGTGGTCAAGTCATCCGATGGGGCATCGCTCTAGCTCGTGTTCCGAAGTGGCGATTCCGGCGGGTCCCACCTTCGACAAAGAGCACATCTGGCTTGCGAATGCTGAGACAGCTCTTTCCCAAGTGGCCGAGGTCTGACTCTGGGGCAAGCTACGGCAGCGCCCTTAGCGACTCGGGGCACTCCACAGACGAATGTCTTGACGGGCCGGTATTTGCTGCGACTTTTCCTCAACGCCCAGCAAGTGCTACAAGAGCCGACAGCATAAGCGATACCGAAGCGGTGCCAGCCGTGGTCCGACTGAACTTGGCAGAGCCACTGCCACAAGAATCACCAGTCCGAAGACACACCCTGCCCACCAGCACCGCCCTTGGCAACCAAATCAGCCGCTCCAAGACGCACACCCCCTCCGGCCGCCGTAGGCGTGCTGTCTCGTCCACCATCCGGGCGTTCTTCTCCCTCACCCAACCGCAAGCCACCCTCCGGAAGTGGCTCTACGCGTTCTACGTCTACCTGTGTATCCTCGCTGTCATCTTCCTCGGCATCCGCCCCTACGTCCAACAGCACGCCCTGCAGGGCCACGAGCCTGTCGGCTGGGCGCTAGGCTATTTGTTCGGCGACCTTTCGCGATTCCGATTTGAAGTTGTAAAGGCCAACCTAGAGCGATGGATCTGCCTCCCGCCCCGCGCCACCGACCCGGCTGAATGTGGGGCCAACGGGTTCGGATGGGTGGAACAAGCCCGCCTCTCACCTCCTCTGGGCGCAGCCAACACCCGCCTGGCCCTATCAGGCTACTGGCTCGCGATTTTGACGACGGGGCTCGCCATCGTCCTGCGCCTCTCCCCCGTGTACGAGGTCGACACGCGCCGCAAGGTGTTCCACTTCATGATGGTCGCCATGTTGCTCCCTACCGTCTACGTCGACCCGGCCTACGCCGCTCTCGCCCTGGCCCTCGTGCTCGCCATCTTCCTCCTCGTCGACCTCCTCCGCGCCTCCCAGCTCCCACCCTTGTCCCGCCCCATCGCCAACTTTCTAACCCCTTACGTCGACGGCAGGGACCTGCGCGGGCCCGTCGTCGTCTCCCACATCTTTCTGCTCATCGGCTGCGCTATCCCCCTGTGGCTTGGTCTCGCCTCCCTCCCGAGGACCCCAACGACAACGAACAGGTATGACGTCGGCTGGGAGGTACCCTCGCGCGAGGTCAGTCTGGTGTCGGGCGTCGTGTGCGTCGGCCTCGGTGACGCTGCCGCGTCGCTCATTGGCCGCCGGTGGGGCCACCGCAAGTGGATGTGGGGCGGCGGCAAGAGCGTCGAGGGCAGCCTTGCCTTCGCCGTCGCCGTGTGGGGAGGGCTCATGCTCGCCGCCGCGTGGCTAAGGGTTGGCGGGTGGGTTCCTACTGCAGGTACTGCTACTGGGGAAGGTGGAGTGTCTGGGTCGGGCATGGACTGCCTCATGAGTGTGCTCGACTGGCGGCGGTTGGTTGAGTGGGCGGGCCCGGAAGCCCGCAAGAGCGCCGTGTGCGCGTCGCTGGCGTCGCTGACTGAGGCGGTGCTGACGGGCGGTAATGATAATGTTATTGTGCCGGTGGTGCTTTGGGCGTGTGTCAAGAGCATGGCGGTGTGATGATGATGGGTAGAGGATGGGTATAGATAAAATGGTTATGACCTCTTATACATCACAGCTGCGTCAATCTGTATTTTGTACCATGTTTTTCGAGGGGCTGGGAAGCGCGGGGTCGGCCGTATTTGTTCTTCGTGTTTAATATGATACAGTTGCGTTGCCTAATGTAGAAGAGGGAAACTGCATTGTATTTGTCACATCTGCAAGTTTCATTCTCGGACGACATACGTATATAGAAAATGGGCCAGTCCTGCACCGGGTGCTAGAGTCAAACCATAGTCATACATTTGCATATCCTCTAGAACCAGACGGGGACATCTACAGTATTGCGTATAATACACCTCCAACCATCTACAGTACGTCGTAGTTCCATACGGGCTTGTCCTGCATCCCTTTGGGGCCCTTGGTCTTCCTCGCCAAAATCTCCTCCACAATCTCCTGCACGCCCTGCTTCTGCCGTCTCTCTTCCATGAAGCTCTCAATGATCTGGGCGCGCGTCATGGTTCCCATGGCGACCTTGTCCTCAACCTGCTTCTCGGTGGGCACGCCGAGATAGGCGTACGGGTACTCGTCGTAGTTAGCGGCCGTCAGCATCCTCAGCCTGGGCTCGTCCTTGGACAGGAGGAAGAAATCCTCGGTGAGCGCAGCGCTGTCTTCGGGCTTGATGTCTTCAAGCTTGGCGGGCTGCCAGGAGGGGGGACGCTTCTCGATCAGCAGCGCCGTGACGCCCTCGGTGAAATCCGGGTGGGCCATGAACTTGGAGGCGATGCCGTGCTCGCGGACGAACGTGTCGCGGATGTTCCACTTGGCGCCGATGCGCAGCTGCCGCAGGGCGACGTGCACCGCCGTGGGGGACCGCTTGTGGAGCGTCTCGAGCGTCTCGCGCGCCCACTTGCGCGTGGCGCCCTTCTCCTCTTCAAGCGCGCGAAGGATCTCGTCGATTGAGTCATGGCAGAAGCAGCGGTCAATTGCTTTCCGCAGCTCGCCGGCCAGGAGTATGGGCTCGTCGTGCGGCAACCCCGTGACGAATTCCTCAATGGTGGCGTCGATGACGGCTAGTCGGGTTTCGATGGGGTCCGTGTCGGCGAAGCGCAGCTCGGCGAGGCGGGACTCGAGGCTGGGCAGCGAGGTTGAGTGGAGGTAGTGCGTAGCGATACCCGAGTAGAAGACATTGGCGCCCGTGAGGCGCGAGCTGGTCAGCGCAAGGTAGGTCCCTATGTAGCCGGGAAGCCTGGGAAGGAAGAAGGAGGCGCCGACGTCGGGGAAGAAGCCAATTGTCGTCTCGGGCATGGCGAAAACGGTGCGCTCGGTGGCGATACGGAAGGGCGCGTGGATGCTGAGGCCGACGCCGCCGCCCATGGTGATGCCGTCCATGAAGGCAATGTAGGGCTTGTTGTAGGTCGCAATCAGATGATCCAGCTGGTATTCCTGGGCAAAGTAGTCCTTGGACTTTTGCTGCCCCTCAGGGCCCTCCTTGTTCCACTTGGCCAGCTGGGCGACGTCGCCGCCGGCACAGAAAGCCTTCTCCCCAGCGCCCTTCATAACAACGACGTTGGCCATGTCCGACTTGGACCATGCGACCAGGCGCGGGACAATCTTGCGAATCATGGAGCCATTGAGGGCATTGAGCTTCTTGGGCCGATTGAGTTCAACGGACCGGAGGCCGTACAGGCTGTTGAAGAGGACATCTTCGGGCTCGTCGTCTTCCATGGGCTTGAATTTCTCGTAGACTTCTTGTGTGGATAACTTTGAAACTGTCAGTGGTCCAGCCGATACATGATACATAGTAGACTCTCTCTTTCTCTTCGAGCTTGTATATCGAGACGTACTGGTCTTTGAGACTGTGCCTGCTGCTGCCGAGGTGGTAGAAGCTTTGCTCTGAGCGGCATGGCGAAGAAACCTGAAGTGATTTGGGCGGCGCGACAGGTGTGTGCTGGTGCCGCCGACACCGCTCGGCCGGCAATTCTCTGGGCGAGCATTTAAAGTAATATATGTTGTCTGTCTACGACTCGGGCAGTTGACGGTTGACCAACACCCTGATGCTGCCGCCGCCGAAATTCATAGTCGGCCTCGATATCAATGTTGCTGCAGCTTTTGACCTTACGCCGAAGGTGACCGTGCAAATTGATGGGTCTTTCCCGATGAGGAGCAGGGATCCCTGGCTCAACTGTGTCGTTACACGTAGATCGGGTCTTGCCAACAGCTGCCTGGCAGTTGTCTCCACGACTCCTGGTGCTGCACGGGAACTTTATTCCGCAAACCATCGGCTTTCATGAATTCACCAAAACTAAGTCATTCAAGAGGGATGAACTGTGAATGAGTCCCATTCGACCGGCTGACCGCCCGAGGAGTGGTCAAATAACTACGATTAAATAATGACTGGTATCTCCAATTCCACACAACCCTTTTCAAACATGAAAAACTGCATACATAGTTATGTGTCTGCAAGTGCAGCTTACAGCTTCTCCCAGCCCTCGTCAACCTTTTTGATACCGGCCAGACCAAGGAAGAAGGCGGCGAGACCGCATGCGCCCGGGTCGGGCACCTGCTCGAATCCAGATCCGCCAATGTACACGGTCCGTCCTAAGCTGGCCTTCATGCCTTTAGTTCCCTCTGCCGCATTCTGTGCTGCCTCGGCCGCTTGCCCGACGTCGCCCGTCTGCCCGAGAACATCAACAAACGGATACAGCGCATCCACAAGCGTGCGGTCTCCGGGCCGGGCCGGCGTATACCGGGACAGCGTATCGCAGCTCTGCTTGAGCGCCGAGGCCCACACCTTTGCCGATGCTTCCCCCTGCCCCTGCGACCTCAGCGCGGCGAGGAGCGCGTTGAGGAAGATGGCATACAGCGCCCCTGAAGTACCGTCCATCTCCCTTTCGACAATGGGCACGATGCGGGCCAGGTCCACCACCGCGTCTCCCGATAGCGGGTGAGACTGCAGGTGCTTCAAGATGGCTGCTGCGTGTTAGCAAGTGCATCGCCGCCGGGACACGGAACTGAGAGCCAGTGTGCTTACCCTCTGCACCTCTTTTCAGCCCAATGCCGCAGTCCCCATCTCCCACGACCGTGTCGTAGCGTGTTATGTCCGGCTCCGCGGCCACGACGCTCTGCAGGCCCCGGGTGAGCGCTTCTTGTGCGGCGCTTGCATCCATCTTCAAACCGCTCGGCAGAACCTCACCACCATTAGACGCGTCTTGCTCCCTTGTTGCCGTGTTCTTCTCCTCCCATGTCCGCTTGGTAATCGGTGCCGACCAACCGACAGCCTCGCATGGGTAGTCCAGCAGCTCGACCATGCTGGGCCCGCCCAGATCTGTATTGACCACATTCAGCAGCGTGATGCTGAACCCCAGCCCGTTGAGACTCGTCATGTACGTCCCGCTCAGAATCCGCACCGGCCGGATATTCCACGTCTTTTCCAGCTGCGTCACAACCTCCGTCAGGATCCCGCCCATCTCCAAGACACTCACCCCGCCCAGGTTATTCACCAGCAGTACCACCTCGTTCGAATTGACCCTGAGAAACGCCCTGTCCTCATCCTCCTGGTCCAGCATCTGCTTCAGCATCTTGCCCACCAGCTCCGGCAGCCCAACCACCTCCCTGCTCGACCCGGCCTCGTTATGAATCCCCATGCCAATTTCCACCTCCCCATCCCCTAATAACCCCTCCTCCTGCTTCCCGCGGCCAGGAACATGGACATGTTCCAAGCTCGCGCCGACACTGACCAGGTTCTGCGCGACCAGCCGCGCAACGCGAGCCACGTCAGACAGGCCGTAGCCCATGGCGGCGAGGGCGCCGCTGATCTTGTGCACCAGGACGGTGCCCGCGATGCCGCGGCGGCCGACCTTGCCCGCCTTGCGCCGCCCAACGCCGACGTCGTCGCCCACAACCACCATCTCGACGCGCACCCCTGCCGCGCGGGCCTTTTCGACGCCCATGCCAAAGTTGAGCACGTCGCCCGTGTAGTTCATGACCGTCACCAGCACACCGCCGCCGCCATCCTTGTTATCCCTGTTGTTGTTGTTGTCATTGTCGTCCACCCGCCCCATGATGGCCGTCCGCACCTGCTCCGCCGACGGGCTGGCAAAGATGGTCCCCGCCACGGCGGCTGACAGCAGGCCCTCGCCCACCAGGCCGGAAAAGGACGGCTCGTGCCCGGAGCCGCCGCCCGAGATGATTGACGTGATCTGGCGGTGGGAATGTTGGGAAGAAGGCGAGGGGCGCCGGTAGATGATCTTGTTGGGTAGATCCACGGCCAGGGACGGGTTGGTTAGCGTCAGTGAGGTCAAGGCCGAGGTGACCAGGTGGGAAGGGTCGGAGAAAAAGTGTTTGGTTGACATCTTTGGCGGTGGTGGTTCCTCGTAGTTTGCTATGGGGTTGTCTGAAGGTGCGGGAATGGGGGGAGAAGAGAGGAATAATTTAAAGCGGAGGACTGATCCAGTGAGTACCCCGTCCGTCCGGTCAAGCAGTATCAATACTTCAGGTGGGTTGCAAAACGGCGTAGAATGTTATCAAGCTTGAGTTAGGTGAGTGAGGTGTGACCCCTGATGGGGGACGCGGTGGTTTAAGGCAGGGTTGGCTCTGCTTTGAACAGTTGATGCCCGAACCTCCGGGATAACATAGAAACACACTCGCTATACATGAACTAAGACAGGAATTAATTTATCTCGATGAAGATGACACTGTCCTCAACAGCCATGTTCTCGGGAGAGCTTGCCCGATCCCGAGCGGCATTGGGATAGCGGAGGTGGGGGAGTGCGGGGTGGACTTGCTTGACCTCTTTCTGCTGCTAATTCATTCATTTTCCCATGACTTCTAGTAACCTTACCTTACACGTGAAACTGAAAAGGTACCGCAATTGACTGTACAGTACTTTTCTCTGCCGATTTTCCCTGCGGCTATGGAACAGCCGGAGCCAAAAGGATGGCTGCTGTTGCCCGATAGACGACCTGTGAGGTAACCTGGTCTCACTAGCTTCATTTCCTTCAACAGTCCTCAGGAGGGCTCTTCAAGACGGCAAGACTCTGCGGTCTGTTGCATTGATGCAATGGAATACAATGCGTAAGGGCCAACGCTAACACTCGAGGCTTCCTTTCAAGCCCGGTGGTGCCCATACTTCGGATATGCCATCTGCATATGAATATCCGCAGCCTACTCTTCCCCGAGTCTCGTCCGATCATCCCAGTTCCGCCGTGATACCCAGAACCTGAAAATCCAAATCAGCTCTCAAACCCATCCAAAATGATATCCCTTTGTGTTTCCCTTATATCCCAAACGCCAAGCCCATGCCACATCGTGGATGTACTACCCATAGATATCCCGAAACCAACGCCAATCCCAGCCCAAACCCAACAAAAGCTGCCGCCGGGGCTTTACTTATTTCATCATGAAAGTGCATGCCGCGACCACGCCAAACATGACCACAACCGTAAGAACCCACGCGCCGGCCCTGTCGGCGGTGGTGAGGGGCCTCTCGGCCCAGTAATCCTGAACATCGGTGCCGGCGCTCGGGTTACCCCGCGACGTCCCGCCCGTGTCGGCCGTCAGCGGCCCGGGGACCCTGTCCACGAGGGTGTACATGATGGCCGACAGGGCGTTCATCTGCTCGCCGACGCCCACCAGGCCGTCGAAGCCGTCCACGGTCCACTTGAAGCCGCACGCGGTGCCCGGGTGGCCCCTGAACCCCGTCGGGGGGTTGCCGGTGCACGCCCGGGCTGCCGCCTTCGCGTCGGTCTCAAGCAGTGGGCGGATGGTGGAGTAGGTTTTGGGCACCATCTGCGTTGTCGCCGCCAGCCAGCGCGTGAAGTACCCCTTGAAGCTGCGCTGGTCGTAGTCGCAGGTCCCATGGGGCTCGCACAGCTGCTCAAACATGATGCCGTCGGTGAAGAAGCGCTCCGACGCGGTCCGCAAGATCCCGTCAACGCGCCGCTCCCACACCGCCGAGCCGTTTGTCAAGTTGTACATGACAGCCGCCCCGTGCAAAAAGATGCCCGCATTGTAGGTCCACAGGGTCGTGTCCATGCGCTTGCACGAGTTGTCCGTTAGGTTGATGCTCATGCCATCGCGGATTTCGTACTCCGGGCTGATCAGGCCTATGGACTCCTGCCATTCCCAAACCTTGGCGGCCCAGTCTGCGTATGTCTGGTTCCCCGTAAACCGCGCTAGACGGGCAGCGATGTTGATAAAGCATCCGTTGGAGATGCTGTTCTTGTAATTGTAGCCGTTGTTGAAAGTGAAAATTTGCCAGCGCAGGCCGCCGTCGCAGAATTCTTCATCCCAGCGCGACACCCACTGGTTGAAGAGGGACTGGGCCAGAGCGAGCCATTGCGGCTGATCCGGCGGGGGATTCGGGAAGTTTGTTTCGGCGGCCGACATAGCAGCCAACCCCCAGAAGCCTTGATCGTCGTTGCCGAGCGTCCGAGACTGGTTTCGGGGCATGAAATCGCCCATCGGGGTCCCTTGGTGAGTGATTGCCTGCAACGTGATGGCGTTGTAAGAGTCATCTCCAGTGAGTGCCCAGTAGTCGATTAGGGTCCCAAACATAGCCCCACACTCCCACCAGAAGTAGGGGTCAGGAAGGTTGCCGGGAGTATCGCCTGTGTAGTTTCCCGTGTAGTATTTGACCAGGCCGAATGCTATTGTGCTTGCTGCCTCTTTGACGGATGCTGACAGCGGGGTTAGCTGAACTGATGCCGGGCCAAGCAGAAGCATACATAGAGAGCACCGAGACACCTACCTTCATCGCCGAGGACCAAGTCGATTGCCGCCACCGACCTCAACACCACACCCAGAAAGCCAGCCAGTCCAAGTAGCCTCATGGTCCAATACTTGGCTGAATTCAAACAGCCCACAAAGGATGAAAAGTGAAGCGATCAATAACAGTAGAGTTAGGACTAGAATCTAAAAATCTCCCACGCAAAGGGAAATGCGTGGTTCTTAGAGCATGGTAGGAAAGAGTAAGCACTAGGTAATGACGTCCAGCGGTAGGTAAGGCAAGATCAACCGCCAAGCAGAACACAAAAACCATGCAGCCTACACTAGGTAGGTGAGATTGAAAGTCCTAGTGGTGACACGGTTCAACGAATCACCCCAGCGACAGGAAAGGTGTCGTACTTCGTACGGATGTACTGTAAGGTTGGGGTCCGAGGAACGACTCAGCCTCGATCGGAACCACGAAAGCAACGAAGCCAAGAAAGGGCGCTTTCCCAGGCGCGTGATGAATCGAAGATACAAAAGAACGAACAAAAAAAAAGAGATAACGAAAGTTAAGGTCGGCCATGAAACGTGGCCTAGATGGGATGATCCAAACTTTAGGATCTACGTAGAGGAAGATGAAAAGAACAGAGGTTTGGACGATTATCCAAACCTTTGTCCTCCCTCTTGATCACCTCGAAACACATACAAACATTCTAGCCAAGAACAGCCTGCAATCTCTTAGCATCACGGGCCGGAGAGGGCAAAAGCAGGCTGAAACGTACCGAGTTGCGAGATCTCGGACTCCTCGTGTCGTGACTGTCGTGTCATGAGTCGCTGCAGCGGCTGTGAGGCGGAGCAAAACATAGAAGTCTTGGCAATTTCAGGGATCTCGTAAATGGTCTTGAACTGCTGTTGAGTAGAGAGTAAGCTGCCTATATTGCCGTACGTAAGCATCAATTGCGCAGAATTATGTGAAGTCACTTGAACATATGAGAAGAAGAGTGAAGGTGAGAATGAGAGGGTTCGTCCTTTCCTTTGCCCTCGTCCCAGGGTTAGCTAAGCCCGAGCTAAGGTATGGAGCAATTAACGAAGCCCGTGCAGCTCAAACCCCTTGAGCCCCTGAACTCTTAGGAGGGGGCCACGCGCCAAGACGGAATCTAGGCCCTGAGCCGTGTCCTTACAAGGGACGAGCAGCTGTCAGTGGACAGTGTGATAACTGATGGGATGATTTCAAATTAGGTAGTGAAAAAGACGACTTCATGAAAGTCATGATCTGCGTTCCGCCTATCGAGGCACCAAGAGGCTCATTTTATCTATCCGTAAATCAAAAAGCAAATCGAGCATGTCATGCAATCCGTTGGGCCCGTTCGGATGCCTTCAGATCAGGGGCTGCATCCCTATTCACTGCTGGCCCCTCCGTTTCTTGGACGGCCTTGAAGCGGTCGTGTCCTCGTCCTCATCCTCCTCATCATCCTCATTGTCCGATTCAAAGTCAACTTCGCTAAGTTCATCTTGCTCCTGAGCTTGAGCTGCAGCGCGTTAGCAACAAACGTCTTTAGTCAATGGGAAGCAGATGCTAACTCACAGAAATACCCGAGCGCGCCAGGCCACAGGTCATCCGCGATAGCCATGGCAATCTCGTCACCAGCCGGGAAGATCTCCAGGCTGTCGTCATCTTCGTCGTCATCGTCATCATCCTCCATCTCCTCATCCTCATCCTTCTTGGGGACCGCCTCCCCAGCCGCCCTCTTCCGCCTGGCCTCCTTCTCCTCTTCCATCGCTATCCTGCTTTCCTCGGCAGAGACGTACTCGCCAATGTAGCCAAACCAAGCAAAGAAACTCACCCCGCCCATGCCCGTCGTGTCAATCTTCTCCTTAAGCGCCTTCTGCTTCTCGGTCAACTCGACCTTTTCCTTCTTCCCACCCTTCTTGGCCGCACCAGTCTTCTTGGGCCCACCAGCAGCCTGCTGCTCGTCCCAGACGGCCTTGACCAGGCCCAGCAGGCCATCCGTCAGGTCCTTGCCCTTCTTCCACTTGATGTCGACGGGCTCGCTGACGAGGCCCTCGAAACCGTCGCGGCTCTGGCGCCACCAAAACTTCTTCTCGAGCACCCTGTCCTCAAAGTGGTCGTTTTCGGCAAACTCGAACCGGATCGCCACGCTGCGCGGGTCGCCATGCTTCTCGTCCGAGTCCAGCTCGAAGCGCGTCACGCTGAGCGACGTGAGCGCCGAGAGCAGCAGCGCCGAGTCGGACGGCTGGATGTACTCGTCAATGTCCATCGGCGCCTGCTCCAGCACCAAGGGCCAAAAGTTGGGGATGCGCGACACGAGCGCGGCCCGCTTGGCATACAACGGCTTGGAGAGTATGTACTGCTGGCGAACTGTGTGGAGTGTGTGTTAGCAATGTGTTTGTGTTAGTTCGACTTTATTTTGCCCTTCTAAGTCGGGGAAGTCGGCAATTCTCAACGAATACCAGGCGAGATCACATCGGCAGTAGGTGGGCGAGCAAACTTACTGATCTCCGTCTCGACCTCGTCGAACTCGGCCTCGAGATCCGAGAGCTCCTCGTAAGTAACTGACGTGTCCTCGAGCGTGGAGGCCATTTTTGGTGTGGTTGATGGTAGATTCGGTCTTGAATAATGTGTTTGTGTGCGAGGAACTCAAGAGGTTACGGAGGAGGAATGAGATTGGGGATGAAATAGTGAAATGGGTGGCAGAGAGGGAGAAAAATATTGCTTGCTTTGCCCCTCGTCCATACACTACCTAGGCCGGTGTCTGTTCCACAACCGGTCGTCCACAACAGGGTCAGAGAGCCCGAGAAAAAAAATCCCATGTTTATCGACTGGGTCCCTGCATAGGGTTGCAAGGACTAACCGCATACAGCTAGTTACATTATTCGGCCATAAGTCCCATCGACCGAATCACTGAAGGCTGCACACATTTCAATGCGGGTAAGTGGGATCAAAACGTAGAATAGCTGGAGACTTGTGTTATCATGAAGTGAGTTATGGGAATTCATGTTGCTCTCTTGCACGAATACTGTTGGAAGCGCTGCCCGTCAGGTTTCTAGAAGTCGAGTCTTTTACATGAGAACCTAGGTCAATTCAGGAAGGCGGGGTTTGCCTGCAGGCCCTGCCAAGACTGAACCAGGGGCAACCGTTTTTTAAATTGTCACGCACACCGCCTTCATATTCGGTATGTATGCTGAGCAGGGGTAACGCTTTTCTTCAAGGCATGCTTTCTATGGTGTCGTTGCTTTGCACTGTTTTCAGGATGTCCAACGTCCAACCAATACGTCCACAAGTTTGTATGAGAGATTCAAGAACAGTTGTCGTTTTGTCATCATGCAATTGTCATTCTATATTCTTTTCCTGCCCGTATATATACATTTTAACGCCCAAAGCAACCAAATCATCCCACAATCCTACCCTCATCTCGAGAGAGCACTCTCGCCAGATCCGCTTCTTCCAGCCCAGCACTATCCCCATTCCCCACTATCAACCCGTTCCCATTCCTGTCTCCTACCTCATTCCCATTGGCCCCCATAACTCCATTCTCTGTGCTCTCCATGACCCCATTCCCATTGCCCTCCATAAGTCCATTGCCGTTGCCCTCGGCGACCCTGTGGTCATCCACACCAGCCTCGGGGGCAACTTCAACAAAACTGCTACCCCCATCCGAGGGTTTCCTGCTCACTGACCGACTCCCCTGTCCCTCTTTCTTCAGATCATTGTCCAGCCACAGGTGACCGCCGGCCTCCTTGAGCAGCCGGACACATTCCACATTTCCCATCTTCTCAGCCAGATAAAGCGGCGTGTTGTTCGCCCGGTTCCTGACATGCACGCTGGCGCCCCTCATGAGCAAGTCCCTGAGGATGAGGGGCTCAGGTCCGACAGCCGCGAGATGCACGGCAGTATTCCCCGCATAGTCGGCCCTCTTAAGAAGCCGGTGGTTGCACTCGTCTCCCTCCAGGATCTCGCGGACAAGGCGAATATTTCCGTTGCTGATTGCGTAGCCCAGAGCCGTGAAAGCAGCTTCTGTTGGAAGGGGATTTATTGAGTATCTATGTAACTCAGGAAGGAAGGAAAGGGGGCGAAGGGGCCTACCAGCAGAGGTTAATCTGCCCACGGCAGAATCAATGCTCCCGGCTGGGTGCGAGAAGGACGGTAAGGTCATCTCCGTCATTTCGCCCCTCAACGAATGCGCCATCATATTGGTGACGTCCTCATACCGCAGGTCGGGCAGCGCCAGCAGGTAAGACAGCTTAGTCAGGGCCGCCTCGGTGGTCAGGTCGTGCCCAAACACCACGCCGGCCCTGCCGAGCGCCGTGCCGGGCGCGTACAGGGGCGACACGAACCCGTTCGTGCACTGGCTCACATTAACAACAACAATCCCCCTCTCGACCGCCTCCCGGATAACCTTGGTCAGGCTCCCGTCCACGCCTCCGGGCGCATTGCCCATCCCAAACGTCTCGAGAATCAACCCTCTTAGATTGGGCACTCTAAGCACGGAATCCACCATTTCGGGTTTGATACCGGGGAAGATACGCAGACACGCCACGTGCGCCGTGTCCAAGTACTTGGTCACCTGGAACTCGGCGATTCGCGTCGGACGGCGCACCAGGGACCAGTTGACATCAGCTCCGAGGGACGTCACTTTCGCCAGGGGGTCGCAGTTGGGACTGTCAAAGGCCTCGAAGGACGAAGCGGACACCTTGGTGGTTCTGTTGCCGCGGAAGAGGGTATGGTGGAAGAAGAGGCAGACCTCGGGTATGACAAAGGTGCCGGCGATGATGAGCGACCCGAGCAGGTTGTCGACGGCGTCGGACTGCAGAGCAAAGATGGAGGCCTGCGAGCCCGTGAGAACGACGGGCTTGCCGAGGTCCGACATCATGAACGAGAGGGCGGACGCGGTGTAGGCTAGCGAGTCCGTGCCGTGCAGGACGACGAAGCCGTCAAAGAGGTGGTAGTTCTCCTTGATGGTGAGGGCGATTTCAGTCCAGCCCATGGAGGAGATGGAGCTCGAGTCCAGGAGGGGTGAAAACTCAAGGATGCCATAGCGGATGTGCCGGGAATACGCACTCACTGGCGTCCGCAGGCTGTCGAGGGTCAATTTGACGCCATTTTTGTAGGCGTGGATTTTGACTAGGATGGTCAGCAAGTGAAGATATCACAGGGAAGGGGGCCATGGAAGGCGAGGTCCATTTCGTGGTCTACAACACGGGAGTGAAGCATATCCCCCTTCCCGCAATGTTGGGTAGATTCTTCTTCCATCCTTCCTCTGGGAATTTCAAGTGGTTCGTGAAACAGTCCTGTGAAACTCACCAGCCGGAGTAGAGCCATCGTTGAACGAGGGTCGAGGCGCCATGGCGTTCTCGAGGAAGCCCGTCATCGGAACCAGTCCGTCGACCGACGGCTGCATGCAGATTGTCCCGCCCGTCATGATGATGAGCACCCGCGACTCCGGGTAGTGGGATTCGGGATTCTTGCGCTCCATGAATGTGACACCCCCCATCTTGCTCGAGCCTATTGACTGTTTTGAGAAAACGAATTTTGCTTCGAATCGACGCCTTTTCCCTCAGAATGATGGCTTTCGGCAATTCGTTGTAGGTTCTCCAAGAAGCACCGTTCTCAAATGGTTCCTGGGACCATGCGGGCCAACTGCGTGTGATGCTGATAAGAAAGCTGCTCTTTGTCTGGATAATCTCTAGGACTCTCAAGACTGGACGAAAGGTCCAGGGACGCGATGCCTCACACGAGATAAGACCTAAATATACGGCTTTCGGATCTCACAAAAACGCACAGGTGGAAGGAAGCTACTGAAGAGGCTGTAGTCACGCGCTTGCGGATCTTTGAAGTCTTTTAGCTAAGAGAAAGTCAATTGCGGAGCGCCGACTGGATGAGGGACCCGGATCCGCTACCCAGTGACCGCAGGGGCGATACTACCCGTGGACCAGCTCCAGGGGCGACAATGCACCGACTTCGGGTGCTTCACCCTGGTTTGCTTGACCATCTTGGACGGCATGATGCATCGCTGCTTGCCAGGAGATAAGCAGAGAGTCCCCTGTCGGGAGTTTTAGGAGCGGCAGATGCATGTTGGTGATGGTGGTGGTGAAGACCGATAAAGCATTGCAACTGGGCAGATCCCGTATCCGATCCTGGGGTCCCGATAGCGGAAGGCTCTTTCCATTTGCTGTGAGGTGATGCCAAAATTCGCAATTGGCCGCAGAGAGGCTGCGTTGAGCTCTGACGTTGCCATTTCTCGCCAGATGTCCTTTCCAGAATCCAAGCTAAAAGAGAGAGCAGAAAATAGTCTCAAGAATATTTGAGGATTTGATGGCTACCGGCTTGAGACTTTATAGCTGCTCAACCCCCCATGGCATGGGGGTGCCTCTCCACGCTCGCTGTCCTTTCGCCCAAACAGAACGCAGTGTTCAATGTCGGCATTCTGTAAGCGGTAGTTTCTGAATACCGTGTACTGCGGGGGGTGCTTGATAGAGTGCCACCATCTTCGAAATGCGTAGATCACCGGTAACTTTGACATCTCTGGTAACGTCACCAATGGACAGAGCAGTTCGGCTCAGGAAGCTAAGTAGTTAGCAAAGGTTAAAAATGGCTTGATGAGCAGATTGCTGTATGCTTAATCCGTATTGAACGACTGTGTAATCTGGAAGGCTAAGAGTTGAGCGTGCCTCCAACTGCTGGTGACTGGGCTTATTAGGACGATCGCGTGCTGCGATTTGGTCTTGCCTTGATTGTCCACTTCTGAACCGAATAGGTACTGTACCTAAGGTATTCAAGCAAGTCCCTAGGTATGGACTAAGGTACTTCTTAGGTATACTTGGCAATGATTGAATGCACGACAGAGACATTAGACGAGTTTTCCCAGACAGACAAGTGCGTGAGGCGACGTTCGTCTGATCCATGGAATATGAGGGCGGTCACCGGGTCTGTGGCTGTGGTCGTATCTTCGGGTCAATCGGTTGAAGCGTTCAGTATGATAGGTTAAAAGAGAGTGAATCGGGTTGTATACAGGACGCCCAGGTAGGCTGTGTGCAACCACAGTACTGACAACTCTTGTTGTGTAAATGCATCTCTCACGTCTATGTTGTGGCGGGAAGAGTCAACCCGCTTCGAGGAGCCGCGCGCTCAGTTTACCTATCTTGATTTGTAGGGGACATATTTCATGGCCCTTTATCGTGAGGCCGACCCAGAGGGTCATTCTGCCTAGCTTCTCCAGGCGGCGCATCGGCGACCTATCGTTGGTCGATCAGAGGTCCAGCTGGAGATCAACTGAAGTTGCAGAATGGCCCGGAGACCTGGTCAGCCTTGCAGGGGCTGCGTTGTCTGGGGAAGGACCAGGGTAGGATATACCAGTAGGTACCAGCTAAACTAACAGAATTGCTGATGTTATCGCCTAGTATCTGCTAGGTACTTAGGTAGCGGTCTGCTTTTGGATACGTACCTTATTTGCCAAGACACTTTATTGTTGGCCCATCCGCGTTGAGTTGAGGCCAGATCTGTGGCCAGCCGCGTCTCTCCATCTACACGTGTACACTGCATACAACATAGCTCGGCTTATATTGAGCCTCACTGCTTGAAGCTTACATGCTTGTGTCGCTTCCCTCGGGGCACCGCGTAAAGGACCAGCGGTATGCGTTACCAAGAACTGCTGCCTGCTTTCCCACTCTAAATCGGTGATAGGGCTGAGAACGATGAGTAACGGAGTTGCATGTAGCGTCTCAACCGGCTTGTCTCGGTTACCAGGAAGACAAGCGGTGACGCTTCCGTCTCCAAGAAAACTCGAATCCTCTCTGAGCTACTGGACACTAGTACATATACATAGCCGATAGGCCCTTACAAGTGACCAACCAGATATGGGGCCACAGTGAAAAGCAGGGCCCGGAGGCAACACCGCTTTTGCCCCTCGGCAACAAGGTCCTTCTACAATCTACACCGCCTGGGAAGGACGCGCCAGCTCAATTCAGCAGGATGAATGCCTTTGTTTTGATCTCTTTTACTTAGGTCGAATGCTAATGGTGGCATTGTTTGTTTTGTCCTGTTGGCTGTGGCTGTTAATAACTTAATATGGATGTGTTTGCTCTCTTCAACTGCAGATAAACACTCATCAATTGTTGGGGGCAGCAGCTTCCTTTCCTATTCTCTCTACCTCGCTCCTGCCGCTCTTGCCCTCGACCGGCTATGTACCTCGAGCACTTACTAGGGCGTGCCTGACAAGAATTCTCGCCATCGCCCGATCATCTCCAGAAGTTTGTACGCACATAGCCTGGGCTGGGAAACTTCCATGGAACTCGACTCGCTCGGCAGGTCGAACCATCTACGCCCTCGGCGAGCGAGCAAACTTCCTCCTCCTCTTTCCAAAGAGGTTACACTGTTTGGCCAGCGCAGTGCAGATGGGAGTACGACTCCGAGACAGTCCCGGTTCTTCGGTCTCTTAGTTCCCACACCATCTTTTTGTTTCGCCTCCAGCTGGCCTTGGAAGGCGACCTCACCCAACTGCAGGCCAGATTCAGGCGCGTGTCTATCACTCCGCTTTGCAGAAACATCTGTTTTTTCCCTTGAGAGAAGCATAAATACTGGTTCTCCTCACTCATGCTCAGAAGCTGGAGACCACATCCAACCTATAACCAAATCTCCACGGATAGACCGCCTACGAGCATAATCGCTTTCCCTCCTTGACACTTCCAGTTGTTTTGTTGCCTAGATTTTCAAGTCAGGATGGACCTCCACAACCTCATACGGGGTGCGTTGCCAACACTCGTCACCAACACCACCAACAGCAGCAGCAACGGTAGTTCCGCCGAACACGGCCTTCCGCATGGCATTCTCGAGAGTCTCACGCCCCTCCTGGGTGCCGCTCAGTTCAACCCGCTGGTGAAGCTATTCGTGGTTCTCAACAGTATAGTAGGAAGCCGGTTCGGGTTGGATCCGGCGCTTCTTCTGTCAGCCATCGGCCTCATCTGGGCTTTGAACAAGCTTTGTCGGCAGCTTTATTCTGCGTTTCAGGGGCTGGTGTCAAAGTATCTGACTGCTCACATTCAAATCAGCAGCACCGATGATATCTACCTCCATATGATGAAATGGCTGGCATCGCAGCCCAGCATGGTCAACTCGCGTTCTCTCACCGCAGAGACCGTGTCAAAAGGCGCGTGGGACGAGGACGAAGAGTTGGAACTATTGGCCAAGCGACAGGCCTCAGACACGTCTAGCTCCTACCTGAATTTCTCAAATCAGGAGGCCAAAGCCGCGCCTCGGTTCACCCCGGCCCTTGGGATGCACAACTTCTGGTTCAGGGGCCGGTATTTTGGCCTGCATAGAAAACAGGAGTCGCTATTCGAGGAGACTTACGCCTCTGGCATGCCAAGTTTCAAGGACAAGGAGACAATAATCCTCACCTGCTTCGGCCGGTCCCCGGATCCGATCAAGCAGCTCCTGCAGCATGCCAAGGAGCAGTACTACATCGGTCACCAGGCCAAGACTACCATCAAGCGCCCAGCTGCCCAAGCCATGCGCCGTTACGGGAACCGGCACACCTGGCAACAGGTTGCGGTTCGCCCGGTCCGTCCCATGAGGACGGTAGTCCTCGACGAACAGCAGAAGAACATGATTCTTTCCGATGTGAACGAATACCTCCACCCCGCTACCCCCCGTTGGTATGCCAACCGAGGTATCCCTCTTCGACGTGGTTATCTTTTCCATGGCCCGCCGGGCACAGGCAAGACGTCGCTGTCTTTTGCACTTGCCGGCGTGTTTGGCCTCGACATATATGTCATCTCTCTGTTGGACCCTTCCTTGACTGAGGAGGACTTGTCCGCCCTTTTCATCACTCTCCCGCGTCGTTGCGTTGTCCTACTTGAGGACATCGACAGTGCAGGGCTAACTCGCCCGTCTGGTAGCGATGCCTCTGACGTTGGTCGCAAGACCGCCAACGGGCAGGACGGAACCGGCAAGGAAACAGGCACAGCCGGCCACACAAGTAAAGAAGATTGGAAAGTCTCAGACCTGGCTCGCGAATTAAAGAAACAAAGCGGCTCGGACGAGAAAAAGGCAATCTCCCTATCGGGTCTGCTCAACGCGATTGACGGGGTCGCCTCCCACGAAGGACGGGTTCTTATCATGACGACTAACAGGCCCGAGACGTTAGATGAGGCACTGATCCGCCCCGGCCGAGTCGACCTGCAAGTCGCCTTTACAAACGCGACCCAAGATCAAGCGCGGGAACTGTTCATGAGGATGTATGAACCCGACAGCAACTTAACCGACCCCGGCGAAGATGGCCCTCGTTCTCCTTGCCAACTCCCGCCGCTCACCCCATTCTCCGAGCCGCCACCCACCCCCTTCTCGCCATCCTCTTTTACCGACATCTCGTCCAGCATGGGGGTTGAAGCCGAAGCCGAAAACGAACCCCCTAGTAATACTGCTCCTTCTGCTGCTTCGTCCTTGGCAGCAGTAGCATCCTCGAACAGCAACAACAAGCCAGCTCCCCTGAACCTCAATAGCCACAGCCACAGCTCAACCGCCAAGTTAGATCCTCCCAATAGCAGTACTTCTAGTATTGACAATGGCGCTATTGTTACTAGCAGTGAAGAGACGATCGACCAACTCCAGCCGGGGGAACTGGCTCGCATAGCGAGCGCGTTTGCGGCAAAGATCCCGAGCGGGCAGTTCTCTCCTGCTGAGCTGCAGGGGTTTCTGTTGAAGAGGAAGAAGACGCCCCGAAGGGCGCTGGCCGAGGTGGACGCCTGGGTCGAGGCACTGCAGCAGCAGAAGGCCAACAAGACCAAGGTGCTGCAAGTGCAGTGACCTTGCTTTTACTAGTCCTAGTAGGATCTCTTGGATCCCTCTCTTTAAAGGATTGGGTTTAGGCTGGGGCTGGGTATGGTGATATTGTAGGGACAGCATTTGGGGTGACTATCTCATGGGTGATAACTACGTAACGTTCTGGTCATGTCGTTTCTGCAGGACTTGTGTATTTTCTGATGTCTCTTTTCTGGTTTCTACTCGACCGAGCAGACAACAGGCGGGTCTCGGAGAGCTGGTAATGTATATGATGCCACAGCATGGCGGTTTATGAGACATGAGCAGTAGTAACAACATTCGCCATGTAAGAGCTGGATGATACACGAGGGCGGCTTAGCGAAGGGAGTTCTCACAATACATATGGAGAGTAGCAGCTAGCAACTTGAACTCTCCTCAAGAACCAGCATGAGCTCAGAAAGCCAAATTTGTTGATGGCTAATGAGTCTCGCCTGCAGTAAACATCCAAGCATGCACTCTCTGCATACACTACTCTTCGTAATACCGCTCGCCATTCTCAACGCCATCATCAACCTGGTCGTCTTCGTACCCTTCCTCATCCTCCCAAGGCCGCGGAAAGCCCCCACCCGCTTCTTCATCGTCATAATACTCTTCTTCCTCATCCTCAACAGCGTCATATTCATCCTCGTCAACTTCATCGGACCCGCTGAAACCCTCCCCTTCTTCGTCATCCTCATCCTCAACCTCCTCCTCCTCCTCCTCCTCCTCCTCCTCCTCCTCCTCCTCATCCTCCTCTTCTTCTTCTTCCCCGTCCACCTGAAACGAGACCCTTTTCCTGCCCGTGCCCGGACTAAGGTCTCCCTCCTCTTCGGCGTCTTCTTCTTCTTCCCCTTCCTCATCTTCCTCACTCCCTTCCTCATCCATCTCATCAAGAAACTCTTGCAGCGTGCCCGTGTCTCTCTGTTCTTCCTCGCGCACCTCTTCCTCCGGAGCACCTCTTGTGCTAACAATGGGCCCGGAAGGAGCACCTGCGGCCTCCTCAACCACAAACCTTCCCTCCTCGCGCCACAAGGACGCTTCATCCCCAGTGCCGGTAGCAGCAGCTGAAGGGTCCCTCGGCTCGGCAGCAGCGGCACCCGCACCAGCCATGGCGTCGGCCGTAGCCCCCGAATCCGCTTCCGCTTCCGCCTCCGCCGCCGCAGCAGCAGCCTTCCTCTCCGCGGCAGCCTGCGTCAGGAGCCGCTTCATCTTGACCGCCTCACGGTCCTCGCTGTCTTTGATGGGGATTCTGACCCTGTAATGAGTCTTTCTCCGTTTCTCCTCATACCGGTCTCTGGCGGACTTCTTGGCGCCCGGGCGGGGCCGGGACCTGCCGCCGCGCAGCTGCTCGCACTCGGCAGGGGTGAGGTGCAAGTCAGGCAGGGTGATGCCGATGCTTGTATTCCCACTGCCACTGCCACCACCACCACTGCCGTCGGTACCGTCGAGGTTGGGGTGGTTGTTGCTGTTACGCACCACCTCGAGCGCGTCGGCAAAGTCGGCGTCGGTCAGGGTCCGCCCGAAGCGGATCGCCAGCATCTTGCACTTCATGATGGCTTTCGCGACGGACCACAGCACGCGCGAGTAGAAGCCGCTAACTTCTGGATCGCACGTCTCGCGCACTTCGGCCTCGGCGAAGAGGCGCGCCAGTAGGGGGTCCGTGATGTCGCACACCTGCCAGACTTTGCCGTCGGTGCTGAAGGCCTCGCCGTTGAATATGTGCGTGTTGAGGTAGAAGGGAGTGGCGGTGTAATTGGAGGAGGAGGAGTTGGTGGTGGCTTGCTGGTCGGCGGCTGGGTAGTTGCTTCCCGTTCCTGAGACCTTGCCAAAGTTGGAGACGACGATCTCGTTGCGGCGGACGGCCTGCCACGAGCGGCCGACGCTGCCGATGCGGGTTTTGTGGAGCTTGAAGATTAGGGTCTGGTAGATGCGATATTTGGGATCAGACCGCGGGTCGAGGCCGTACTTGACCAGAGCGTCGCGCCAGGGGCCGCCCTTGAACTGGTACCCGGCGTATTGCAGGCAGTGGCGGACGAGGCCGCCGTTTTTGGGGAGCTCGGCGAACTTGCTGCCCAATCGGTTCCACATGCTCCGTCGCGTCCATACGGGGCGTTCCTCCATGGCTAGGCGCATCTCGGTGATGATGGCGGCCACTTGCGGGTCGGACATGTCGGGTTGGCGGCGCGGCGCCGTGGGGACCGGGTACTCATCGTGCGCAATGAAGTAGCCCGCTGCGGGGACTCGAGAGGTGAGGTTGACGACGCGGTCGTACTCCTGATCCTCGGATCCGCTGCCGGAGGCATCGGATGGTCCTGGGCTGACCGCTTTGGTGAAGGGATTTTGGGCGTAGTTGTAGCTAAAGGGGAGCCCCATTGGAGTGAAGGACGGGGGCGGGATCAGGTCAATGTTGGTGCCGGACTCGATGCCCGGCTGGAGCTTGAATTCTTTGAGCTTGGCAACGTCCCCTGGAAGTACCTTGTCGACAAATTTGGTCATGAATTTGGACTCTCCCAGGGCGTACTGAAAATCGGCAAGTCCTGAGCAAAGTAAGTCAGTCAGCCTTCTTCAGCGGAGCAGTGGGCATGAGACGGTGGCCTACGCACCCCTGTACCGGTGGGTGTTGTTGATGACACCAATCGGCTCGACTTGATACTTTCCCACATTGTCCTGAAGTTTTCGTCTGAGAAGTCGTGGGCTGTCATGCCTGTCCCTGGAGAGGACGTTGGCAGATGAGAGGAAATCTTGGCCGCCAGTTGCCGGCTCAACCTCACCCTCCCAGGGGCCATCTGAACACCGTTTGCGCTTCCTCCCGGTGCGCTTGGGAACTGTAATTTTCAGCACCACGTTGTGAGTGAGAGCATTGTGCGACGTCAGGGGCCTTGCCGTTGGATTATCGTAGCGCAAGTACAACGGCACCGAGATTTGAGGACTGGCAGAATCCAGGATCTGGACGAGTCAGCATTGCAATGCCTATCGACGCTTCATTCATTATTCATTGACTGAACCAAAGCAATACACGCACCGCTTGAAAGGCGTTGTTCGGGCCAAGTGTTTTAATGCCCTTGGAGAGGTCCTTGATAATCAGGGGATGTTCCAGCGCACCGAGTCTCCGCGGAGGGATGGTATAAGTGGGCGCCGCGTCGCCATCGTCATCATCACCATCACGGCTGCTGGAAGCCATGGCGGTTGTTTTTGTGCCAGTTGTTTTATTAATGGTGAATACCCCCGCGCTTGCGAGACTTGATGTACAGGAGAAACAAGTACGAAGCTACTTCAAGTGGTTCACTTTTCCAGCAGGGCCCAAGCGAAGTAGAACTCGATGTGAGAGAACTGGAAGTTTCAAGACGAAGTTTGATCTCAAGGCACAGTGCGAGCCGGCTCAGAATATCGGGGTCAACCGATTGCTTCGTTGCGGTTCATCGTTGCCACTGTTGTTGAGGGGTGAGGCAATTCATGATTTACAGCATGAGATAAGGTATCCTGCTGTTGAAATTTCCAAGTTGCTCCTGCCACTACTCCGTACAGGTTGCTCATATCCATCTGATATCGGGCCAATATTCAATCCCCAGTTTCAGTCTCAGTCTTCAGAAATTCAAGGCTTGGCGCGGCTGGTAGAATTACTGCTGGTAATTAACGCTGTTTACAGTAAGGTTAGCAGCAACTATCTAAGCAGTTACATATAATAATACGGCAGCGTCTGCCGATTTCAATTCCCATCATTCAACCGGGACTCCAACTTACTGAAAGGGTCACTGAAAGCTGGCGACAGCACAGTGATATTGATGGAGTCGCATCGTGAAATTCACAGTGCAAAGAGCTAAATTTCTTATTTTTCCTACTGTAAATCCCTTGCTCGCCTCGAAACGCTGCGACCACAGCGTGCTGGATGTGAACATTGATTCTCAGTTGCATCTGCCAGCACACCTGTTCCATCCGTATGTACTCCTACAGGCTTTTTCTTCTCTTATTTTTGTGGTGGTTTTGGTCCCGTCACTGATCCCAGCCTCGTGGTCAGTCGTTAATTACCTTACCTGACTTTCGGTGGTGCCAGTGGAGTAGTCGTGCAACCCGAATCTGCAACGCGACCGCCGTCTCCGCCAGTTGCTGTCTCCGATTCCTTGTCAGCCTGAGCAGCCGCTCGCCTCAAGGCTCAGGACCAGTCATACTGGGCTTTACATTGAACTCGAATGCGAATTCGCTGTTGCTCCGACTTCAACAGAGATAAATGGTACATCAGATGATTACACGATTACAGTCTGCGGATTGAGATTCCTATCCGCTGCTTCTTATAACCCTGGCCCACTCTCTTTCTCCAGGAGCTTGGGACCACGGACCCGCGACTCTGAGCCCCGCAAAATCACCCAACTACCGCCTGGAACGTCAGCTCCCATTCTCCATTTCCCAAACGCTTGGTTCTGCAACACGATTCATTTGCACTTTATGGTGCAACTACCAGGCCAAGCAGCAGATATAACCCGGTTCTCGATTGTCGCGACATCATAACCACTCTCGCTGTTCACACAGCCATCTCGGCCGCCAGTGCCGATTCCGGTCGCGGTCTTCGACATCTCCAATTGTCGTTCTCCACGATCCCTAGAGTGCCCGCGTCATTGCGTAGTCCCGACCAAGCACCCCGGATTCCCAGATCCTCTGGACTGCGCCGCCCTAGCCATTCGATTGTCACAATCCTGCCTCTATCCGCCGCGCCCTTCCTCGTCGGCCCGGGGATTTGGCCCCGGCTGCACTCAGAAGCACAACTGGCTGGCCCTCTCGATTGCGGTGTATACTTTGGTAGAAGCCCAACAGAACAACCGAATTGCCCCGGCATACTAGCATCGAATGAGGGTCGGACCTGAATCCACGATCTGATCTCTGTTCTCCCAGCCGTCCAAGTACCCCGCTGTCCCAAAAGTGCGCTTCGGTTCACGACAGTTCGAGCTGGGCGCCTCTAGTCGCCCCACAGACGAGAAGCTGTTGTCTTCAAGGATGAAGCGTTTCGGCGCCAAAGTCGTAAGTCCTTGCCCATATCTTGTCGCGAGCGTGTTGCTGACCTTCACATATTTGAAGCTCTCGAGGCGGGGGGACTCGAGCAAGTCCTCCAAGAAGAACAAGGATTCGAAGGACGGGACGGCTTCGCCGAACGCTGCCTCTAGGGATGCCAACCAATCCCCAGTACTGACCCCATCATCTTCCTCGTCGACTTTAAACGATATTCGCAACAAGCCGCTGCCTCCCAATAATGCCGTCCACGGTGACCATGGTGCCCTAGGTGCCCAAACCCAGCTGGGTCCCCCGGGTAACCCTGGCGTACCCGACCGATACGGGAGTAGCATAGGGCCCCAGGCACCAGGGGCCAATGGCGGTAGCACTCCTGCTAGGCACGGCCAGCTACCACCGACCGTCATCATCAGCCCGAGTGCTCCGGTAAGACCTGGCCTTGCTAACACCGTTTGCGGACCGTAACTGACGCACATACTCGTAGCATGTTCCCCCGCCTGGTGCCGCCGAGACGATGCCCCACGATCTCGCTCCCCCCAAGGCCGGCCAGAAGTCTCTGATGTACGATCGGCTGCATCAGACTCCCAAGGATGTCCTTGAGGGTCCCAAGACGCCAAGACGGCAGCATTCGTCTCGCTTCGATATTTCTGCCCACCGCGAGCTAGAGAAGCTCCCCGGGTTCCACGAGGTGCCCCCAGGACGTCGGGAGGACCTCTTCATGAAGAAGATTGAGCAATGCAACGTCATCTTTGACTTCAATGATGCGAGTGCCGACATGAAGTCCAAGGAGATCAAGCGACTGGCGCTTCATGAGCTTTTGGACTATGTGGCAAACAACCGCCAAGTCATCACGGAGCCCATGTACCCCGTCGTTGTCAACATGTTTGCGAAGAACTTGTTCCGCCCGATCCCGCCTCCTATGAATCCGCAAGGCGAGGCCTTTGACCCGGAGGAGGATGAGCCGGTCCTGGAAGTGGCCTGGCCCCACATCCAGGTTGTGTACGAGTTCTTCCTGCGGTTTATCGAGAGCCAAGACTTCAACACGAACATCGCGAAAGCCTACATTGATCACAGCTTTGTTCTTCAGCTCCTCGAGCTGTTCGACTCTGAGGATCCACGGGAACGCGATTTTCTGAAGACAACTCTCCACCGTATCTACGGCAAATTCCTCAACCTCAGGTCTTTTATCAGGCGTTCTATCAATAATGTCTTCTTTCAGTTCACCTACGAGACCGAGCGGTTCAATGGAATTGCCGAGCTTCTGGAAATTCTGGGCTCCATCATCAACGGGTTTGCCCTGCCCCTGAAAGAGGAGCACAAGCTCTTCCTTACTAGAGTCCTGATACCCCTTCACAAGGTGAAGAGCTTGAGCATGTACCATCCTCAGCTGGCCTACTGCATCGTGCAGTTCCTCGAGAAGGATGCTTCTTTGACAGAAGAGGTGAATTCCCCCCTCCCATCGAGACTGCTGGTCGATCCTAGCTGCTGACACACTATTCAGGTAGTACTTGGTCTCCTCCGCTATTGGCCTAAGGTCAACAGCACCAAGGAGGTCATGTTCCTTAACGAAGTTGAGGATATCTTTGAGGTTATGGACCCAGCCGAGTTCGCAAAGGTTCAGGAACCTCTTTTCCATCAGCTCGCCAAGTCGGTGGCGAGCCCGCACTTTCAGGTTGCCGAACGGGCCCTCTATTTCTGGAACAACGAATATTTCTGCAACCTAGTCAGCGATAATGTCGAGATCATACTCCCCATCATGTTTGCGCCCCTCTACGAGAACTCGAAGGGCCATTGGAACAGGCATGTGCCATCAAGCCATATGAGATGTGCTATCACAGCTAACTCTTTCGCAGGACGATTCACGGTATGGTGTACAACGCCATGAAGTTGTTCATGGAGATCAACCCCCAGCTTTTCGACGATTGCTCGCACGAGTACACGGAGCAGCAGAACAGCGCGGCATCGAGGGAAGCCCTCCGAGAAAGGAAGTGGGCCGCCATCCAGGAACAAGCCAACCGGAGGAAAGCCGCCATGGCCAACGGCTCGGCCGGGGGCAGCACGTCGGGACCGCCTGTTAGAAACATGCCGAACCCGATGCCCCGCCTCGACGAAGTGGACGCGGCCGAGGATAACCAGAAGAGGTTGGACTCGCTTAAACTGCAGGACGGCGATCGGAGGGATCGTCGGCCGGGCATGCACGAGCGACAGAACTCGGTCGGTTCGGCTAGAAGCCAGCGGTGATTTTGGTCGCCGCAAGCGGTTCCGGTCCCTTAGTTTCCATCTTGGGCCCCTTCTTTCTGTCGCCTCCGAGGACGTCAGATGTCTTTCATTTTCCTTTCGGACCTCATTACCACCAATGAGAAACCAACTTGGAATCTCACTCCACACTTCTACGCACATACATACTACATCCACCTTGGCTAGCGCTATCGACCCTTTCTGGGTCTGGAAATTTGGGATTGAAAGGCGCCGCTTGGGTGTGCATGGAGATTTGGCCACTCTACCTTGCCAATCACTTTCTCGACCACTTATCCTCCTGATCCCGGTTCTGTCCTTTCAACTTCTGGAACGGATGGCGAGTATCACCAGGTCATACCATGCCATACCCGGTGGGGATGGGGTCCGTGAGCAGGGCTGCGGGCAGTTGGCACTATTCTTCTACTACTGTTCCCTTGTCCTTTGGCCCAATCCCCAACCAGGTTTGGGAAACGGCTTGCCGCTAGTGCTGCTGCTTCTCCCAATTTCCGGATGGATGGGTAGAAAGGGAGATTTGGACTGGACAACGAGTGCTTACACGGGAGGGAGGATGAGGAGGCTATAGGCGAGCGTAACCAGGACAGGATCATGTGAGAGGGGAGAAAGAGAGAGACGAGTCTGCAGGGGGCACTGCTGAAGGGGCTGACTAAACGTGACCGGACCGTATGGGTGAATAGACGGACGGATGGATGGATTGGGTGGATTAGCGGATTGATGGATAGGCTGGATCTGACCTGCCTTTTTTTTTTTTTTTTTTTTT